CTCTACCACTGAGCCACCTTCCCAGCCTCTTTTGTTTAACTTGTTTTCTAGGTTCAAACCTCTAATCCTAGCTACTCAGAGGCTGAGATCTGGAATTCCAAGCTCCAAGCCAGTCTGGGCAGACAAATACAAGAGATCTTTATCCCTAAGTAACCAGAAGATGTGACTCAAGTGGCAGGCTTCTCTGAAAATGCTAAGTGGGAGAGTGGCCCTGAGTTCAAGCCCCAATACTGGTGCAAAAACCCCCAAAACCAAAACCACTGTTCTCTCAAAATAATTTTTTAAATGCCTTAAACATTTTCAAAGAGCTGGGTTAAAAATGTGCAAAAATCTGACCTGGTGAGCAGAATTTATTTAAATGATTATTTCTATCACCCATTCACAAGAATCCATAGATAGGATTCATTCATTAAAAAGGGGAGGAAAAGACCTAAACAGAAGATTTGCATAGAAATTTAGCTAGAAAGCTATCAGTTAATGAAAAAAAGAAAAAAGACTACCAACTTAGACAAAGCTTACGACTTTTTTTTCAATTCTTTTTTTGTGGTTTTAGAGGTGATATACAGCAGGGTTACCTTATATAGGTCAGGTAATAAGTACATTTCCTTTCCCATAGCATCATCTGTTCCCTCATTCTGTCCCATTCCTTCCCTCTCATCTCCACCCATGAGTTGCAGAGTTCACTTTTATCAATGAAAACTTAGAACTCTGAATGGAAGACACAGTGACAAGTGGCCTTCCTATGCTATGGAAACTACATACCACTTTCACGAAAGTATAAAAGCAGAGGACAACTGGCAAATACAAGAGGGATATAATAAGGAAAAAGATGATGGGAAGCTGGGCACTGGTGGCTCATGTCTGTAAGCCTAGCTACTCAGGAGGCTGAGATCTGAGGATCAGAAGCCCCATGCCAGCCCAGGCAGAAAAGTCCTCCTGAGATTTTTATCTCCAATTCACTCAAAAACCAGAAGTAGAGCTGTGGCTCAAAGTGATTAGCCCTAGCCTTGAGCAGCTCAAGAGACAGTGCCCAGGCTCTGAGTTCAACCGACCAAAAAAAAAAAAAGAAAAAGATAATGGGTATTTTAAACAACTTTTTTTTTGTCTTTTCTTTTTTGGTACTGGGGATCGAACCCAGGACGTTGCGCTTGCTAGGCAAGCGCTTTGCCACTGAGCTACATCCCAGCCCTTAAACAACTTTTAAACTCTCCAAAAACAATAAACAGCGTAACAAGGTGCAGGTGGCTCATGCCTGAAATCCTAACTACTCAGAAGTCTGAGATCTGAGGATTGAAATTCAAAGCCAGCCTGGTCAGCAGAGTCTATGAGACTCCTATCACCAATTACCCACCAGAAAACTGACAGTAAAGCTGTGACTCAAAGTGATAGAACACTAGCCTTGAGTAGAAAAGCTGAAGGACAGTGCCCTGGCCGTGAGTTCAAGCCCCATGAGCTAGAGGAAAAAAAAAAAGATAGCTTATTTAGCTTTGTGAAATACAAACAGAGCCAAACACAGTCTAGAAAAAGGCTGTACATAAAAAAAGAGAGCATATGCTGTCAGGCCCTTTCTATTTCAAGAGACAAATCCTCTATCCCAATAGATATTAGTAAATAGCCAGAATACAAGCAAAGCAGTATGTCAAAGTAGATTTGTCATTAATCAGGAGATATTATCATGGATATAATATATTCCTTATAGAAATTCTACCTGCTTCTTTAACTCCCCAATAGAATGTAAGCTGGAAGACAGATGTTCCATCACTCCCTGTTGTCTTAAAAGAGTGCCTAACATGCAGTAAATATGCAATACCTACTTACTAGGTAATCAAAAGAACTTTGCACTTTCTGGAGATTTATGTTTAAATGTACACATCAATATCTACATTATTATCTCCCATCTCAGAGCTTCTCATGACAATTTATTCGCTATACAGCCAGTTTCACAAGGAAAAGAAATTTTCAATGGGACAGTTTGGATTCAGAAATAGTGCGTGTTCCACTAGACAAACTGGTTTTATGCTACATAATCCCTATTTCTCCCTGACATCTTTGAACTTGCTCTTCCTCCAGGTGGTAATACTCCCTTGATAAATAAAAGGTCCATTAAATAGATTTGTTCTGAGCCAAAGATCTGACAAACCTAGGTCTTATTTTAAGTAAACATCTAACAGGCATACAAAAATAACATCAGTAATATCTCTGACTCAGGCATTCAGGCAACCAACCAACTTAATTAACTATAATTCAACTGATACATAACTGAATATAGATTGTATACATAGTTTGTATATATACTTACACACATTATGGTATTACATATTCAATACATGTATTCACTATTGTATACATAACACGAGTATAAGGTATATAATATAGACTTCATGTTCTAACAATATATTGTATGTAGTTTTAATGTATGGTAAACTAAAAAAAAAGTTCATACAAGTGTTGTGGGAATATCATTCAAGGAAAGGATTTTAGTTGTACTAAATACTGTATTTATACATGGATACTTTCAGACTATTAAGTTTCTGAACTTAAATATACTACAAACAGACTGAAGTAGAAAACAAGTAATTTAAAAGCCTGCAATTTAAAAAAAAAAAAGCTTAATGAAATCCAAAAACTCACATTTGAGGAAGATAGTGGTATTTCTGAAAAGAATCTTTCCAAAACTGAAGTAATTTTTCCCCTGCAAAAGTAAAGGATAAGTAATTAGCATCGAATCATTTTAAGATCCAAGAAAGAATATACACATCTACACTATATTAAGCATCCAAATTAGTTTTCCTAAACAGAAGACGTCAATATCTCTCCATCACATCCAAACTACAAGATTTTGCCCCTTAGTGCAGATACCATTCTTCCTACCTTCCACCCCACGGGCTCATAAAGCAAGGACTAGGTAGCTAGAAATCTCACATCTCAAGCTCCTAATTCAGCTCATATCTTTTACTCGCTTGTCAAAATAACAGAGTTTGTTTGTTTGTTTTCCTTTAAATCACTATCCTATGAGTTTTTACTTTAACAACTAAAAACCGAAGATCGAGAACTTGGAGATCCTTCACCAAATGAATAAAAAGCACACCGCTTGTTCAGACGAATACAAAAAAAAAAAAAGGCGAAGATAGTTTTTAATCGAGCTGAATGCTTTCGTTCCAGTCGATCTTGCCGGCAAGCTGGTTTCCGCCGTTCTCGGGAATAGAGATTTTAGAAAGTGGGCGGGGAAGAACAAGTGGATATTGCTTAATAAACTGTGCGAATGAAAAGACCTGTGCATTAAGTGTTCAAAGCCTCCGAAATCGCACAGCCTGTCCCGGAAGGGACCATCTCGAAGTTGAAACGAAATCCAACTACCCCCCGAGAGTTCGAATCCACCCAGAGAGCTCCAGGAGGGGAGAGGGGAGGGAGGACGGAGGAAACCGAGACGCCGTCTCCGCACCTCTCTCCCCTCACTCCCGACCCGGGCTCTCCGGATTCCGCGAAAATTCCCTCTGGAAACCAAGTCATCCAGGGTTGAAGGACGGAGTCGGGCGCTGAAAAAGTTCGGTTACGTGGCGGCCCGAGAAACCGCTCCGCCACCCTCCTTCTCCTGCGCAGGGCGGCCCTGCCTCTCCTCCGGGCCCAAACGAGCGGCTGCCGGCCTCCGGGCCGGGGGAGGGGAAGGGGCCCCACGCGGGCCCCGGACCCCGACGCTGCCCCCGACCGCCCACCTCCGCCCCGCGGGAAGCGGACTCGGGCGGAAGCTTCGTGGACCGCTCGGGCCGCCGTAGCCCCATCTCTCGCCCCTCCAGGCTGACTCTCTACTGTCACACTCACCGACGGCATCGGAATGTGCCACTTGGATCGGTCAGCGGCAGACACCGGCGAGGGCCCCGCACCGAGAAACGAAAACGGAAAAGGCTGAGCCCCCAGAAACAGCATGACAGGTAATACTTGAAGCCACGCAGGCTCCGCCATCTTCACAGCCGTGAAGCGCCTACCCGGGGGAGCGTTTCACCTCCTCCTTCCGGTATGTCCCGCCCACTTCCGGCTCGGCACTGTGGCGGGGCGGCGATGGGAAGGGTGTGTGAGGAGGGAGGGGGGGGTGGAGAGAGAGGGGAAAAGGTGGGACCATCCGGGTCCTTAAAACTTCCGGGAGCCTTGTTTGCTTTTCAACCCAGAAGCCCCGCCCCCCTCCCCATTCCGTGAGACGGACTGCGCAGGCGTCCTCGTGAGGTAATTCCGTCGGCTGGAGTGGGAAGGTCTTCGCGGGTGACTTCCGGTTTCTCCTCCACCACCCCGCCCCCCCCCCCACATGCTTCTTCCTCCTGGCACGGAGTCCGGAAGGAGGTTGGGAACCTGGCGGGAACCCCGCGAGGCGGTGCGGGCTTATCTTCATGTGTTCCCGCCCCTCGATAAGAGTCGAACGCCCGAGTCAGAGGTCTGGAGGATCCAGTTCCTTACAAGGCTTGCCTGACTGGCGTCCGGTAGCGAGTGCTACTGAGGTAGACGTGCAGTGAGGGCCGGTCTGTGAGCCGGGTGTTGGGGGGAGGCCCGGGTCGGTCCCTTCTGTTTTCTCACCCTCTTGGTTTTTACTCCTCTAGGATTTATTGCCGCCTCCTCCGCTGCAAAGGTAGATTCGGTTCCGAGCAAAAGCACCGTCCGCCTTCCCCAGCCACTCACAATCCGGGGCGGGGGGCGGCGGGGCGGGGGGGGGGGAACCTGCCGTGTACATCGCCGTGGAAATGTTAGTTTGCACCTGAAGAACAGTCACGGGAGCGAGAGTCCAGGTCTGCCCCATCTGACAGCCCTGGAGGGGATGTCATTTCCCAGCAGGTCCGCCGCGCTGGTCAAGTGCTCTCTCTACTCACGATTTCGAAAAGAGAGCTTCCTTGGCTTCTCACAAACATCTGTCGCGGGTGTGTGTGGCCTGAGAGCAGGGGACCCAGGAGTGACTGGGGAGCCATGGAGACAGCTGGGAAAGAGGGCATCAGGTAAAGGCCCCGTGCAGGTCCTGACCACAGAACACCTGGCAGTCCCTGAAAGCAACCCTGCTGCTTGTATGTTTTGGGGTGTTCTTGTTCTGCTTATTTCAGTCTTCTTGGCTGTTTGTGTGCTTGGTCTCTTCTTTTTTTTCTCTCTCTCTCTCTTAGTTCTGCAGACAGGTAGCTAATTTAAAAACCTCTCATTAAATACCTACGGGATGGTTAAGTAACTTTGACCATGGAAAAGTTGCAATAAGAACTCTTTGACACATGAACTTGCTCATGTTACTCTCCAAGCTCAGGTATATGCACCTCTTCCTGTGTCATTTTAGGACTCAATCTTCGAAGAGACTTCAAAGTTCTCTAAATTTTTTTTTTTGGGTCCAGTCGTGGGGCCTGAACTCTGGGCCTGGGCGCTGTCCCTCAGCTCTTCAGCTCAAGGCTAGCGCTCTACCACTTGAGCCACAGCGCCACTTCCGGCTTTTTTCTTTTTGCTTATGTGGTGCTGAGGAATCGAACCCAGGGCCTCAGGCATGCAAGGCAAGTGCTCTACCACTGAGCCACCTTCCCAGCCCCTGGCTTCATATATTTTTTACCCAGTAAGAATATATTTTGAAAGTATTTTGTTGATAAAATAGGCAAATAAGTTGTTTGGTTTGGGTTTGTTTAGGTTTTATGTGTTGCTCTTTTGGATTTTACCATAGTCATTCTTTTAAAAGCACCCTCCTACTGGGTGCTGGTGGCTCATACTTGTAATCCTAGGTACTCAGGAGACAGAGATCTAAGGATCAAGGTTCGAAGCCAGCCTGGGCAGGAAAGTTCATGAGACTCTTATGTCCTATATTAAATGCTCCTAAACTAGAAGTGGACCTGTAGCTCAAACTAGCAGAATACTAGCCTTGAGAAAAAAAAAAGAGCTCAGATACAGCACCCAGCCCAAAAACAAAATACCCTTCTTCATAAGTGGCAGTGTTTTTTACCATTGCTTTTGTGCAGCCCCAGAACTTGATACTTCACTGTTTAGCTTAGATGTTTTACCTAAGGATATTCCTTGTTTTGTTTTGTTTTTTGGGTCCGGTCGTGGGGTCTGAACTCTGGGCCTGGGCGCTGTCCCTCAGCTTTTCAACTCAAGGCTAGCGCTCTACCACTTGAGCCACAGCGCCATTTCCGGCTTTTTTTTTCTGCTTATGTGGTGCTGAGGAATCAAACCCAAGGCCTCATGCATGCAAGGCAAGCACTCTACCACTGAGCCAACTTCCCAGCCCCATATTCCTTGTTTTATTATCATATGAAGTCATTATGTTATGTCAATCACATTACAAAGTTTATTTTACATATTATATTACATATAATTACATATTACATGTTATATTATAGGAGTACAAATGGGTTTACAAACTGAAAAATTTGTGTCTTAAATATCTCTATTTAGTGTTGAAGATGAAGCTGTTGATAAAACCATTTTCAAAGACTGTAGCAACATTACTTTCTACAGGTAAGGAAAGTAAATATATTAGCTAGGTCAAAACATTTCTGACAGTACTTCAAAATTAGTGATATTAGGGCTGGAAATGTGGCTTGGAAGTAGAGTGCCTGCCTAGCATGCATGAAGTGGTGCTGTGGCTCAAGTAGTAGAGTGTTAGCCTTGAGCAAAAGAAGCTTGGATACAGTGCCCAGGCCCTGAGTTTAAGCCCCAAGACTGGCAAGAAATAAAAACTTTAAAAAAAAAATTAGTGCTATTAGCTGGGCACCAGTGGCTCACACTGTAATCTCAGCTACTCAGGAGGTTGAGATCTGAGGATCTTGGTCCCAGGTCAGCCTAGGCAGGAAAGTTCTTGAGACTCTTATCTCTAATTAATCACCACCAGAAGTAGAGCTGTGGCTCAAAGTGATAGAGCCCTAGCCTTGAGCTTGAAAAAGCTCAGGGACAATGCTCAGGCCCTGAATTCAAGCCTCACAACTGACCAAAATAATAATAACATTAATTAAACTAATCAAAAAATTAAATTTAGTTAATTAAAATGCTATTAATTTTTTGAGAACTGGTAAGTTTTATAAGCAAAGGTCAGTTTGAAAATTTAATAAGGAGTTCCTCTTAGGTAAATAGCCAGAAGATTTATGGTCCCTGGCCATTCTAGGCAAAAAAATTACTGGGACCCTACCTACCCACTCACACAACAAATGTTGGCACTCTTGTGTAAGATGTAGGTAGGAGGATCACTCTGAAGCCAGCCCAGACAAAATGATAATTCTCTATCTGAAAGAGAAGTAAAATAAAAAAGGATTATGGGCATGGGTGCATGCATAGGAAGTAAAGTGCCCTGAGTTCAATCCACAATATTGCAGAAATTCTTTAAAAACCATCAGCAGGAGACTTTCACCCATAATTTTATATGTTAATTTAAATTTTTAAACAGGTATTTTAAATTGTAAAATTGTTTAATAAGCTTTTTTGACATGTTAACTGTAATCAGACTTCCTTCCATATAATTCCTTGGGAATTACAGTATTTTATTCCTGTATTACCACTTTATGAGATTACCTAAGCTTCCAAAAAGAGGTCTTTAACATCTTGTTTTTTCCCCTCAGTTGTGTTGCTTGAACTCAGGGTCTGAGTGCTGTCCCTATGTTTTTATGCTCAAGACTAGCGATCTACCACTTTGAGCCACAGTGTTGCTTCTGGTTTTCTGGTGGTTAACTGAAGATAAAGAGTTTCACGGACAGTCTGGGCTGGCTTTGAACCTCAGTCCTCAGATCTCAGCCTCCTGACTACTTAGTATTATAGATGTGAGTCACTAGCACCCAGCAAGATCTCGTGGAGCTTGAACTCTGAGCCTGGGTGCTGTTCCTCAGTTCTTCAGCTCAAAGGCTAACGCTCTAACACTAGAGCCACAGTGCCTACTTCTGGCTTTTTCTGTTTATGTAGTGCTAAGGAATCAAACCCAAGGCCTCATGCATGCAAGGCAAGCACTCACCCACTGAGCCACCTTTTCCAACCCCAAGATCTTTATTTTTAAAATATCTACCTTTATATGTATGGTTTTGAACTAAAAATCATCAAAAATGCTTCATGTATTTTAATTTTCTAATTCACTCTTTGTTCTAGAGAAAGATAAATCATATCTTTTTAAAACATACTTATTCATATGACTCCCAATTACTTGTTTATTTTGTGGTGCTGAGAATTGAACCCAGGGTCCTGTACATGCCAGGCAAGTACTCTACCAGTGAGTTCCATTCTCACCCCCAAGCATGCCATTTTAATTTAGAACACTACAGTGAATGCCTAGTCACCTTATTAAACCACTAGCTTATGTTAGAGTTCCACTAAAATCTACTGAGGTATACTAAATAGCCCATTTCATGAAAAGAGAGAAATTGAGCTCATAAAAGTCATTGTTGAAAATTGCTCACCTTCTCAGTAAAAGAGACAAAGGTGCCCTCCTTGAGCAATGTTATGTTGAAAACTTTGTTTTATGTTCTGTTTTTGGTAGTACTAGGATTTCAATTCAGGGCTTCATATTTGCTAGGCAGGTGCTTTATCACTTGTACTTTGCCCCCAGCCCTAAAATTAGAATTCTCACTGGCACTAATTTTATTAGCACTCATATAATACTAATACTGCCTCTGCCTAAATTCATTGAATTTTTACTGATTTCTACATGATGACATAGTCTGTTGCTGACAGTCACAAGTAGTCTTCACAACATTTATATGCTCTGTACTTATAGGCGTCAGAAACAACAACTCTCCAAGAATAACACCTACCGGGCATTATTAGACTCAGTCACAACAGGCAAAGACAGCACTAAGTTCCAAATCATCAATGAAGTAACTAAGGTGAGATAGATGCCAATTCTATACAAAATAATTTGGTTTTGTATTTATTTGTGTTGAATGACGTAAATGTCCATTATAGCCAATTAAAATGATCTAGGCCTCAAAGTTTTTAACCTTGTTAAAGAAGGAGTATCTTTTTTGTTTTGGTCGGTCATGGGGTTTGAACTCTGGGCCTGGGTGCTGTCCCTCAGCTCTTCAACTCAAGGCGAGCACTCTACTGCTTGAGCCACAGCGCCACTTCTGGCTTTCTGGTGGTTCATTGGAGATGAGTCTCACAGACTTTCCTCCCTGGGCTGGCTTTGAACTAGGATCCTCAGATCTCAGCCTCCTGAGTAGCTAGGATTACAGGCGTGAGCCACCAGCACCCGGCTGAGTATCTTTTTTTTATATGTATACTGATTTTTTTCTAGATGTTTCATAAGCATTATTCCTTTTTAAGTATTCTTCACAATATACCTAAAAAGCTCATTTTTCCACTGCTCCTGGGTTGAGGCATCTGCACACACAGAAAACTGGGCAATGTTCTTGTAATGTGGTTCAGCTCAAAGGAGTTTGCTAGGACAATGAAATAAGGCCCACCGTATAGTTCCATTATTGCAGTAATGCCTCAGCATTTGGTAATCTATCCTGGGGATTCCAAAAGCCTCCAGTCATAGGGGTTGTTAACCAGAAATAACACTTTGCCAATCTAAAGAACTGGCCTTATCTGGAGCTTAGGAATGGTGGGGCAAATTAAACCATGGACCTCCTCACCTCCAGGCTGATAGTAGAGTCTTAAGAAAGGATGAAACCCATGTAAACAAGAGCCTCCAGCTTTGGAGAATATTTTAAAGGAAAATGTCAGGCCCTCCACAATCCAACTCTTTCAACTTGCTTCAGTCATTTTCATCATCCTAATAAAGTTGTTTTTTGTTTACTATGGAGAAAAAGATGCTTAAAAGGTACATTGTATTGTCCCAAATTATTAGATAAGGAAAATGGTCTGGAAAGTCACTTTCCCAAAGTCACGCAGCCAGATTAATTCCCTGTACTTGTCAGACTCCACCGAATACTTATGTATTTTCCAGCACTATTACATGGCATAGAGTTGGTTCTACAACCTGAGCAACGTTCAGATTCTGTGAAGGTTCAAACCTCAAAATTCAGAGAGGGATCAAGTAAAGTGACTATTTGGCAGAAAACCTAAGTCACAAATACTCTATATCCTAGGCTATTTCTCCAGTAGATCACCACAGATGCTATGTACTGAGAAGATTTGAGGGGTATATCTGAAGTACTTTTTCTCCTGTCAAGTCATATACAACTTTAGGCTGTACTACAAATAAGGATCAGTCAGAGGAAATGCTATGGATCATTCCAGAAAGTGTAACAGTGCACATCGTACTGGAAGCTTTAGCTTGACATTCACTTCCTGATCCTTTCTGTCTTTTAAAGTCATCCCAAGCTTCTAGGGCCTCTAGGACCCATATGAATTAACTGGTAATCCTTTTTAAAATGTTTTTATCATTTATAAAGATGAAGTTCAGAGAGGTTACAGTTACAGACATCAGGAAAAGAGTACATTTCTTTTTTGTTTGTTTTTTTTTGGTCAGTTGTGGGGCCTGAACTCTGGGCCTGGGCACTGTCCCTCAGCTCTTCAGCTCAAGGCTAGCGCTCTACCACTTGAGCCACAGCGCCACTTCTGGCTTTTTTGTTTTTGCTTATGTGGTACTGAGGACTCGAACCCAGGGCCTCATGCACCCAAGGCAAGCACTCTACCACTGAGCCACCTTCCCAGCCCAGTAATTGATAATTCTTAAAACAAGCATATACCTGAGCAAATACATGTTAATTTGGGGAGTTTGTTCTTTTTGTTATTACCCTTGTTCTCCAATTTGCTTGGCCTATATGAATTTAAACAGACATTTTTCTTTTTTGTTTTTTTTGTTTTGTTTTTTTGTTTTTTTTGGGTCTGGTCGTGGGGCCTGAACTCTGGGCCTGGGCACTGTCCCTCAGCTCTTCAGCTCAAGGCTAGCGCTCTACCACTTGAGCCACAGCGCCACTTCCGGCTTTTTTCTTTTTGCTTATGTGGTGCTGAGGAATTGAACCCAGGGCCTCGAGCATGCAAGGCAAGCTCTCTACCACTGAGCCACCTTCCCAGCCCATGAACAGACATTTTTCTAATTATTTTAATTTGGCCCTTACAACAGGTCATCTTTGGAGTAACCTATTGTAGCTAATTTCATATATCTGTTCCCAGATTCCTCTCCTGGCTGAAGTTTATGGTATAGAGAGAAACATTTTTAGGCTTAAAATCAATGAAGAGACTCCACTGAAACCGAGATATGAAGTTCCTGATGTCCTTACCAGCAAGCTAAGCACTGTAAGGTAAGACAAGGAGCAAGGTATATTAGGTACATCCTCAAGTTAGTTGTTTTTTAATCATACCTTGCGTAGACACCTCCTATTTTTTGTGTGTATGTTCACAACTATAATCATTTGCAGAGTTGATATTCAGTGTTTTGGGGAAAGTTTACAGTTTTCTCTTTTATGTATTTTTGTTTTTTCTCTCTTTTGTCTTTTTTTTCTTTCTTTTTTTTTTTTGTTGGTCATGGGGTCTGAACTCTGGGCCTAGGTGCTGTCCCTCAGCTCTTCAGCTCAAGGCTCTATCACTTGAGCCACAGCGCCACTTGCGACTTTTTCTTATGTGGTGCTGAGGAATTGAACCCAGGGCCTCACTCAAGCAAGCACTCTACCACTGAGCCACCTTCCCAGCCCCTATTTTTGTTTTCTTCATTCACTATTTGACTCATCAGCAGAGAGGCAAAACTTTGGCTCTACTCTCTTTGCAACAAGAACAGCTATTAGCCAGACTTTGGAAGCAAGTAGAAGGAAAGCTACTTAATTTACTCACTCAGATTAGCTGCAGAGCTCAAGAGACCTGTTTACACTAGTGAAACTCCCTTGCTTACAGTAACTTATATAGTTAGACTAATTCAGTTTTAATTAAGGATATTCTCAGAAGTCTAGCATGCAATTTTGCTTAGCCAGAGATAAATTATTAATCAGTGCCTCAGTGGAAACAAAAACCTTTAGGGACTAAAGCATTCTGTTTGTGTGTGTGTGTGTGTCTGTGTCTGTGTCTGTGTCTGTCTGTCTGTCTGTCCATCCGTCTGTCCTAGGGCCTGGGTATTGCTCCTGAACTTTTTTCTTGGGACCGGTCGTGGGGCCTGAACTCTGGGCCTGGGTGCTGTCCCTCAAGCCACAACGCCACTTCCAGCTTTTTTTTTTCTGCTTATGTGGTGCTGAGTAATCGAACCCAGGGCCTCAGGCATGCAAGGCAAGCGCTCTACCACTGAGCCACCTTCCCAGCCCCTGCTCCTGAACTTTTTTTGCTCAAGGCTAGTCTTGATCACTGAAAAAAGAAAGATACCTAGATATTTGAGTGTTTAAGTGCTAGCTATGAATTTATCTAATTCCTAAGGTTCTTAGCCATCTGTAGCCAACTGTCTACCTGTCATACTGGAGACTGATAGGAGTAATATGATACTGATAGGAGTAAGATGATAAAGATAAATAAAAATTGACCTGGTTCCATCTCCCTGTGGACCCAATCTGTTATTAGTATTTTTCCTCTATCGTGGGCTTGAACTCTGAGCCTTAATGCTGTCCCTCAGCTCTTCAGCTCAGGGCTAGCACTCTACCACTTGAGCCACAGCGCTACTTCAAGTTTTCTGGGTTTTTTTTATTGGAGATAAGAGTCTCAGGAACTGGGAATGTAGCTTAGTGGTAGAATGCTTGCCTAGTGTACATGAAGCCCTAAGTTGTATTCCTGAGTACCACATAAACAGAAAAAGCCACAAGTGGTGTGAAAATTAAAAAAAAAAAGTCTCATGGGAACTTTTCTGCCTGGGCTGGCTTCAAACTCTGATCTTAGATCTTAGCCCTGAGTAGCTAGGATTATAGGTGTGATCAGCTGGTACCCAGTGGTAACATTGTTATCCAGAGTTATAAAGTATATGGTAATTATGTTCATTCCTGGTTCTATGTCATCAAAGCCTTGCTTTCAATTATGGCTCTCTACTGGCTAAGCTATGTTTTTTCACATAAAGACCAATTTGCAAATGAATTGCATTGAATTAGAAATCACATCAAAGTCTGTTAAACTGTAGCAACTTATTTTTCTTTTCTGATTCCTTTTCTAGGTTGATCTCATGCTCTGGGGATACAGGCAGCCTGATATTGGAAGGTGGAGAAAGAGATCTGAAGTGTCAGATCATAGCAAATCCATTCAAGATAGAGTTGCTATCTGAGAAAGAAGTTGTGATCAGCATAAATTCCCTAGGCCAGTTATATTTTGAGCACCTACAGATTCCTCACAAACAAAGGTATTTTGCATGATGCATTAACAAACTGAAAATACCATTTGTCTGAAATCATAACAAATCATTTTAGAAAATGGTTTTCCTGTAGCCAGATGTGGTAGTGTAAAGCAACATTCAGTAGACATACACAGGGTTTATCAATTTGAGGCTAGCCTAGGCCACCTGGGCAACATAGTGGGACCCTGCCTCAAAAATATAAAAACATAAAATTGGTTTTCTGAGTTGGGTATGATAATACACACGTATAATGCCAACACTTGAAGAGTCAGAGGCAGGCAGATTGTGAGTTCCAAGTCAACCTGGGCTTCATGGTGAGACCTTGTCTTACCAGTTTCATAAAGTGGTTACTGCTAGGGCTGAAAATGTGGCTTAGTGCTAGAGTGCTTGCCGAGCATGCATGAAGTCCTCCTGGGTTCAATTCCTCAGTACCACATTAACAGAAAAAGCTGGAAATGGTACTGTGGCTCAAGTGGTAGAAAGGTACATAGAGCCTTCAAATAAGTTATTTTGATTGCTTATGTTCAATGGTATATTTGTAGTTGTTTAGTAGTATTCTTTTTCTTTTCCAGTATTGGGACTTGAGCTTTGGGCTCTGCTTTCTTTTTATTTATTTATTTATTGCCAGTCCTGGGGCTTGAACTCAGGGTCTGTGAACTGTCTCTGAGCTAAGCTTCTTTTGCTAAAGACTAGTGCTCAACCACTTAAACCACAGTGCCACTTGCGGCTTTTTTTTTTTTTTTGACTAGTTTATTGGAGATAAAAGTCTTGCAGACTTTTTCTGTCCTGGCTGGCTTCAAACTGTGATCCTCAGATTTCAGCCTCTTGAGTAGCTGGGATTACAGGACTGACCACTGGCACCTAGCTGGGCTCTCCTTTTTTATTTTATTTTATTTTTTTTATTTTTATTTTTATTTTTGTCATTCGTGGGGCTTGAACTCTGGGCCTGGGCGCTGTCCCTCAGCTCTTCAGCTCAAAGCGAGCGCTCTACCACTTGAGCTACAGCGCCACTTCCAGTTTTCTGGTGGTTTATTGGAGATAGGCGTCTCACGGTCTCTCCTGCCCGGGCTGCCTTTGAACCGCGATCCTCAGATCTCAGCCTCCTGAGTAGCTAGGATTACAGGTGTGAGCCACCAGCGCCCGGCTTTTATTTTTATTTTTTATTTTTGTCAGTCATGGGGCTTGAACTCTGAGCATGGGTGCTGTCCCTCAGCTCTTCAGCTCAAGGTTAGTGCTCTACCACTTGAGCCACAGAGCCACTTCTGTTTCTTTCTGCTTATGTGGTGCTGAGGAATCAAACCCAGGGCATCATGGCATGCAAGGCAGGCATTCTACCACTGAGCCACCTTCCCAGCCCCTCTTGCTCATTTTTATGTGCATGCTACATTTTACTTGGAAGATAAAAATTATTGTGAAATGAATATGAATAAGTAGTTCGTATAAATAGTTCACAATGGAAGAAATAGAAGTGCTATTAAATATATGAAAAGGTAGTCTGTATCATTAATGACCATAGAAATATAAATTGAACTTAGGTGGGGGGGGGCAGTGAGAGAGGGGGAGGATATGGGAGGGCAGGGATGGTAAGGAGAAACAAAGGAGGAGGCAACAATGCTTGATAAGAAATGTACTCATTACCTTGCTCCTGTAATTGTAACCCCTCCATATGGTATTTTCACAATTAAAAAAAAAAAACTAAAAAAAAATACAAATTGAAATGTATTGTCATTTGTAACATTTTAGAATAGCAAAGACTGAACAGAATTGATAAAGTCCAGTGTTGTTAAGAATATGGAGGGAGCTGGGCACTGTGACTCATACCCAGCTACTTGGGAGGCTGAGAACAGGAGGAACATGAACAGTTCCAGGCTAGCTCAGGCAGAAAAGTGTGCAAGATCACAGCTCAGAGGAATAAGCTGGGCATGATGGTACATATCTGTAATCTGCCAAAACTAGGCAGTTCACAGTCCTGGCACAGAACTGGAGGTGGGGAGACTGACAAGACCCTATCTCAAAATAACCTTTACAGGTGCTGGGAAGGTGGCTCAGGGGTAGAGCGCTTGCCTTGCATGCCTGAGGTCCTGGGTTTGATTCCTCAGCACCACATAAGAAAAAAGCTGGAAGTAGCATTGTGGCTCAAGTGGTAGAATGCTAGCCTTGAGCTGAAGAGCTGGGGGACAGCGCCCAGGCCCAGAGTTCAGGACCCATGACCGGACCCAAAAAAAAAAAAACAAAAAAACAAATCAAAATAACCTGTACAAAAAAGGGCTGAAGGTGTGGCTCAATGGTAGAGTGCCTGCCTAACAAACATGAGGCCCTAAGTTCAAACCAGAGTACTGTTAAAACAAACAAACAAATAAAAAAAGAGTGTGAGAAGATAAGCACTCATTCAAGTATAAACAGAAAGATAAATTTCATAATCTTTCTGGAAGACTAGATTGTGCTATGTACTAGAGTAACAATGAGTAGAGGGCTGGGAAGGTGGTTCAGTGGTAGAATGCTTGCCTTGCATGCATGAGCCCTTGGGTTTGATTCCTCAGCACCATATAAGCAGAAAAAGCCGGAAGTGGCACTATGGCACTAGCCTTGAGTTGAAGAGCTGAGGGACAGTGCCTAGGCCCAAGAGTTCAGGCCCCAGAACCGGCCCCCGCCCTGCAAAATAAAAACGAGTAAGGAAAACTTTGTTTTATATAATATAACTTTGCTTTGCTAAAATATTACAAACATATGTTACATTGGTCTGTGTGTTTTTAATTTGTGTTTTGAGACAATTTAGTCTTGTTCTGTAGCCCAGACTGACCCTCAAAATCTTTATCCTTTTGTATACTCCTACTGAGTGCTGAGACTACAGGTATACATCATCACACCTGATTCATTACATTTATAATTTTAAAAATTGATAAAGGTTCTTTTAAAGGTTTAATAAGGAAATCCAGATACATCCATATCAGTATAAGAAACTGTTCATTTAGTGTTCATCATTAGTGTTTAATTCTATCAACTTACTTATTTTTATAATGATTTTATATTTACTAAATTAAAGGATATGATTTATGAACTCTTAAAAGCAGAAATGAAATATCTGTTATTCAGAAGAATCCTGTCCAGCCCATCAAATCACACAACTTTACTTATGTTCCAACAGAGCTACCACTGAAAGAGAGGAGCAGGTACCCGCTGACACCTCTCAGGTAATCTAGGTTGAACAAATGACCTCTGTCATCTTCACCACACATAGCATGGAATGGATTTTTCATGGAATACCTATCTTTTTTGCTCACTTTACGAAATTGTTGGCTCTTTCACTCATTTGTTCATTCATAAATAAATCCCAGACCTATCCTCATGGAAACAGAATCTCCTAGAAAAGACTGACACTGACTAACTATTCAGAAGCCTGAGAAATTTGCTAGAAGAGAATATAAGACCCTCCCCCATGGTATAACCCCTGTTGTCACTGTATTTGATATTGGTATACTTTGTGGAGGGGAAGGGAAAAAGAACAAATTGTTTAAATAGGGATACAGGTGGACCCATTGCAACAATGAGACGTACAAGATGTTATGTTGAAAAATGAACTTTACAACTTGGGGGGGAGGTGCAGGGAAGGGATGGGAAGGGGAAATAAAGGAGGAGGCAACAATGCTTGATAAGAAATGTACTCATTACCTTGCCCATATAATTGTAACCCCTCTGTATGGTATTTTGACAATAAATAAATTTTAAAAAGAGAGCGAGAATACAAGGACCTGACTAAGACAGGGGATTGGAAAGCTCTTCTGAAGGAAATAATATTAGTATTAGTGTAATATATTAGTATAATTAGCCAGTCAAAACAAGGGATTAGAACTACTCAGGAGGTTAGGACCTAGAGGAATGCTGTTCAAAGCCAGCCCAGTCAGAAAAGACAAGACTCGATCTCTAGCAAAGCCAAGCTGGAAGTATGGCTTGACTCATAGAGTTCCAGCTGTGACTGAGTGAGTTCAACTCGTATCAGCACAAAAAGAGAGAGAGAAAAAGAACGAAAGGGAGCCAGAGGGGAGAACTTTATATAAATACACTGGATATTTCTATTTCTTTTAGCTGAAGAAAAGAATAACAATGGAGGTGAGTGACCTAGCTAGGGATTCAGACAATAACATTCTTTAGAGAAAATCATAATTTTTTCTTTGTCGGTCGTGGGGCTTGAACTCTGGGCCTGAGTGCTGTCCCTCAGCTCTTCAGCTCAAGGCGAGCACTCTACCACTTGATCTACAGCGCCACTTCCGGTTTTCTGGTGGTTTATTGGAGATAGGAGTCTCACGGTCTCTCCTGCCCGGGCTGCCTTTGAACCGCGATCCTCAGATCTCAGCCTCCTGAGTAGCTAGGATTACAGGCATGAGCCACCAGCGCCCGGCTAAAATTATAATTATTTTATTTAACAAGTATTTGTTGAGGACCTCCTATATGCCAGGCACTATTCAAGGAGTTGGTGCTTCATCATTGAGCAAATCCAAGTTCCCCCATTATCTGCAGCATGACTTCTAATTCTAACCTTTTTGAGTTCATTTTATTTTTGTTTTTGTTTTTGTCAGTAGTGGGGCTTGAGTTCCTCTGGTCTTGGGCACTGTCCCAGCACTCTTCAGCTCAAGGCAAGCACTCTATCACTTAAGCCATAGCGCCACCTCCGGTTTTCTAGTGCTTTATTGAAGGTAAGAGTCTCACAGGGGCTGGGTGCTGGTGGCTCACACCTGTAATCCTAGCTACTCAGGAGGCTAAGATCTGAGGATTGGGGTTCAAAGCCAGCCTGGGCAAGAAAGTCTGTGAAACTGTTATCTCCAATAAACCACCAGAAAAAAACCCGAACGTGGCACTGTAGCTCAAGTAGTAGAGCGCTAGCCTTGAGCCAAAGAGCTGAGAGACAGTGCTCAAGCCCAGAGTTCAAGCCCCATGACTGACCAAAACCAAACAAAACAAAAAAACCTAAATAAGATTTGCTACTGTACTTTTGTTGCAATTTATAAACTCATTTTACTCTTCTTTTTGTTTTGACAGGAAAGTCAAGAGGATCTAGGCCTATGGGAAGAGAAATTTGGAAATTTTGTAGATGTCAAAGCTAATGGTAAATGTCAGAGCCAATAATGATATGGTATTACAACAAATTATTGCAAAATTGCAAAATCTATCTAAAAGTCTCTTGGAGATTTACATTTTAGCTCAATGGTAGAGTACCTACTTTATATGATACCCTGGGTTTCATTCCTAGCTCTAATAGGATAGCTAGATGGATGGATGGATGGATGGATAAATAGATAGATAGGTAGATATTCCTAGCTCTAGGATAGACAGACAGACAAAGAAAAACCACCTGAGCTTTGGCAACCTAAAACAAATTAGAAATCTCAGATTTGGGTTTCTTGTCCTTGCAGTGAAGCAATTCTGTCTTTAGGGAGCAGTGTCAAGAGCACAGGCCACATGGAACTTACATTCTCACAGAAGGGCTGAGGTCATTACCCTGCTTCACTGTCCAGTAGAGGAGACAGAAATTCTGCATTTTTAAATTATTTATTTTTGTTGGTCGTGGTGCTTGAACTCTGGGCCTGGGAGCTGTCCCTCAGCTCTTCAGCTCAAGGCTAGTGCTCTACCACTTGAGCTATAGCACCACTTCCAGTTTTCTGAGTGGTTTATTGGAGATAAGAGTCTTGGAAAGTTCTTGAGACTCTTATCTCCAATAAACTGCTAGAAAACCGGAAGTGGTGCTGTGGCTCAACCACTCGCCTTGAGCTGAAGAGCACTAGGACAGCGCCCAAGCCCAGAGTTCAAGCCCCATGACTGACAAAAAAAAAAAAAAAAGTGTCTCAGCCTTTCCTGCCCGGGCTGTCTTTGAACCACAATCCTCAGATCTCAGCCTCCTGAGTAGCTAGGATTACAGGCGTGAGCCACCAGTGCACAGCTTAAGTTTGTTTTTATGAGAATTAAGTGATAAAGAACCAAGTTCTAGACTTCATCAGTTGTGAAGTCCTCAGCCTTTTGTCATTCATATGGGTGTCACTAGTCCATCTGACATTTTTCACTATATTTAATGATGGATTTGCAGACTGGGGATGGAGTTTATCTCATTCAGGTATGTGGTGCTCGTGTGATTAGAAAAACATTTTTTCTTCTTCCATGCCTTTGGCATAATAAAGCTTCCCTGACTCCTTGAGGAAGCCCTGTTCTAGCAACATTTAGTACTATCTATAGATAGTAAAGAGATTTGTATGAAAGTGGACAAAAGAACTGTAGTACAAGTTGTCTGTCGGTAGTTCATGCCTGTAATCCTAGCTATTCAGAAGGCTGAGATAGGATCACAGTTCAAAGCCAGTCCAGGAACAAAGGTCCATGAGACTCTTATCTCCAATAAACTACTCAGAAAAAGGTAGAAGTGGTACTGTGGCTTGAAGAGCACAGAGGCTCAGGGACAGTGCTCAAGCCCTGAGTTCAAGCCTCAGGACAAAACAATACTATAGCATGTAGCAAAGGCTGTGTAACTAATAAGTCACTAAAGATTTGCATTATACATACATTTCTGTATCCCAGCAATACCTGAATCAGTTTACAGTATTTGCTAATTGACTGGAGCAAGCTAAGGGCTTTCTATTCCTTTTTGGTCTGGCCGTCTAGCTATAATTTAATGAACTGAATTTCCTTAATTGATTGTCTTACTAAGAAGCAAAACTCAGTCACTGTCCTGGTCTCTACAGGTCCTACCTCCATTGGTTTGGATTTCTCCTTGCATGGATTTGAACATCTTTATGGAATTCCGCAACATGCAGAATCACACCGACTTAAAAATACTGAGTAAGGGCTGGGAAGGTGGCTCAGTGGTAGAGCGCTTGCCTTGCATGCCTGAGGCCCTGGGTTCGATTCCTCAGCACCACATAAGCAAAAAGAAAAAAAGCTGGAAGTGGCGCTGTGGCTCAAGTGGTAGAGTGCTAGCCTTGAACTGAAGACCTGAGGGATAGCGCCCAGGCCCAGAGTTCAGGCCCCACGACCGGACCCAAAAAAAAAAAATATACTAAATAAGTAGGCTGGAGGGATGGCTCAAGTGATAGAATGACTGCATAACAAGCACAAAGCCCTAAGTTCAAATAATACTAGGTAAATAAAAATTACTGTTATTTTTGATTTGTCAGTCATGAGGACCTGGGCACTGTCCCTGAGTTCTTTTTGCTCAAGGTAGTGCTCTACCACTTTGAGCCACAGTACACTTTCAGTTTTCTTGTGGTTAATTGGAAATAAAAGTCTCACAGACTTTCTTGCCCAGGTTGGCTTTGAACTGCGATTCTCAGATCTCATCCTCCTGAATAGGTAGGATTACAGGTGTGAGCCACCAGCTCCTGGCTTGTTTGTGGAGTTTTAAGAACCTTCCTTGAAGGAGCATAACTTTTTTGTGTAAAAAAAAACAAACATGAAAACTATAAAACTGAATTTGGAAATGTAGAAAAAGGAAGAATACAGAACTATGTGGGTAAAGCAGGGAGAGATTTTTATCCGTGGATTTCACTTTCACCTCTCGGGGGCCTTTTTGTGGATTCTCAAGAGAATACACCAAAAAAATGACTGACCTGGTTTACCCTAAGCGGACAATGGAAAAGCATGATATCTCCTGTTCCTTTGCTATTCCCCCAGGGAGATCATTTCAGACTAACACTCCTGACATTTAGATGGCCAGAAGCATCAGACTAAGGGCAATCAATACTGAAGAGAAGCAAGGGCTGATCCAGGTTGACAGGTTCAAGTGCTGTTTATCTGGCAGGTGAGCATATTGACAGGTCCACCAGAAACTGGCACTCATACTAATCCTAGCTCTATCACCACCCCAGTTCAGTTTCTGATCTTACTTAGCTCTGTGGGGCAAATTTCTTTTGCTTTAGCTGCAGAGAAGGACTCACAGAATCAACCCTGGAGGCTTAGCCTGCACCTGCCATTTGGCCGATTCACAGACCATAGTCCTTCCATTATAAGAGACACTGAGGAAAGGCGTCTAAGGTGCCAAAGCAATTCAACCTAGGATCATTTGCACAGATTGGGCCAGTAAAGATTTAGGGAAGTGCTAAGAGCTGAGTTTTGGAAGATATTTGAACCCTAATTGTTTACAGGGGCGATTGGAGCTGTTTTATTTATTTATTAATAGTACAAATGTGATGGTGATTGATCCTAATTCTATTTGTGTTTCAGGGATGGAGATGCTTATCGTCTTTATAATCTGGACATCTATGGATATCAAATACACAGCAAAACAGGAATTTATGGCTCAGTGCCATATCTGCTGGCACATAAACTGGGCAGGACTATAGGTATTTTCTGGCTGAATGCTTCTGAAACACTAGTGGAGATCAACACAGAGCCTGCAGTAGAGGTGAGCCATGGATCATGGCTGCATGTCGTATTTACAGAAGAAATAAAATCATTGCATTATAGTCATGGCTCTTTTTTTTTTTATTTGTAGTGGCATTTCTCTGCCACTAGAGTTTTATACTGGATTCAGTGACAATCAGTATCGTCTACTGAAGGAACAAACTTACGTATGATCAGGTGCTGTGGGGCAAATTTTCTCAAATTTTTCATTCCATTCCTTTTTCAGTACACATTTACTCAGATGGGCCCAGCTGCTGCTAAACAAAAGGTCAGACCTCGAACAGACGTGCGCTGGATGTCAGAAAGTGGAATCATTGATGTTTTCCTTTTGACAGGACCTACACCTTTTGATGTCTTCAAGCAGTACTCATTTCTTACAGGTACTTGCATGTAGAAGTGTCACTTCCTAGTTCCATTATGTTTTCTCTGCCTCATGCATCATCATGGTAAATTACCATTTATTGCACATATGTAGATATTTAGAGAGCTTACCTCTAAGCACAGTAGGTAGCAAGCATTTCTCCTTCCATCCTCATCACAATAACTCAGCTAAACATTACACTGGGTCTAGAACTCTGTTCCCTAATCCCTGATACTTGCTATCTGCCTCCCTTGTATATTATCTGCCCTTAACCCAAATGACTAATAACCCAACCTAAATATTCTACCGCCTTTAGCAATAAAGCATTTTGTTTTTAAAATCCTGCAGTCTTCACTAATATTAGAAATAAGACAAACCTACCTACTTTTACCACTACTATTCAACATTGTGTCAGAAGTTTTAATCAGACCAATTAGTAAGAAAAAGAAATAACAGCTGAGTATTAGTGGCTTATGCCTCTAATCCTACCTACTCAGGAGGCTGAGATCTGAGGTTCCCAGTTTGAAACTAGCCCAGGTAGGAAAGTTCATGAGACTCTTACCTCCAACAGACTACTCAGAAAAAGCCAGAAGTGGCACTGTGGCTCAAGTGGTAGAGCACTAGCCTTGAGCAAAAGAAGTTCAGGTATGGAGCCCAGAACCAGAAAAAAAAATAACAATATAAATTGGAAAGGAAGATAATGTGAAGGTCATACTTTCAGGTGATATGACCTTATACATAGAAAATACACACACAAACCTTTTGTTGGGCACTGGTGGCTCAAGCCTGTTGTAGTCCTAGCTACTCAGGAGGCTGAGATCTAAGGATTACAGTTCAAAATCAGCTAGGGCAGGAAAGTCCCTGTGAGACTCTCTAATTAACCACTCAAAAACTAGAAGTGGTGCTGTGGCTTAAGTGGTAGAGCACTAGCCTTGAGCACAAAAAGGCTGAGGAAGAGTGCCCAGTTCTTTGGTAATTCACACAGCTGTAATTTCCCTCTTTAAGGTACACAAGCCATGCCCCCTCTCTTCTCTTTGGGGTACCACCAGTGTCGTTGGAACTATGAAGATGAGCAGGATGTAAAGGCAGTGGATGCAGGATTTGATGAGCATGACATTCCTTATGATGTCATGTGGCTGGACATTGAGCATACTGAGGGCAAGCGGTATTTCACCTGGGACAAGAAAAGATTCCCAGCCCCCAAAAGGATGCAAGAGCTACTCAGAAACAAAAAACGTAAGGTAATCTTTGCCAACATTTTTTGTTTGTTTGTTTGTTTTTTTGGGTCCGGTCATGGGGCCTGAACTCTGGGCCTGGGTGCTGTCCCTCAGCTCTTCAGCTCAAGGCTAGCACTCTACCACTTGATCCACAGCGCCACTTCCGGCTTTTTTCTTTTTGCTTATGTGGCACTGAGGAATCGAACCCAGGGCCTCCGGCATGCAAGGCATGCGCTCTACCACTGAGCCACCTTCCCAGCCCGCTTGCCAACATTTTTTAAGCTTTTGGTGATAAAGCTTTTTAAAATTGTTTTAAATTTGCCTTGGGACATTAGTGAAGGAAAGACTATCTGATAAAAATGGCCAGAAAAATCGTGCCTTCAAATGTGAACAGAAAATGAGTGATAGGTTTTGTTTTTAATCAGTCATGGGGCTTGAACTTTGGCTTTGTCCCTCAGCACTTCAGCTCAAGGCTAGTGCTCTACCACTTGAGCCACAGTGCCACTTCCTGAATGATGAAAAGATGGTATTAGAAAGGTGAGGTGAGGAGCTTTTTTTCTCACACCTCCTTCCTAAATATTTCAGTAAGACTGGGTTTGGAGTTTCGCTTATTTTTAACATGTAATTTTCTTGTGTTAGTTTATGTTTGCTTTGATTAATATCCTCTAAATATCTAGGACACAGGAATCCTGCCTACTTAATCTAGCACCCAGCATCCTAGACAATAGAAACTTAATAAATGCCAATGTAAGAACATGTACAGTTAGGCAACAATAGTTACGAAAGAACATTGGCCTGGTTTTGATACTAATTTTTTAATTAAGCACATGAAGTTATAGAGTTTTACTGGTGTCTGAAATATTTCAATGTGAGTGACAGTTGTTTCTGAGTGAAATTAGAACCCCAAAATTATTGTACAAACAGTATAAACTGACGAGATCTTGTAATCCCTGTATCCTGACAGCTTGTAGTCATTAGTGACCCACACATCAAGGTTGATCCTGACTATTCAGTGTATGCTAAGGCCAAAGAACAGGGCTTCTTTGTGAGGAATCCAGAAGGGGGCGACTTTGAAGGAGTATGCTGGCCTGGTAAGATTTTACTATACCTGTTCACTTGGTATTTCTACCTCTTCACTCCCAATTAATGAAGGTTACATGGCTATCATTCTTGTTCCTTGTAGATGGAACTACATTTTAAACCTGTGTGTGTGTGTGTGTGTGTACGCGTGCACGTGCGCTTGCGTCTGTGTGTGTGTTACTGTGTGTGAACTCAAGAGCGTCACACTTGCTAGACAGATGCTCTACTCTTACTTATTTTTTTGCCAATCCTGGGGCTTGAACTCAGGGCCTGGGCACTGTCCCTGAGCTTCTTTTGCTCAAGGCTAGCACTCTACCACTTGAGCCACAGCACCACTTCTGGCTTTTTTTGTGTATGTGTTACTGAGGACTTGAAACCAGGGCTTCATGTATGCTAGGCAAGCACTCTACCACTGAGCCAACCTCTCACTCTTTGAGCAACTTCTCCAACAATTTCGAGCAACCTACACAGATGGCATGATTTCCTTAGTCATCTTTCATTACATATGATAAAATGAGCTTTATCAGTGATTGAATGAATGAAGAAATAGAAATAAAGCTTTGTGGCATGCTGTTTCTATAAGCAAATAGAAATAAGAAGTAGGGAATGAGAGAGAAGAATAAGTATACTATAGGCTCACTCATATGACTGTTCTTTGTACTTTTAGCCCATAATTTTGTTTTCCTAGCTTTCCGTGAGCGGCCTTAGCTGCCTCTGGCAACTACAGATTTTTTTTGGAAGTTATTAGCCTTGGTTAAAAAAAAAAAAAACTACCTCAAGGACAACAGGAAATGATCACTTGATAATAAATCCATGCATGGGCTGGGAGTATGGCCTAGCATGTATGAAGCCCTGGGTTCGATTCCTCAGTATCACATACACAGAAAAAGCTGGAAATGATGCTGTGGCTCAACTGGTAGAGCACTAGCCTTAAGAAAAAGAAGCTCAGGGATAGAGCCCAAGCCTTGAGTTCAAGCTCCAAGACTGGCAAAAAAAAATTCCTGCACTTCATGCCTTTCTTTACTTGCTGTGAGCCACTTGAATAAGCTTCTCTGTTCAAGTCTGACAGGTCACTAGATACTTGCCTTCTTTACCTGTGTCATCTTAGGCCATTGCTGATGGAGGCATATGAATGCTTATACCTTGCTATTCCCTGGACCTGTGGCACTAAAGATGTAGATAGTTAACTCTGGAGTCTGGCACCACCTTTACTCACTTTTTTTTTTGTCAGGCCTGGGGCTTGAACTCAGAGCCTGGGCACTGTCCCTGACCTTCTTTTGCTCAAGGTTGGTGCTCTACCACTTGAGCCACAGTGACACTCCTGGCTTTTTCTATGTATATGGTACTAAGAAATTGAACCCAGGCATGCTAGGCAAGCACTCTACCACTAAGCCACATTCCCAGTCCCTCACTTCTTTTTTTTTTTTTTTTTTTGTCGGTTGTGGGGCTTTAACTCTGGGCCTGGACACTGTCCCTCGGCTCTGCAGCTTAAGACTAGCACTCAACCACTTAAGCCACAGTGCCACTTCTGGTTTTCTGAGTGGTTAATTGGAGATAAGAGTCTCACGGACTTTCCTGCCCAGGCTGGCTTTGAACTAGGATCCTCAGATCTCAGTCTCCTGTGTAGCTAGGATTACAGGCGTGAACAACCAGTGCCCGGCTAACCCCTACTTCTTACATTTTGTTTGTTTGTTTTTTTGGCTCCGGTCATGGGGCCTGAACTCTGGGCCTGGGCACTGTCCCTCAGCTCTTCAGCTCAAGGCTAGTGCTCTACCACTTGAGCCACAGCGCCACTTCCGGCTTTTTTATTTTTGCTTATGTGGTGCTGAGGAATCAAACCCAGGGCCTCTGGCATGCAAGGCATGTACTCTACCACTGAGCCACCTTCCCAGCCCCTACTTCTTACATTTTGGTCCCATGAGGAATCAAACCTGTGGTCTTATACATGCTAGGCAGTTGCTATATCAATTTATCAATTTGAGCTATAACCCCAGCCATTTTACTTAAATTTTTTGTTTTTTGATGAAAGGTCTTTTAAATTTGCCTGGACTGGCATCAAATTTTGATCCTCCTATCTCTGTTTCCTAAGTAGCTGGGGTTATAGGCATGTGCCACTATGTTGGCTTTCATTCACTTTTGCAGACCATGCCTCTCTCAGTTGTCCTTGTGTTTGATGTAAGGTGTCCTGTTATTACTCTGCTTTCACATCTGACATTCTTTACAACATCTTACTGTAAGGACCACTAATATACTCTCTACTCTTCTGCCTCTATAGGTCTCTCTTCTTATCTGGATTTCACCAATCCCAAAGTCAGAGAGTGGTATTCAGGTCTTTTTGCTTTCTCTGCTTATCAGGTTAGTTTTCATTCTTTTACTCAGTCCTAATTAGCTGCAAAGAAAAAAAGTGTAGAACAGAGCTATTCCGCCTCATTTTGTAGTACTTGATATATAAAGCCTTCATGAAAAGGCAGAGGTAGCCAGCATGTTGTAGACTGGGTGGTTCTGGGAGAGACACCATATACATAACTAAATACAATGCATAGAAGTTCTGGGGTTTTTACTTCTTCTTCTTTTTTTTTTGTATTGGTCCTGGTGCTTGAACTCAGGGCCTTGGTGCTGTCCCTGAGCTTTTGAGCTTTCTTTCTTTTTTTTTATTTTGGTTGGTCATGGGGCTTGAACTCTGGGCTTGGGCATTGTCCCTGTGTTCTTCAGCTTAAGGTGAGTGCTCTACCACTTGAGCCACAGCACCTCTTCAGTTCTCTAGTGGTTTATTGGAGAGAAGAGTCTCTCAGACTTTCCTGCCCAGGCTGGCTTTGAACCACGATCCTCAGATCTCAGCCTCCTGAGTAGCTAGGATTACAGATGTGAGCCACCGGCGCCTAGCTTCCCTGAGCTTTTTTGCACAAGGCTATTGCTCTACCACTTGAGCCATAGCTCTACATCTGGCCTTTTTTGTGTGTATGTGATTAATTGGAAATACGGTTTCATGGACTTTCCTGCCTAGGCTGGCTTCTAACCATGATCCTCAGATCTCAGCCTCCTGAGTAGCTAGGATTATAGGTATAAGCCACCTGTACCTGTTTTGTTTTGTTTTTAACCCTCTATTTTAACATATATATATCAAAGCATATTATAAGCTCTCTTATCTATTGTGTTTTCAAATTGCTGTGTACATTTCATATAAAATAATACTCTGTAACTTTTTTTTTTGACCAGTCCTAGGGCTTGAACTCAGGGCCTGGGCACTGTCCCTGAGTTTCTTTTGCTCAAGGCTAGCACTCTACCACTTGAGCCACAGCACCACTTCCAGCTTTTTCTCTTTATGTAGTAATGAGGAATTGAACCCAGGGCTTCATGCATGCTAAGCAAGTACTCTACCACTAAGCCATATTCCCAGCCCCTATAACTTATTTTAAAATGATATGATAAACATGAGCATATCTTATAAACCATAATATATTTAAAAATCTTATGGGCTTGCCTAACAAGTGTAATGTACTGAGTTCAATCAGTACAAAAAACAAAATATACAGTTCAAAAATCTTACAGGAACCACAGAAAGCTGAAGAGGCCATATCTGGAGGACTGTTTTCAACCAATTCTGATGATGATGATGATGATGATGATGATGATAATGATACCTAGTACAGATTGAATAGGAGCTATGTTCACAGCAGTTCTGTGTCATTTGTTTTTTAACCATTGAAAGAAGAAACTATAATTAAATCTAATCCCAATTGAGGTGTGGAGAATGAAAGTACCTGCCAAGGTCATCCAACTAGTAAATGATGGACTTAAGGTTTGAGCTCAGGTCTGCTTGTCTGCCAAGCCCAGCTCTTAACCACTAAATACTAGTTTCTGAACATTGTAGATTAGTATACTAGGGGGAAAAAAAAAACCTCGAAGCAGGGATAGACAACAATTCAGGACAGATATGACTGTGGTCCTCCACTTTCCTGTTTTCCATGGCTGTTTGGCCGCTCCTATGGCAGAGTTGAGTGAGGAAATGTTGTGTTCTGTGGAGCTGAACATATTTGTTGGAACCCTTATCTACATAAAGAACAGTGAAGGTAAATATTTGGAAACCTGAAGTTGAGCTGTGGCTCAAATGGTAGAGCACTAGACTTGGTAGAAAAAGAAGCTCGGGGATAGCATTCAGGCCCTGAGTTCAAGCCCCAGGACCAGCACATATATGTTTGATAACATATAGCCTTTTTCATAGAAGTTTAGAAATTTTGCCTTGTTTAGAGATACTAAAGAATAAAAAGAATTAGATAAAGAATCTAATTGTGAATATTTGCAATATTTCTTTTTTTTCCCTGGTCATGGGGCTTTAACTCTAGGCCTGGGTACTGTCTCTGAGCTCTTCAGCTCAAGGCTAGTGCTCTACCACTTGAACCATGGCGCCACATCCAGCTTTTTCTGTTGATGTGGTACTGAGGAATTGAACCCAGGGCTTCATGAATGCTAAACAAGCACTCTACCACTGAGCCACATTCCCAGCCCTATTTGCAATATTTCTAGTGAATATTTGCAATATTTCTGGTAGGGATTCTTGGGTACCTCTCAGAATAAACTTGATGGCAATATATTTTTCACAGACAGCATTATATAACAGTCTTTCATTCATCAATCAGTACTTATTGGAAACTTTTTAGGAACTGTTCTGTGTTTAGGATTTACCAGTGAACAAAACAGATAAAATTCCTTGCCCAATAAGAAGAATAAATAAGAAAACTAAATGGTTAGGAAAGAAGAGTGGGGACTGCCACCCTATTAATATCATCTCTGTGGGAGTATTTTCCTAAACAATTTACTTCCTAGGAATCTACGGATATCCTCTTCATTTGGAATGACATGAATGAACCCTCAGTCTTTAAAGGGCCAGAGCTAACTATGCAAAAGAATGCCATTCATCATGGTGGCTGGGAGCATAGAGAACTGCACAACATCTATGGTTTTTATCAGGTGAGCCATCCAGAAAGAAGCCAGCTAGACTTGGGTGCCCCACCTTTAGGCTTTTTAATAGCTATGCTATACTGCTCATGTCTCTCAGTGTCTTTTCTCTTTTTTGGTTTTTGAGGGTTGTTTTGTTTTATTTTGGGCTACTAGGGTTTGGACTCAGAGCCTAGCAATTGCTAGGCAGGTGTTCTACCACTTAAGCCACGCCAACCTATGCTCCTGCTCCTGGCTTTCTTCTTTGTGTCTTTTCTGACAAATGCACCTTCCGTTAAAACCAACACAAGACTCTCTTACTTTCCTTTCCCTTTCCTTTCATGAACTTGATGAATTTTTAGAATGTGACTATATGCCTATGGTTCTCCTACCAATTGGTATTTTCCAGTGGGAACTGCTGGCTAATAGAGCACTTTTCTAACATCCTATTGCAAATTGCCTTGAGGTGTTTTTTGTTTTTGTTTTTGGTTTTTTGATTTTTTTTTTTTTGGTCATTCGTCAGGCTTGAACTCTGGGCTTGGGCACTGTCCCTGCACTCTTCAGCTCAAGACAAGCATTCTACCACTTGAGCCACAGCGCCACCTCCGGTTTTCTAGTGGTGTATTGAAGAAAAGAGTCTCACGGACTTTCCTGCCCGGGCTGGCTTTGAACCGAGATCCTCAGATCTCAGCCTCCTGAGTAACTAGGATTACAGGCGTGAGCCGCCAGTGCCCAGCTTGTTACTATCTTTTAATAGGGCTATTTAGAGTAGTTTTATTTTGTCCTCAAAATAATATGATGGAACTAATGTTTTCTTTTCTTTTTTTTTTTTTGGGGTCCGGTCATGGGGCCTGAACTCTGGGCCTGGGCACTGTCCCTCAGCTCTTCAGCTCAAGGCTAGCGCTCTACCACTTGAGCTACAGCGCCACTTCCGGCTTTTTTCTTATGTGGTGCTGAGGAATCGAACCCAGGGCCTTGAGCATGCAAGGCAAGCGCTCTACCACTGAGCCACTTTCCCAGCCCCGGAACTAATGTGTTCTATTTCACCTTTCTACCCACTGTTTACTTTTTTTAAGTTAGCATGCTGAGCATGTCAGCACAGAGCCATAATTGTATCATACCTGTAAAAATTTCCCCTATTGACTTTACAGCAAATGGCTACAGCAGAGGGACTAACACAGAGATCTAAAGGGAAGGAGAGACCCTTCGTTCTTTCACGTTCTTTCTTTGCTGGATCACAAAAGTATGGTAAGGAAATGTCAGAGAACCTTGAAATCATGCTAAGTGATAAAGCCAGACACCAAAAGCCACATATAATATTAGTTGGTTCTTTTTATAATGAATGTCAAGAATAGAGAAATTCTTAGAGACAGGAAGTAGGTTGTTGGCTGCCAAGAGCTGGGGACTAAGGAATTGGTCTCCATTAGTTACCATTACTAATAGTACACATTTCCTTTAGGAGTGATAAGAATCTATTTGAATTAGATAGTGGTGATGATGGCACAATATGGAAAGTATATTTTAAGAGTTACTGAATTGTATGTTTTAAAAAGATAAATTTATGGTACTTTAATTTTTTTAGGGGGTGGTGGTAGTACTGGAGATTGTACTCAGGACCTTACAATTACCAGACAAGCACTGTACTGCCTGAACCATGCCCCTAGTCCTGACTCCATCTTTTTGTCGGTTGTGGGGCTTGAACTCTGAGCTTGAGCACTGTCCCTGCACTCTTCAGCTCAAAGCGAGTGTTCTACCACATGAGCCACAGTGCCACTTCTGGTTTTCTAGTGGTTTATTGGCATTAAGAGTCTCTCAGCCTTTCCTGCCTGGGCTGGCTTTGAACTGTGATCCTCAGATCTCAGCCTCCTGAGTAGCCAGGATTATAGGCATGAGCCACCATTGCCCAGCTCCGACTCCAATTTTAAAAAGGAAAAAAAAACTTTGTGCAATTTAAACAAACAAACAGTAGGATAAGAAATAGCTAGTTTAATAATCAGACTGAAAAACTCTGTCTTAATCGGGTACCAGTGGCTCACGCCTGTAATCCTGGCTACTCAGTAGGCCAAGATCTGAGGGTCGCTGTTTGATGCCAGCCCAGGCAGGAAAGTCCATGACTCTTATCTTCAATAAACTACTCAAAAAAAGCCAAAAGTAGCTGTGGCTCAAGTGGTAGAGCACTAGCCTTGAGCAAAAAGCTCAGGGACAGCACCCAGGATGGGCAAACAAGAACAACAACAAACAAAAACAATCACCTGTCTTTTTTTTATTTTTATTTATTTATTTTTTTGGTCTGGTTGTGGGGCCTGAACTCTGGGCCTGTGCGCTGTCCCTCAGCTCTTCAGCTCAAGGCTAGAGCTCTACCACTTGAGCCACAGTGCCACTTCTGGCTTTTTTCTTTTTGCTTATGTGGTGCTGAGGAATCGAACCCAGGGCCTTGGGCATGCAAGGCAAGCGCTCTACCACTGAGCCACCTTCCCAGCCCACCTGTCTTTTAAAAAAAAAAAAAACCATTTCTGATATATCTGCCACTGTGTTCCTTTTAATAGACATTGCTCAGAACTTCAGTTGTACAGGGTAATATGCCCCAAAATGTGCATTTTGTCCTCTAAGGCAAAGGAAACCAGCTTTAATTGCATTCAATACTTGTTTCTCACTGAAGAAGTGGTCACTTAGATGTTGGGAGGGAGACTTCACAGCAGCCAGTTTGCTGACATGGTCATCTCTGATTCTGTCTCTTTGATTTATCAAAATGAGGGAAATATACCTCTAACATTCTCCACAACCACCTGTTCCATTTCGCAAGGTGGCTTAAAATAGACCTAGCTGTTGCTTGTAGTCAGGGTCATCTATAACTGGATCCAGTATACAAGTGCATGCAGATCCAGTTCAGTTTAACCACTGTGGCAGGGAAGCTATTTTAAGTCCTCTGTCCTTGTCAGTTACTGAGAGCTTTAATCTTAGTTTGAAAAACCCAGCCGTATCATATACCATAGACATAAGACCTCCCACTCCACTCCTAAAAACTTGCCCTGTGATATTTAGCCAAATGACACATACTGTCATCCCAGACAAAAATTCATATGGAGATACTTACTATGGGATTAGTATTAGAAAGAGAGAAATAGCTAAATATGTAATATAAAGGAATAGTATGGAGTATCTGTTTGATAGACTATTATGAGACTTGTTCTTGTTCTGAAGCCCAGCTGGCTTTAAACTTGTGATCCTTCTGCTTCAGCTTCCAGGTGCTGGGATTATAGGCATTCCACTACCATGCTTGATATAGGCTATTTTAAATGGTAACTTTAATTGCATGAGAGAAATGTTTGTAGCTGGGAGAGGGTATACTTGTCTGTAATCCTAGCACCCAAGGAGGCTGAAGCAGGAGATTCCAGAGTTACAGGCCAGCCTAGGCTGCATAGCAGACCTTGTCTAAAAAACAAAAGTACACAGATAAATTAATGCAAAAAAAGAAAATGTTGGGACTGGGAATGTGGCCTAGTGGTAGAGTGCTTAACTAGCATGTGTGATGCCGTAGTTCAATTCAAGCCAGAAATGGTGCTGTGGCTCAAGTGGCAGAATGCTAACCTTGAGCAAAAGAAGCTCAGGAACAGTGCCCAGGCCCTGAGTTCAGGCCCCAGGACTGACAAAAAATAAAATAAATAAAGCCGGGCACAGGTGGCTCATGCCTGTAATCCTAGCTACTCAGGAGGCTGAGATCTGAGGATTGTGGTTCAAAGCCAGGCAGAGCAGGAAAGTGTGTAAGACTCTTATCTCCAATAAACCACCAGAAAACCAGAAGTGACATTTTGGCTGAAGTGGTAGAGCACTAGCCTTGAGCTGAAGAGCTGAGGGACAGCACCCAGGCCCAAAGTTCAAGCCCCACAACTGACAAAATAAATAATTAAAATAAAAATAAATAAATGTGATTCAGAATATTTTCATTGAATGCCTGTTTTGTGGGTTTTAACCATATTTCAGCATTAGGAAATTGACCTCATTGTAAAACTTCAGAGTGTTTAGTTTAAGATATGGAATCTTCTCCTTTTTATTTATTTTTCACAAATAATCTAAATGTTAAATTGAGTGTGTCAGCAAATTGTTAATACTTTGTTACCAATGACCAAAGGTGCAGTATGGACGGGTGACAACACGGCAGAATGGAGTTACCTGAAAATTTCTCTCCCAATGTTACTGACTCTCAGCATTACTGGGATCTCTTTCTGTGGAGGTGAGATGAGTCCTGGCCTGTGCCTTGACATGAGTGAATGAAAAGTGAGGATCACAAATTGCTTTTCAGTAGCTGTCATAGCCAAGCTGATAGATGTGGAAAGAGAAAATGGGAGAAAGGGAAGGTGAACAGATCAGAAAGTGAAAGAGGTGCTGCAGAATTGCTTGTGTCATGACTGAGCTGAGGACATGAAAAAAACCAGGTTATCAGAAAAGAAGCCAGGATGCCAGCTTCCTTCATTATCTCAGTACTTCCTCTTGGCCTGCTTGAAAACTGAGTCTTCTTGAAAGTGGGAAGGAAGAGTTGAGAGAACTACAGAGAATTTAATGAAGCATCCTGGCATTGGGAGCATAGCTCAGAGCACTGGCCTGGCTTGTATGCAGCCCCGGGTTCAACCCTCAGCACCAAAGGAAGCTTTTCAGAAATCCTTTCTGCTGAGCAGATTTAAAATTCTGTGATTTTATTTTATTTTATTTTTGGGGTCCGGTTGTGGGGCCTGAACTCTGGGCCTGGGCACTGTCCCTCAGCTCTTCAGCTCAAGGCTAGTGCTCTACCACTTGAGCCACAGCGCCACTTCTGGCTTTTTTCCTTTTGCTTATGTGGTGCTGAGGAATCGAACCCAGGGCTTCAGGCATGCAAGGCAAGCGCTCTACCACTGAGCCACTTTCCCAGCCCTAAAATTCTGTGATTTTAAATAAATACAAACACACACATACACATAGGTACACACACACTTTTAAAAAGGTATGCTCTTGGGAAAGATAAGTAAGAAAGATAAGAAAGTAAGTGTCTGATGGCTCAACTTCTCAGCATCCTGAGCTTTTGATGCATAAGAGATACCAACATGGAAAGTGCTCAGTATGGTTGCAGCTGCAGCTGTTCTTCATTTTTTTGTAGGAATAGAAACAGATTAATGTCACTGCTTTTAACATATGCTTTTGATGGCGTTGGTCCACATACAACACAAAAAATATATACGCTGCTCAGGGAGTCGGCATGAAATTCTACCTAACCCACTAACTCTGATTTGCTTCTCTTTCTTTCTTTCTTTAGTTTTTAAATCTTGGTTTAGCTGTTACTTTGAAAGGAAATCAATTATCATTTACCTTCCCCTCAGTACATATACATACACACACACATAATCAGGCAAACATTTTGCAGTTTATAGGTAAAGTGAGCACAGGAACATATAGGAGTACTGATCTTGCAATAAAACTTCTGATCTTTTCAGAATGTTCAAAGAGTATTCTGTCCAGTCCCCAGACAGGCTGAGATTTGTAGTACATGTTCCCTAGTTGAGGCCACAGTTGTACCCTGTCATTCCAGGTATGCATATGGTCCCATTCTTCTCTGTCTGCAATGCATCATTTTACTTATGGGCATCATTTATTTAAAGTTTAGTTGCCTCACTCTACCTTCCTTTGTTTTTTTTGTTTTTTTTTTTTTTTGCCGGTGGTGGGACCTGAACTCTGGGCCTGGGTGATGTCCTTCAGCAATTCAGCTCAAGGCTAGCGCTCTACCACTTTGAGCCACAGTGCCACTTCCAGCTTTTTCTGCTTATGTGGTGCTGAGGAATTGAACCCAGGGCCTCATGCATGCAAGGCAAGCACTCTACCCCTGAGCCACTTTCCCAGCCCCCTACCTTCCTTTGTCTAACCAGCTGATGTAGGTGGCTTCATTGGGAATCCAGAGGCAGAGCTGCTTGTGCGTTGGTACCAGGCAGGAGCCTACCAGCCTTTCTTCCGTGGTCATGCTACAATGAATACCAAGCGAAGAGAACCCTGGCTATTTGGGGAGGAACACACCCAGTTCATCCGAGAAGCCATCAGAGAGCGCTACACCCTCCTGCCCTATTTATATTCTTTGTTCTATCATGCCCATGTGGCTTCCATACCTGTCATGAGGTAAGACATATTCTCTAAGCAGGGACCCCAGCAACCAATACATAACAGATCCTATCAGTGACAGGGACCGGAGATGTCACACAGTGATCTTAGGAGAAAAGATGAAGAGCATGTTTTCCATCAAATTTCAGTCAGCTTACTGAACACCAGCTGTGCACATGGTGCCAGCTATTGAAGACACAGAAGATAAAAACCAAATCCCTATGACTGATTAAACTATTGAGATTTGCCAAGAGATAGAAATAGAGGTGTTGCAATGACTAAGGAAGTTTACCTTTTTAAATAAACTCTTAAAGGGCTGGGAAGGTGGCTCAGTGGTAGAGCGCTTGCCTTGCATGCATGAGGCCCTGGGTTCGATTCCTCAGCACCACATAAGCAGAAAAAAAAAGCTGGAAGTGGCACTGTGTCTCAAGTGGTAGAGCACTACCCTTGAGCTGAAGAGCTGAGGGACAGCGCCTAGGCCCAGAGTTCAGGCCCCACAACCAGACCAAAAAAAAAAAAACAAAAACAAAAAATAAATAAACTCTTAAAAACATCATCTCATGAAGAATAACTTACCTGCTGTTTTAGGCATTATCTTACCTTAGGGCTGAACTGTTCCACATTTGAAGTGGAAATTTTTTTCTAATGTGTATATTGTAATTTAGGCATTCTGCCACTTAAGCCATGCTTCCAGTCCACAAATCCTAATTCTGTTTGGAAAGTAAAGTGTTTAGAAAAGAAACTTGCTGTGTTAGAGAACAATATATAGAGATACATAAAACACCAGGACTTCAGGATTAGCAGCAATTGCACATAGACTCTTGAGTCATATGAAAAAGAATCTCAGCTCTTTGATACTTTGCAATTCCCATTGAGTAGTTATAAAACTAAAAATCTAGCTATGTAGCGGTGGCTTACCCCTGTAATCCTAGCTACTTAGGAGGCTGAGACCTGAAGATTGTGATTCAAAGCCAGCCCAGTTAGAAAATCTGCCCTCAAGACTCTTTTTTGGGGGGTCTGGTCATGGGCCTGAACTCTGGGCCTGGGCGCTGTCCCTTAGCTCTTCAGCTCAAGGCTAGCGCTCTACCACTTGAGCTACAGTGCCACTTCCAGCTAATTTTTTTCTGCTTATGTGGTGCTGAGGAATGGACCCCAGGGCCTCAAGTGCTCTACCACTGAGCCATCTTCTCAGCCCATCTGCCCTCAAGACTCTTATCTCCAGTCAGCCACCAAAAAGCTAGAAATGGAGGTATGACGTAAGTAATAGAGCACTAGATTTGAGCACAAAAAGCTCAGGGACAAGCCAGGCGCTGGTGGCTACTCAGGAGGCTGAGATCTGAGGATCGAGGTTCAAAGCCAACCCGGGCAGGAAAGACTGTGAGACTCCTATCTCCAATAAACCACCAGAAAACCAGAAGTGGTGCTGTAGCTCAAGTGGTAGAATACTCACCTTGAGCTGAAGAGCTGAGGGACAGGACCCAGGCCCAGAGTTCAAGCCCCACAACCGACCAAAAAAAAAAATGCTCAGGGACAGTGCCACATTCTAAGTTCAGGCCCCAGGATTGAAACAAAATAAATAAATAATTAAAAAGGAAAAATCTATTAAAAAACATTTAACAAAATGCTAGTAAAGCATACAAAGTTAAAAATGTGATTTTTTTCCCCCTCTTTTCTCAGGCCTCTGTGGGTAGAGTTCCCTGATGAATTAGAGGCTTTTGGTGTAGAAGATGAATACCTGCTGGGTGAGCATTTATAGATTAATTATAGTTGTGATAAATACTACAATTATGATTATATTCTTATTGCATTTTTTTAGTGTGAATGTACTTGTAAAAACCCTAAACTCAAGAAAGACACATTATCAAAACAAAAGAGCCGGGCGTCGGTGGCTCACGCCTGTAATCCTAGCTACTCAGGAGGCTGAGATCTGAGAATCACGGTTCAAAGCCAGCCAGGGCACAAAAGTCCCTGAGACTTTTATCTCCAATAAACCACTAGAAAACTGGAAGTGGTGCTATGGCTCAAGCAGTAGACCACTCACCGTGACCTGAAGAGCGCAGAGGCAGTGCCCAAGCCCAGAGTTCAAGCCCCAAGACTGACAAAAACAAAAGAGCCAGTGGCTCATTCCTGTAATCCTAGCTATTCAGGAGACTGAGATCTGAGGATTACAGTTTGAAGCCAGCCTGTGAGGAAAGTCTATGAGATTCCAGTTAACCACCAAAAGGCCAGAAGTGAAGTTGTAGCTCAAGTGGTAGAGTGCTAGCTCTGAGCAAAAGAAGCTCAGGACAGCCCATGTCCTGTGTTCAAGTCCTAGGATTGGAAGAAAGAGAGAGAGAGACAGAGAGGGAGGGAGGAAAAGAGAAATAAAAAGAAAGAAAAAAGAAAGATCCAAGGCTTTAAATTCAAGCACTAGTACCTGTACAAAAAAAAGAAAAGAAAAAAAGTAGATCTGTTATAATAAAGAGCTTTTCAGGTTGGCAGCAGTAGCGGCGGCAGCAGCAAAGTGTTTAGCGCGATCTCTCACACCATTTTGCTGGTGTAGCCTACCAAGAGGCCAGAAGGCAGAACTTACGCTGACTATGAATCTGTGAATGAATGCATGGAAGGTGTTTGTAAAATGTATGAAGAACACCTGAAGAGAATGAATCCCAATAGCCCCTCGATCACGTATGATATCAGTCAGTTGTTTGATTTTATCGACGATCTGGCAGATCTCAGTTGCCTTGTTTACCGAGCTGATACCCAGACATACCAGCCTTATAACAAAAACTGGATCAAAGAGAAGCTCTACGTACTCCTTCGTCGGCAGGCCCAACAGGCTGGGAAATAATTGAGTTGGAAGCATTAGGGCACAGGGGGTGGGCTTGGAACAAAGGTGTGTACAATGTGCTATAGTGGGAGTTTGTATTAACAGTAATGCTGTTTCCATTTTGTTACAGTCTAGCCAAGAGCGAATGTATTAGATGAAATGAGGATCTTTTCTATTGAAGGCCCTCATTGTATCTTTTTTTTTCTTTTTCTTTTTTTTTACTTAAACATTTTTATGATGATTTAGATGGAAGTTGTTCATTGTCAGTTAATGTTGGTTCCGGTTCTTCAAACTGTTCCTATCTACTTTATAACATTCACAAACTAACCCTTCAAGATGGGGTGGGGTGGAAACAATTTAGTTATGTACTCAGATAAAGTCTTAGTGCAAAGTAAATAAATGTTGTTTAGTTATAAAAAAATAAAAGAGCTTTTCATATATTTCATATGTAATTGTTAGCTTTTTTTTTTCCAGAGCAGAGGATCAAACTCAAGGCCTTGCACTTGCCAAGCTAATTCCCCCAACACTCACCTCCCAGATTTGTTTTGTTTGTTTGTTTGTTTTATTCTGCTTATGTGGGGCTGAGGAATCAAACCCAGGGCCTCATCATGCAAGGCAAGCACTCTACCACTGAGCCACCTTCCCAGCCCCGCCCCCCAGTTTGTTTTTGAGATAAGATCTCACTTTTGCCAAGGCTAGTCTCAGACTCATGATCCTCTTTTTTTTTTACTTGAATAAAATAATTCATAAATGAATCTATTTTATTTTATTAATCTGTATTTTTTTGTCTTTTCTTTTTTGTACTGGGGATTGAACCTAAGACATTGCACTTGCTAGGCAAGTGCTTTGCCACTGAGCTACATCCCAGCCCAATGGATGCATTTTATACATGTGTGGTGCCAGGATCAAAGCAAAATTAGTTGTCTGGACCAACCTTACTAAAACTAAACTGCCCAAGCCAAAGGATTGAGCAGCCACACTGACCACACTTGTGGATTACAGCTATGGGTTCACCTTCTCCAACATTACCCACTGCAAATGATGAAGTTCTTGGAGTAGTACCATGATGCTTTGAAGTTATTGGCACACTAGAGTTATGTACCAAACAAGACTGTAATAGACTGTGTCATGGTTCCTTCCTGTAGCTCAAGTTGCCATCAGTCACCTCTGACCCTATGCCCTCTTTCTAACCACATCTCTCACCTCTCTTATGAGTCTGGTTTTGCCTTGCAGAACTTTGCAATTTAATGGTCTTTTTTTTTTTTTTTCGTCAGTTGTGGGGCCTGAACCTGTCCCTCAGCTCTTCAGCTCAATAGCACTCTACCACTCGAGCCACAGTGCCACTTCTGGCGTTTTCTGCTTATGTGGTGCTGAGGAATTGAACCCAGGGCCTCATGCATGTGAGGCAAGCACTCTACTACTGAGCCACCTCCCCAGCCCCAATTTAGTGGTCTTTAAAACCACAGTAGTGTTTAATTAAAGAGAAAGGATGTTTTCAACTCCTTATAATGATACTAAATTTTATTTCTTCTTTTTTTAGGAAGTGCTTTATTAGTACATCCAGTCACAGAAGCAAAAACCACAATGATAGATATATTTCTGCCAGGACCTAATGAGGTAAAAGTAATAATAAAATCTACATATCTCTCACCCCTTCATTTATTTTAGAATCTAAAAAATTTCTTCATCGTGCCCTTGTGAATGACTATAGCAAATGACTATAGCAACTGATGATTTTTGTAAAAATGACTGTAGCAACGGATCGTTTTTGTAATTTACAACCACTCTCCTCCGAGGCTGACAAATTCAAAGGAAGAAAATGCTTTTTACCTTCGCACTTTGATTTGTGCCAGTGAGCCCTTACCAACCCACAGGGTTTGGTTGGAAGGGCTCACCAGCATAGTGTGAGGTATCAAACATCAGGAGACCTAGGGAGAGAGACTGCTGTTTGGTCCTGCCCTCCTGGAATCCTGAGCTCTGCTACCAAAAACTCGCAGTGTACACTCCATGGCTGCCAGAAAGTATGGAGCTACAAAAGAGAAAATTTGTTTTCATGCTGCTTCTTATCGTGTCCTAATGATTTACTCCATAAAATCACTTTTTGAGACTTTTTTACGTTAGCAACTTGATAGGGATTCCACATAAGAACTAGAACTTTATCTCTAGCATAAGGTTCATCCTATAAAAAAGTGATAACTGGGCTGGGAAGGTGGTTCAGTGGTGGAGCGCTTGCCTTGCATGCATGAGGCCCTGGGTTCGATTCCTCAGCACCACATACGTTGAAAAAAAAAAGCCGGAAGTAGCTCTGTGGCTCAAGTGTTAGAGCGCTAGCCTTGAGCTAAAGAGCTGAAGGACAGCGCCCAGGCCCAGAGTTCAGGCCCATGACCGGACCCAAAACAAACAAACAAAAAAGTGATAACTGCATTAGTAACCCAAGTTTTCATTTGGTTTCCTCCCAGATCTAGTTTATTTTTTTTCTTTTTTGGTCGGTCATGGGGCTTGAACTCTGGCCTGAGTACTGTCCCTCAGCTCTTAAGCTCAAGGCAAGTGCTCTACCACTTGAGCTACAGTGCCACTTCCAGTTTTTCTGGCAGTTTATTGGAGATAAGAGTCTCATGGTCTTTCCTGCCTGGGCTGGTTTTGAACCGTGATCCTCAGATCTCAGCCTCCTGAGTAGCTAGGATTACAGGCGTGAGCCTCTGGTGCCCAGCTCATCCTAGCTTTTTCTATTGAAATGACGTCTCATGAGCTTTTTTTTAGTTAAATAAGTTTTTTATTGTGAAAATGCTGTACAGAGGGGTTATAGTTACATGAGCAAGGTCATGAGTACATTTCTTATCCAGCATTGTTGCCTTCGTGAACTTTTTGTTGGTTGACTTGGAAATGTGATCTTCCGATTTCAGCCTATTACATACCTTTGAATGACAGCCATACAAGTCTGCACCTAGCTATGGTTGAAAAAGGATCTTGAGAACTTCTTTGCCTGGGCTGGCCTCAAATCATGACCCACCTGATCTACCAATTAGCCACTAGGGCCTTAGAATCTGTTTTTTTTTTTGGTCCTGGGGCTTGAACTCTGGGCCTGGGCTCTGTCCCTCAGCTCTTCAGCTCAAGGCTAGTGCTCTACCACTTGTACCACAGTGCCACTTCTGACTTTTTCTGCTTATGTAGCCCAGGCCCAGGGTTCAGGTCTGACCAAAAAAAAAAGTCTCTCAGACTTTCTTGCCCAGGCTGGCTTTGAACTGTGACCCTCAGATCTCAGCCTCCTGAGTAGCTAAGATTACAGGCATAAGCCACCAGTGCCCAGCTTAGACTCCTCTTAAAAGCACATCTTTCCTAACTTCTATCCAACATTATTTTTATTTTTTTTGTGCCAGTCCTGGACTTGAACTTGGGGCTTGGGCACTATTCCTGAGGTTCTTTTTGCTCAAGACTAGCACTCAAGTCACAAAGCTTTTTCTGTTTATGTGGTACTGAGGAATTGAACCCAGGGCTTCATGCAAGTACTCTACCATTAAGCCACATTACCAGCCCCTACATTATTTTTAAATTTCACTTACTTTAGCTTTCTGGATGTTTGAAATGCAGATGAGTAAATGTTTTGCTGAAAAGTGAAATTGTGAATAGACGTGCTCATGTTCTCTTTTTCACTGGGATTGGTTACTTTTAGATCTGGTATGATTCTAAGACATTTGCTCATTGGAAAGGAGGACACACTGTGAAGATTCCAGTAGCCTTGGATACTGTAAGTTATTTTCAGAGTATTATTTCATATTAGTTTGCTCAGACTGCCGATGAGGGAAGACACTGGGAAGGGAGATAGTTATCCTTTATTTCTTGGTTGTTGAAGGGTAGGTCCTGTCCCTCATAGTTAAAAAACAAAAACATGGGGCTGGGAAGGTGGCTCAGTGGTAGAGCGCTTGCCTTGCATGCCTGAGGTCCTGAGTTTGATTCCCCAGCACCACATAAGCAAAAAGAAAAAAAAGCCGAAGTGGCGCTATAGCTCAAGTGGTAGAGCGCTAGCCTTGAGCTGAAGAGCTGAGGGACAGCACCCAGGCCCAGAGTTTAGGCCCCACGACCGGACCCTCCCCCCCCCAAAAAAAAAAAAAAAACATGGCTTGGTGCCAGTGGTTCACGCCTGTAATCCTAACTACTCAGGAGGCTGAGATCTGAGGATCATGGTTCAAAGCTAGCCCGGGCAGGAAAATCCATGAAACTCTTATCTCCAGTAAACCACTCGAAAACTGGAAGTGGCGCTGTGGCTCAAGCAGTAGAGCACTCGCCTTGAGCTGAAGAGCACAGAGACAATGCCCAAGCCCAGAGTTCAAGCCCCACGACCAACCAGAAAAAAAAAACAACATTTTTTAGTGGAGCCCTTTTCCTCTTTTCCTTTTAATTCCAGGGCCCCCATGTTTGCTATTGTATGCTCACACATTTATTTTGCCCTTGAGTCCCTTCTTGTAAGGTGTGTGATCTCATAGGAGGGGATATTTTATTTTTAAGTACTTTGAAATTACCTTATACAAATACATCTTCTCTGAGAGCACTGCTGTATTACAGATACCAGTGTTTCAACGAGGTGGAAGCGTGGTGCCAATAAAGACAATGGTAGGAAAGTCCACAGGTTGGATGGCTAATTCCCCATACGGACTCCGGGTTGCTCTAAGCACTAAGGTATCTAGACAATCAGCTTCCCTTTCTGTGACTACTCTTTTTCTTTGCAGTGGTAGCCTTTCAAAAGTATGAAGCCATGTAAAAGTAATGAGCCCCATCTGTGAAATACTGCTTCTGATGTTTACCTACAAATCAAGACTTTGAGTTGTTTTAGATATAGTAAGAGTTAGCCCAGCCTGGCCACAAACTCAGGATTTTCCTGCCTCAGTCTTCTCAATGAGGAGTAGATTATAGGCTTGTGTCCTAATAGTCACTTCTTGATTATTATCTATCTGGATTATTATTCTTCAGGGAATCCTGAAATCCAGCTGGGATGGCAGGACCTTTCTTGGGTCAAGTGGTAGACTTCTAGCCTTGAGCAAAAAAGCTCAGGGACAGTGTCCAGGCCCTGAGTTCAAGCCCCAGTACCAACATGAAAAAAAGTTTGGGTTTTTTAGGGGCTGGCATTCTTTTCCTATAAAGATAATACATGGGCAGTTTCCCTGTTGTTCTCTCTCCAGGGTTCTGCTATGGGAGAGTTATATCTTGATGATGGCCATTCATTCCAGTACCTCCACCAGAAGCAATTCTTGCACAGGAAGTTTTCATTCTGTTCCAGTGTTTTGATCAACAGGTAATAGCAGCTAAAGAAGCTGTTTATTTTCTTAAATAAATTATACTACCCTTTTGTCACTTTTTTTTTTCCATCATGGGGCTTGAACCCTGGGCCTGGGCACTGTCCTAAGCTCTTCAGGCAAGCGCTCGACCACATGAGCCACAGCAGCACTTCTGGTTTTTTGGTGATTTATTGGAGATAAATCTCACAGGCTTTCCTGCCCAGGCTGGCTTTGAACTGCTATCCTCAGATCTCAGCCTCCTGAGTAGCTAGGATGACAGGTGTGAGCCATTGGCCCCTGGGTTCCTCTTGTCGTCTTTAAATAAATGGATAGCTGGAGTTCAACATTCCTATTTAAATAAATAAATAGGTAGTGAAAGCCATTTGTATACTATTTTTGAATCATGTCCATGAATGTTCCTTTTTTATTGTTCCATCTTCTTTCTCCCATCTATTGAAACCATAAAAAGGATTCAATATGAGTATTCATTGATACTAGTCATCCTTCCATTTACCAATTCATTAAATACTTGGTTTCTTAATGTTAACTACAATATCCAAGTCACACTTGTGGCCTTTTTTTTTTGGTCGGTCGTGGGGCTTGAACTCTGGGCTTGGGTGCTGTCCCTGCACTCTTCAGCTCAAGATGAATGCTCTACCACTTGAGCCACAGCACTACTTCTGGATTTCTAGTGGTTTATTGGAGATAAGAGTCTCATGGACTTTCCTGCCTGGTCTGGCTTTGAACCGTGATCCTCAGATCTCAGCCTCCTGAGTAGTAAAGATTACAGGTGTGAGCCACCAGCGCCCGACTACTTGTGACCTTTTTGTCCTTTAGTTACTTCACTTCAAATGACTTGTTAAAGAGTAATTGGTTTGGCCACTGGTTAGGGAGTCATTGGTACAGAAAGTCATCTTTGTAATCTCTTCATTTTAGTAAATTTGACAGATATGTGTACCTTAACTCCATGCATATAGATGGGAGAGGAACTCAATACCATGTATATCTGTTCTAGGTGTGCTGATGAAAAGGGTCATTATCCCAGCAAGTGTGTGGTTGAGCAGATCCTGGTCTTAGGCTTCAGGAAGAAGCCATCTTCCGTGATCACCCATTCATCTGGTAAGGAAACTGGTTCATTCTCACCTCAGTTATTGTTTGGTAAATATAGTAATAACTGTGGTGAGGAAGTGATTTGTCCTAAAACCGACATGATATGCTTAGCCCAAGAGGACTGACTGCACTTTCTGATAGAGGTAAAGTACTCTAGTCTCTAGAGGGAAGCCACCCTCCATCTCTTCATGAACTTGTCTTCTTGCTCTGGTTAATATTTTTCTAAGAGAAATTATTTGAGCTAGAAATAATATATATTGTGGATGCCTCTTCATTTTTTTAACTGTGAATACCTGAAGTCCTGGAAAATAATACTCATGTTGAGAGATCTTATAAAAGTACACGATGAGAATCATATCTTTCCTCTTCTAACTGGGTTCCTTGGGCAAACCACTTTGTTCCTTACAGTTTCTTTTCAACCAGTGTTATGTTCCTGGTTTTAATCTGTGAATAGAAGGATGACTAAAATGGATTCTCCTAGTAAGATTTTGTAATACACTCAGAATCGTATCTGATTTGAAAAGACTCCCCCTACTAGATATCCCTCACACTTTCCCTCTTTTATTGTCTTGCTGTTTAGATGGTAAGGATCAGCCTGTGGCTTTTACATATTGTGCCAGAACATGTACCCTGAGCCTGGAGAAGCTTTCCCTGAACATTGATGCTGACTGGGAGGTTCACATCAAATGACAAAAAAGTGCCCCGCTGATGCACACAGGAAGCTCCCTGCCCCTGTCCACCTTTCTTTTGGCCTTTTTTTTTTTTTTTTTTTTTTTTTGAGATTTATGTTGCAATCTAGTTGGCTTCTTTGGCTGAAATAATCTTTCACTAGTTTTTAGCATACTAATGAACAATAGGTTTTATATTTCAACCAGGCCCAATTTTTGGCACAGAGAAAAAAGAGGCAGGAAGATTATGGCTTTGAAGCCAGCATTGTTTACATAGTGAAAAACTGTCTCAAAAAATGAAAGGAAGGAAGGAAGAAAAGAGGAAAGAATGGAGGAGAGAAGGAAAGGAAGGAAGGAAAAAGAAGGAAAGAAAGAAAAAGAAAGAACAAAAGAAAGAAAGAAAAAGGAAGGAAGGAAGAGGCGAAGGGGCCTATAATCACATGCCTGTAACCCCAGTAACTTGGGAAGTGGAAATAGGATGGTTTTGGTCCAAGGCTAACCCAGGCAAAAGCACAAGACCCTCTCTGAAAAATTTAAAAAAGCAAAAGGCCTAAGGCATGGCTCGAGTGATAAAATACTTGCCTAGTAAGCACAAGGCCCTAAGTTTACTTCCTAGTACCACCAAGATAAAAAAGATGTTAGCTTTTGAAGATGCATTAATAATACTCTGTACAGTAACACTTGCTTATAGCCCAACAAGGCCTGAGACACTGACTGTGTTTTCTATTGTCTCTTGCTGTGGCCTTGAGGTAAGTTCCGCAGTCAGTGAGTGGCCTTTCCTGGAGCAGGACTGGACACAGCTACCAATGGGCCTGTGTATTGGGACTCCCTGAGGTCACATAGTAGCATCACTGTGGCTGCAGCAGGGTTATTAAGGCCAGTTGTGGTGAACAGCAGTAACTACCCCCGAAGCTGTCTCGCAGCTACCCTCCGTGCACTGCACTGATTGCAGTACTGGCAAGTTATCCTCCCCAGGAGGTTGACTCAGCTTAGAGCACAGAGGATTCTTTTCCTTCTTACGTTGCTCAGGCTCAAAAGTTCTAAATTAATCTTCTTAAAAGTCACATTTCTTTGTTTCATTATTTTTATTGAATGCTATCTACTAACCAAGAATATTTGTCAAACGAGTATCCTATAATTAATAATGGTCAAGTAAATATCCACATCCTCACCACTGAACTTCACAAGTAGAGCACAGAGCTGAAGCCTAGGATAAAGCAAGTAAGAAGCACCTACTTTGGCAAACCAACAATTATGATAATATTTTAATGTACTATTTTTAAAAATGAAGATTAATGCTATCAAAAATGTCCTATGTGTCAGTATAACAGCTGGAACTCAGGAACTCCTTTCCTCCTCTTTCTTGTTCACAATTGGTATTCTACCACTTGAACCATACCTCCAGTGTGACATTTTGCTGGTTAATTAGAGATAGTCTTGCAGACTTTTCTACCTGAGAGTCTTCAAACCATAATCTTCTAGGTGCCAGCCTCCTGACTAGCTAGGATTACAGGTGTGAGCCACTGGCACCCGGGAAAACATCAAAATTTTAAATAAAACTGGGCTCAGCACTACTGAGTTTTTCTTTTAGCGGGGATAGCGCATTATAACAGCAGTTGCATCATGAGACCCCAGTAACTCCCCGCTGCCTGCCGCAGCAGCTGCTGGGGCAGCCCCAGTTCCTCAGCACTTTGCAACATGCACATCTGCTTCTTAGTCTTCCTCCACTTGGTTATTTGCAATGATCATCTTTGTGCCTCCACTCCCTGTACCACAGTATTCTCTCCTCCCTCCTCCTGTTCACATCACCCGTCCAGGCCTAACCCAAGCCTATGCAGCTTTTCTAATGGCACTAGCACCCCAACTCCCTATTACCTGCTAGCAATGATTTTGCCCTTCTCTGAAATGCTGCCCCACAGACTTGTGCCCTGCTTTGCATTCTCAGGGATTATGCCTTAATGTTTCAAGTGTGCCTATCTGTTCCTAAACTAGGTGGTATGTTCCTTAAAAGCATGTTGCATTTCTCTTACCTCCTTAGAGCACCGTTACACTTGACTGTCAGTAACTGTTGACTGTGATTGGTTAACTGGCAGATTTAATTAAAAGTGAAAATCGAATTTATTTGTTTCTGGATTTTTTTGGGGGGCACATGCTTTTTTCCAAGTGAAGTGAACATTGTGTACTCCTTGTGGATACATTTCATTACCTCAGCTGAGATTTAAGCTTTACTTTGTATATGAATTCACAGACACACACACAGATCCTTCACTCCTGTTTCTGAGGAAGAAGAACAATCCCTAGCTAGCTGAAGTCTCAGTTCCAGCCAATTTGTCTAAGCAAAAGTTATAATAAAGCAAAGTCAAATTTGAAGAACATCATAAACTCTTTAAAACATGAAGTCCATGGAAAAGAGGTGGGAGGAACTCTTTCTGTTTGAAGGAGATAAAGGGATGTGATAACATACATGTGATCCTGGGTTGCATTCTGAATCCATAATTGATATTATTGGGACAGTTTGACAACATTTTGGGTGTGATCTTTTGACTGTATGGTAATTTTTCTGGTTCAGAGGATTTGTGCTGTAATTAAATGTAAGAATTTCCTTGGCTTAGGAAGCACAGCAGAGTTCAGTCTATGGACAGGATCCCTTTACTTCTTCACATCCCTTTTAATTTCAGAATCATAATGAAAGCAGAAACAGTCAAAGCTCCTACATCACTAAAGCCGTATGGTGTTTGGTTTGTGATTAAGCTGTATGGTTTTTAACTTGTAATTAGCCCCCCTACCTAAAAGCCTTCTGGGTAGTGGGATTCATATGACAACAAAAACCCTTCCACTCTGCTTTTAAGACCTTCACCTAAGAAACCATCGAATGCCCAATACAGTTACAGAGGCATTCTGAGGATGTAGAAAGCCATCAGTAGCAATGCTGCTGCCTTATTAACCCTGACAATGTACGACACAGAGCCAGCACTCTAGGAGAAATGAAGGAGGCACAATCGTTGACATCTGATACCAGATCTGCTCATCTTGTGACCAGCTTGCTAAAGGCTGCAGCGTCACCGCAGAGCTCACCAGAATTAGGTGCATCTTGACAGTTTCCAGCAGGGAGGATGGTAGATTCTTCTTCAGCCAGAACCAGGGAAAGAGAGAGCCCTGACTATATGTAAGGATCCAGAGATCTTATGCCTAGTTCACACTAACGAGTCTTAGTCAAAGGTTTACTACTTCACTGCAAACCAGGAGACCAGGTCCTAGTTTGGGTCCACTGTAAACAGGCTAAGTCATTGGGGCTAAGCTGTTTAACTTCCGTGGGCTTTGGTATCCTCATTTGCTAAATAAAACATTATTTTATTCTGTGATTGAAATGTAAAATGATAGCAGGTACTTCATTTTCCTCAGTTGTAAGGTGGACTTATCCAGACCTACAGAGTTGTTTTACAGATTAAAAGTATTCCACATGTATGGCAAGGGAAAACAGTAATTTTACCAGAGAAAATTGGTAGACACTTAGCCAAGTGATCAGCGTTCACAGTCACCTGTAATAAATAAATATGATTTGAAGAGAGCAAATTACCTTTATGATATTCTTTTCCAAAATATGTAACTTCAATCTGCTTATGTAAAAAATACTAGATAAAGCCAAATTTGGAGCATTTAGCCAAGTATCTAACCAGTATTCTTTGAAAATGTCAAGTCAGTGGGGCTGGGAAGGTGGCTCAGTGGTAGAGTGCTTACCTTACATTCATGAGGCCCTGCTTTCGATTCTTCAGCACCACATAAGCAGAAAAGGCTGGAAGTGGTGCTGTGGCTCAAGTGGTAGAGCGCTATCCTTGAGCTGAAGAGCTGAGGGACAGCGCCCAGGCCCAGAGTTCAGGCCCCACAACCGGCAAAATATGTCAAGCCAGGACAGACCAAGACTATATAAATTTATTAGAGGATGCTAAAGAGTTCTATCTTGGCAACTCTTAGATAACATTATTATTATTATTTATTTATTTTGCCAGTCCTGGGCTTAAACTCAGGGCCTAGTCCCTTAGCCTGCACTTTTTTAGCTCAAGGCTAGTGCTCTCACCACCTGAGCCATAGCTCCATTTCTGGATTTTTGGTGATCAATTGGAGTTGAGACTCTCACAGAGTTTTTTGCCTGGACTGGTTTCAAATTGTGATCCTCAGATCTCAGCCTCCTGAGTAACTAGGATTACAGGTGTGAGCCACTAGTGCCAGGTGTAACTTCTTATTTTTTATTTTTGTCGGTTAAAGGGGCTTGAACTCAGAGCCTGGATGCTGTCCCTGAGCGTATTTGTGCTCTACCACTTGAGCCCCAGCACCACTTCCAGTTTTTGAGTGATTATGGACATAAGAGTCTCATGGGAACTTTTCTGCCTGGGATGGCTTCAAACCATGATCCTCGGATCTCCGCCTCCTGAGTAGCTATGATTACAGGCATGAGCCACCGGCACGTGGCTCTTGTAACATCATTTTTAAAGCACCCTACATGAAATGGCTAGCTCACAGTCAGCACTCAGTGAATAGTAGGTGTTATAACGATAAGCAAATACCATTTCCAATAATGTTGTGTCAAAGAAAATATTTTGGATGAAAAAGACGTGACAAGGAGCCATTAGCTAGCACTGCTTTCCACCCACAGATATTGCATGAAATGTGTCCTTTTTTTTTTTTTTAACACTTGAAGAGATTTCTGGGCATCAAAAAGTGCAACTGTTTACCCTTTGTTCATGGGCTCCGATTTGATTTTACCAGGATTGAATGAGTTTCCACAGTGTGCAGCTGAATAAACCTTGAATTTGGACCTGCACATCTGATGTTTTATTCACAACAATTAATAAGGAAAATGAAGATCATTTTGCCCTCTGTGTGTCTGAAATCCCCACCCCTGTCACACACCTGTCTGTCTTACAAGTAGAGCTGACTCAGACAGCTGAGGAAAGAAAACTCAGCAGGGATATGGCCTGGGTAGAGCTCCTCTCCTAGGAGCAATTCAGCCAAGAAATGACTGCATTGGTAAAGCCTGTACTTAAAGCTTAAGAAATTTCTGTTCACATAGGGAAATATATAACTCGCCATTATTAAAGCTCTTCTAATTCCTCCTTCAGTCTGTGGGCAGGCTGGAAGAAGTGAAGACAATACAATGTGGGTTAATGCTGTGAATTTTAGTGTAGAGAACTGAGGCTGAGACCCAATATTTGATGGTAGGGGTAGGAAACTCCTCCTTCACTCACTTGGCCACTGATGAGATTGAGGGTGGGCATGGGTCTTATTAGACACTCTTTTAGTATAGACAATCAGGCAAGCTGCCTCTGATGGAGACCCTGTGCTTCATGAGTCAGGACAAATTACTGCCTTGTTCAGTAATGATTGTAGACTAGATGCTGCTTTCTATCAGTGAGCACTGGTTTTGCCAAGGTGTCTTCTGAAGGTCCATTTGTTAAAGGCTCGACCCCCCAGGGTGGTTTTATCAAGAGGTGGTAGAACTTGTAGGAGGATGGACCTAAAGGGAGTTCCTTAGATTATTGTATAGGTCTCCTCCAAGAGAATTGTGTGGCCCTAGCCCCTTTCTCTTCCTCTTTTGCTTCCTAGCTACGAGGTGAACAGTTTGGCTCTGCCATGAGTTCCTTCCATGATATGCTGCCCTGACACAGGCCCAAAACAAAGTGGCCAATTCATCATGGACTAGAACTTCCACAACCATGAGCCAAAGTAAACCTTTCCAGCTAGGCATGGTGGTACGCACCTGTCATGCCATCACTCAAGAGGCTGTGGCAGGAAGGTTGCAAGTTTGAGACCAGCTTGGGTTACATAGTAAGTTTCAAGCTAGCTTGAGCTACATAGTAATAAGACCTTGTCTCAAATGATTGAGTGAATGAATAAATGAATGAGTAATATATCAACCTTCACATAAATTGATTGTCTCAGGTATTACATTGCAGTGATAGAAAGTTCACTTAATGAGTGAATGTATCACTCAATCTGACTTAAACCCAAAATAATATTATATTAAGGTTTTGAACAGTATCATTTACTGAATATTTTAGATACTGATAATACCATAAATGCACTATCTAAATTGTTTAATCCTTGTACTAACTCAATAACAGAATGACTAGCATCACACTCAGTTTATAGTTGAGAAAACTGACAGAAAGAAAGGAAGCAGTAACTTGGCTAAAATCACATGGGCATAGCCAGTAAGTGGCCAATCTAGACGTTGAACTTGGACAGTCTCTACAGACTGTTCTTCTCTATTCTACCTCTCCAAAAATAGCAAAGATAATTGGACATTTTGTTGCAGGGACAGAAGGATAGGCTGATGGTCTACAAGCCCAGACATGGGATTACTCCAGCTGTACCCCCAGGAGTCATGAGTCTGCTAGTACTACATATACCTTCTCTTGTAGCCTCTGAACTTGGATTGGTGAGTATGGTCCTTTGGGAGGAGTCACAGGTCAATCCAGAATGTAGCTATCCCTTTACATCCCCGAGAGCAGCTCTTATGTATCTGTAAAAGGCAAGGTGACCAGGCATCAGTGGCTCATGTCTGTAATCCTAGCTACTCAGGATGCTGAGATCTGAGGATCACAGTTCAAAGCCAGCCTGGGCAGGAAAGTCCATGAGATTCTTATCTCCAATAAAAACCACCGGAAAACTGGAAGTGGCACTGTGGATCAAGTGGTAGAGCACTAGCCTTGAGCTGAAGAGCTGAGGGATAGTGCCCAGGCCCAGGGTTTAAGCCCCACAACCAACAACAACAAAAAGACAAGGCAGGCAGGCATCTCACTTACCCATAGCCACTTACACTCTCATCTAAGTCCTGAAGACAACTTCTTAGATATGACATCCCAGGTCTTAGCACCAACCTGGCTCAGTATCCATTTCCAATTTCTGTTCCAGATGGTAAATCGTCAGCACTCCACTAGGATGCTCTTTGTAGCATACTTTGATGCATACTTGTAGCATGGTTCATCCTCATGTGTATTTTGAGGGTGGAAGGGACTATAGGTGGCTAGGTCGAGTGGACAAGAAAAGAGATATCTTCACTTGAGGACTCAGCTGAGTGGCATTTTCCATCCAGACAGCTCCAGTGAGCACCAATGCCAGAACATTCTAGAAGAGATTCTAAAGCTAGTCTTGAGTAAAGTTCTGCTATCCTAGAGGTTTAGAAAATAAAAGTCATTATGAAACTGTAACCCCTATGTGGATCATCATTATAATAATAATAAAAAAGAAAAAAATCATGTTCTCTAAAATGGACAGATTATTCCCTTAGAACTCAGTACCTTCCATTCCAGCTAGCTTTTTAAATACTGTTTTCCATTACTTTGGTAGCTAAGAGTGTGGTAGCCTTCACAACCACCTATTCAATATTGTGTCAGCAGCTCTTCACTGATGGTCAGTGTTCACCTTACCCAGATGCTCTTACTTCCTGACAGCCGCTAGTCTTTAAGGCTTAATGACAACACAGAAATGTCTAGCCACCCACTCTCTTACTCTCTCTCATACTCACAATCTTTCTTCACATCTATTTTTAGTTTTCCTGGCTCAAGCTTCTTCAGGCCGCTGAAACACAAGCCTCATTTCTTTCGCTCCCGCTGGCATGAATGCTGCTGGTAGGAGGCCCCTGAGTGAAAAATTGCCTCAAAATCCTTTGGTGCTCCTTCCTTAGGAAAACCTATGGTTTGGGGATCACAGCTGTTTTGACGCTGTCTGCCAGGTAGCCTTCTGATGGGCCTTAAGCTTTGGAGTGGCCATGGACATGTTTTTTCTCAGATGACAGAATTACGCCAACTTCCCCTCTGCAGCCGCTTCCTTTCCTTACAGGTAGCTGTACGGTATTTTCTTTAAAAACCTCTTCCTGCCAGAGTTGCCTGCCATGCCGACTGTCATTAGCCCATCCGTGGCCACCCGGACAAGGGCTGAGCCCAGGTCCCCAGGGCCAGTCCCCCATCCAGCCCAGGGCCAGACCACCGAGGCTGGGGGTGGACATCCAAGTGGCATCTACTCAGCCATCATCAGCCGCAACTTTCCCATTATCGGCGTGAAAGAGAAGACATTTGAACAGCTTCACAAGAAATGTCTAGAAAAGAAGGTTCTTTATCTGGATCCTGAGTTCCCACCAGATGAGACGTCTCTTTTTTATAGCCAGAAGTTCCCCATCCAGTTTGTGTGGAAGAGACCTCCGGTGAGTAGCTTACTGGTTACTGGTTGAGGTTTTGCCCTCTGAGAAGTCCTTCCACTCAGCACCTCCCCACAGACAGCTCAGCTGTGCACACTGGGGGAAGCTCCCTGGCAGCAGCCTGCTGGGCTCTGCCCTCAAGTGTGAAGATGGACAAGAGGGTCAGATCTTAGCCATCTCACCAAATAGGATAAGAGCAGGTCATTCTCATATTCTTTCTCTCCCTCCCTCTCTCTCTCCCTCTCCCCCTTCTCTCTTTCTGCCCCCCCTTCCCTCCCCCTTTGTAAAAGTGATTAGAACTCAGATTAATTCATCCTATAAATATATATTCCCTGGGCTGGGAATGTGGTTTAGTAGTAGAGTGCTTGAGCATGCATGAAGCCCTGGGTTTGATTCCTCTGAGAGTACCACATAAACAGAAAAAGCCAAAAGTGGCACTGTGGTTCAAATGGTAGAGTGCTAGCAGTGAGCAACAAAAAAGAAAAAAAGAAAAGCTCAATTCCCAGGCCATGAGTTCAAGCCCTGAGACTAGCAAAGAAAAAAAAAGAAGTGTGTGTGTGTGTGTGTGTGTGTGTGTGTGTTCCATCTCTAGAACTGATTCTGCACAGTCCAGATCTACTCTCTGTTTATATATCCTGCATCTTTGTAAGATTTCTTCTCTTTCTTGGGCTAAAATGATTATGCTCTTCTTCAATTTGCTAGTGACCATGGATTTCTGAAACACAGAAGCCATAGAAAGATAGTGGCAGGCAGAGCATACTTTTTAGTATAAAATACTAGGGTGGGGCCATCCTATTTGTTTTTGTCTGCACTTGCTTACTAGTATGCACTGATGAGTGACTGACAGAGCCTGGATAAAACCTGGGAAAAGTTTGTAAGACTCCCCTCTTCTAACTTTTTCTAACATGCTGGTTCATACCTGTCATCCCAGCTATTGCAGAAAACATAAATATGAGGATCAAGATCTAGGCTGGTTCAAGCAAAAAGCAAGACCCTATCTCAAAAATAATCAGAGCAAAAAGAACTGGAAGCATGGCCCATGTTGTAGAGCACCAGCTAGCAAGCACATAGCCCTGATTACAAACACCAGTGCTGCCGAAAATAAAAATATTTATTGAGCATCTCCTAATTTCAGTAGCTGTGTAAGTAGCTGAGAAATAGGCAGTGAATAAAAACAAACACAAATTTCTGCTCTCTTAGAGCCTATCGTCCTGAGGGAAAGGTGGGCATTGTATAAGAGTGAGAGAGGAGGGCTGGGAAGGTGGCTCAGTGGTAGAGCGCTTGCCTTGCATGCATGAGGCCCTGGGTTCGATTCCTCAGCACCACATAAGCAAAAAGAAAAAAAAGCCAGAAGTGGCACTGTGGCTCAAGTGGTAGAGAGCTAGCCTTGAGCTGAAGAGCTGAGGGACAGCGCCCAGACCCAGAGTTCAGGTCCCACAACCGGACTCCCCCCCTCCCCCCCCAAAAAAAAGAGTGACAGAGGAGTCTTACAGGTGAATGGGATCAGATATCAAGGACATACTCAAGTGTGCAGAGAGAAACCCTTCATGATGAAATAATGTTAGGCTGAAAGCCAGTATTGGCCTTAGCCATGTTTTTCTTTATTAAGCTGAGCTGGAATGCCCGCCAGCCGCATGTGTGCCACAAGGGCTGCATTTCTCTTCTGATGGTCCTTTGGTAAGCCTATGATGGTCATGAAGGCTCTCACTTTAGAATTAGAGAACACTGCAGTGGGCTGGGGGCACACCTCAGTGACAGAGGGCTTGCCTAGCATATATGAAGCCCTGGGTTCCATTTTCAGTTCTGCAATCAGTTAACCAATTGAAGAACACTCAAATCACTTAATTGCCTACTCAGCTGATATCCTACTGCCAGAGATCTTAGACAGCCACATCCCTGTTTCAATGTCTTCTCTGATGCAGCACCTCTGTCCCCACACTGCCTTCAAGATCTGTATCTCTTTCCTGAGATTCAGGCCCCTCTGCCACTGGCCCCCCGCACACCTGGCCAGCCTTTTTGTTCCACTGAGTAAGTGCTCTACTACTTGACCTACACCTTCAGCCCTCTATGTACTTTTTAATGTCATTATTTAAATATTTAAAACTTGATTTATGAACTAGACAAAAGTAATTGCTCTCTCTCTCCCTCTCCCTCTCTCTCCTTCTTTCTCCCTCTCTCCTCCTCTCTTCCCCTCTTGTCCCCTCTCTCTCTCTTTTGTCAGTTGTGGGGCTTGAACTCTGGGCCTGGGTGCTGTCCCTGAGCTCTTCAGCTCAAGGCTAGCGCTCTATCACTTGAGCCACAGTAGCACTTCTGGTTTTCTGGTGGTTAATTGGAGATAAGAGTCTCATGGACTTTCCTTGCCTGGGCTGGCTTTGAACTACAATCCTTAGATCTCAGCCTCCTGAATAGCTAGGATTATAGGCATCAGTGCCCAGCTAAAATAATTTATTTCTTGAAAGAACTAGTCTTAAACATTACTTTCACGGGGCTGGGAAGGTGGCTCAGTGGTAGAGCATTTGCCTCACATGCACGAGACCCTGGGTTCAATTCCTCAGCACCATATAAGCAGAAAAAGCCAGAAGTGGTGCTGTGGCTCAAGTGTAGTAGAGCGCTAGCCTTGAGCTGAAGAGCTGAGAAACAGCGCCCAAGCCCAGAGTTCAGGCCCACGACTGAGAAAAAAAAATTACTTTCATCTATGACTGTACCCTGTAATGTTAAAAAATTATTTCAAATTTTAATGGACATTAAAATTCTCCTTAGCTGGGCACAGTGGCTCACACCTGTAATCCTATGTACTCCAGAGATCTGATGATCGAGGTTCAAAGCCAGCCCAGGCAGGAAAATCCGTAAGACTCTTATCTCCAATTAACCACCAGAAAACTGGTGCTGTGGCTCAAAGTGGTAGAGTGTTAACCTTAAGCAAAAAGAGCTGAAGGATAGTGCCTAGGACTCAAGTTCAAGCCCCACAACTGAAAAAAAAAAAAAGAATCTCCTTGATGAAACAATTTATAATACCGAATCTCAGTCATCTACCTGAATGCCTGAGGTATCTAGGTATCTCCGGTATCTCAGGATGGGTCCCAGGAGCATCGTAGGTGACTGATGCTGAAGTTCAAAAACCAGGCTTTGAGAACACAGAGTGGACAAAGGCCAGTGGAGATCAATGAGCAGACAGACTGGACACTCTCCTAGCAGGCAGCCTGCCAGTCCTGAGTCTTGCTTCAACTGTCTGTTGTTGTCTATTGAAGCATAGTGAAACTTTAAAAAAGCTAAGCTTTCTTGGTGATAGAATTTCAGCGCACATTTATCTTCCTTCCTCATCCACCACATTCTCTGCCCTAAGGATTCTGGATGAGCGAAAGGCATGTCTGCTCACTGCCTGCAGCCTAATTTAACTGGGACTTCCTTCCAAGGGCCAGTATCCTACCCTCTGGGTCCTTGTTACAGAGCAGAGTCCCTAAATGGCTGGTGAAGGTTTTTTGGGGGGTGGGGCAGGGACGTCAGGAGAATGAAGGGTTCATTACCCTCAGACAAAGGCCTGGAACAGATTCCTCCTATGCATTCAGCAGCCTGTATAGGATTAGTGTATACAGCATGTTTAGAAGGCCCCATGCTATACCCCATTGACTGCCACTGTCAAAGGCATGAATGCCTTTTGCTGAGGCAGGGTAAGCTCTCCGTAACTATGTTTTCTCTTTTTAAAGAAAGAGTCCCAGCAAGGCTGTTGGAGGTACCCTAAAGGTCTAGGGGCCACTGTGGTCTGTCCTGGGGCCATCTCTGGCTCACTCTCTCCCCTCCCTGGCTCCCTCTCTGACTTGCATGTGTTACCCCTAGACCATGGGCTCAGGGGCCTCCAGCCAAAGCTGCTGACTCTGACCATAGCCTTTCTCTGGGCTGTGTTCATTTGCATCGCGCTGCTGAGGGTGGAGGAGCTATATAGGCTCTGCACCATTCACCAGAGGATTAGGCCTGGGCTGAGGGTGCAGCCGGAGAGAAGCCACAGTGAAGGCCCAACCCCACTCCCCGAGTGGTCATTATGCCCTACCTGCTCCCAGGATTCTTCTGTGACCGCGTGATCCGAGAGAGGGACAGGAGAAATGGAGAGGGAACTGTCAACCAGCCCCTTAAGTTTGAGGGGCAGGATTTTGTGGCTCTAAAACAACGGTGTCTGGCTCAGAAGTGTCTCTTTGAAGACCGTGTCTTCCCAGCAGGTGTGCAGGCCCTGGGCTCTCATGAGCTGAGCCAGAAAACCAGGATGAAGGCCATCACATGGAAAAGGCCGAAGGTAGGGCATCAAAAGGGAACAGGAAGTCTAGTGGTCCAGAGTCGGAGGCCACGGCTTCCCTACTCTGAGCAAATAGCTTATCAGGTCTAACCTAAGGTTCTTACCCATATACCCCCGCCCCAAGTTCTATCCCTGCTCCCTCCTAAAACTGGAGATGCTGTTTTCTGTTCTTGAACTAGAAGTTATTATAATACTTTATAGGTCCTGGGAGTGTAAATATTTTCAGGACAGCTAATGCATTTACTTAAACTTACAGTAGGATAATAACGTATAATCCGTTACCCTGGCTGCTCCTTGGAGAGCAGGAGTCTGGAGATGGGAGAATGGAGTGGTGAAGTGCACCGAGACTCAGTCTCAGGGACAGTCCCACGGAAGGTGGTGAATAGTAAAAAAAAAAAAAAAAAATGGGAGGCTGGCGACTGGCCTTAACTTTCCATTAATGCTGGCTCATTAGTATGCCGTCACTTCTGACTCAGCAGAAGAGTCCATGCTGTCCCACCAGACTCCTTCCATGTGAAACAGTTTACTCCAGGCCATCCTATGAAAGGACGACTACGTAGCCCATTTTTGTCAGCAGGAACAGGCCACAGTCCCTCTTCCTATATTAGAGCTGTGTTAGAGGAGCTAGATTGGTCCCTCTGTCTGTATTAGAGTTGGCAAGGAGGGGCCTTAAGCCAGGGGCTTCAAGGCAACTCTGTGAGTTCCACCCAGTGGGTCCACTGGAGGGTCTGAAAAATACCTTTGAATCATTAAATCTCTTAGTTGAATGAACTTTTACGCCCATTACCAGATTTGCAGAAAAATTGTGAGCGTGCCATATGTAGTAGCCGTTTACCTGTGGTTTTACTCCGCATAGTTCCTTTAACTGTGATCAAATGTAGCTCAAAACCATTAAGTGGGAAATTCCAGAAAAAAAAAATGATTCTTAAGTTTTAAGTATCTTTCACTATGCTATATTAACAAGGATTCGTATTTTATTAGTTGTTATTATTTATTAGTTATTGCCTCATCTATAACTTAACTTTGTCATAGATGTGTCTATAGGGAAAAAGTAGGGTTTGGTATTTTCCACAGTTTCACGTCTTGGAATATATCTGCTGTGGATAAGTTAGAAATACCACTGAGCCTCTTACCTAATTTTCCTTTTTATTCACATAAAAATATGGCACACTTGTTACGATTAATTAACTAATACTGGTATATTATTAGAAATGAAGTCCATACTTTCCTCAGATCTCCTTAGGTGTGTCTACTTCCCTTTTCTGTTCCAAGATTTCCACCCAAAATAGGGTGGAAAATATGTTGTTATGTCTTCTTAGCCTTCTCTCTCAAATTTCTCAGGTGTTTGATGACCTGAGAAGGTTTACATAGTACCGCTCCGTAGTTTGTAAAATGTGTTTCAATTTGTGTTTGTCCACTATTTTTCTCATGACTTGACTGGGGTCTTGGGTTTGTGGAGAGGCTGACGACCATCTTCACTGGATTTTACATTGAGGGCCCGGACTATACTATAATAAGCATACCTTATCATTATTGATGTTGATCTTAATAACCTAGTTGAAGTAGTGTTTCATTCTTTGACCCTCCTTTTCCATACTGTACTTTTCAGAAGCCAGACCTCAGCATAACCCACACTTAAGGACTGGGAAGGTTTGCCCTAACACCAAGAGGGCAGAGTACTTATTAGGAATGATTTTTGCAAGACAGCTTTGTCTATATTCTCTCTCAATTTTGTCTATATTCTTTTAACTTTTTTGTGGTTCTGAAAGTTGAACTCAGGTCCTTGTACTTGCTTGGCAAGCACTCTTGCACTGAGATAAATTCCTAACCTCTGTATTCGATTTCTTTATGCAATCATTTGGTCATCGATTGATTGATTGGTTGATTGATTGATTGATTGCAGTGTTAGAATTTGAACTTCTAGGCAAGCATGTGAACACATATATATAACATCAGATACTTTAGTTTTGAGTTATGATCTGGTACTGCTTTAGTTGCTATGAGTTTTTTTTAAAAAAACATTTGTTAAGTAAAAAGTGGATTTTGTTTTTGTTTTTTGTTTTTGTTGGTCATGGGGCTTGAACTCTGGGCCTGGGCTCTTGTCCCTGTGCTCTTCAGCTCAAGGCAAGCACTCTACCCCTTGAGCCACAGCACCACGTCTGGTTTTCCAGTGGTTTATTGGAGATAAGAGTCTCACGGATGGGGCTGGGAAGGTAGCTCAGTGGTAGAGCGCTTGCCTTGCAGGCCTGAGGCCCTGGGTTTGATTCCTCAGCACCGACATAATCAGAAAAGCCAGAAGTGGTGCTGTGGCTCAAGTGGTAGAATGCTAGCCTTGAGCTGAAGAGCTGAGGGACAGAGCCCAGGCCCAGAGTTCAGGCCCCACGACCGACCAAAAAAAAAATTTTTTTAGTGAGATAAAAATAAATCATAACTTGCCGGGCGCCGGTGGCTCACGCCTGTAATCCTAGCTGCTCAGGAGGCTGAGATCTGAGAATCGCAGTTCAAAGCCAGCCCGGGTAGGAAAGACTGTGAGACTCCTATCTCCAATAAGCCACTAGAAAACCAGAAGTGGCGCTGTAGCTCAAGTGGTAGAGCGCTCGCCTTGAGCTGAAGAGCTGAGGGACAGCGCCCAGGCCCAGAGTTCAAGCCCCACGACCGACAAAAAAAAATAATAATAAAATAAATCATAACTTGGGGCTGGGGGTTTAGCCCAGCGGAAGGGCGCCCGCCTGGCACACACAAGGCCCTGGGTTCGGTCCTCAGTCCTGGAAAAAATAGAATAAATAAATAGATCATAACTTAAATATACAATTTAACTCTAACACTGCAAGGTTGTTACTTTGATTCTTTTATAATTTCACGTTTTCTTTTTTTTTTCTTTCTTTCTTTTTTTTTCTTTTTGATCAGTCGTGGGGCTTGAACTCTAGTGCTATCCCTCAGCTCTTCAGTTCGAGGTGAACGCTCTGCCACTTGAGCTACAGCACCACTTTCGGTTTTCTAGTGGTTTATTGGAGATAAGAGCCTCATAGACTTTTCTGCCCGGGCTGGCTTTGAACTGTGATCCTCAGATCTCAGCCTCCTGAGTAGCTAGGATTACAGGCATGAGCCACCGGCACCAAACTCATGTTTTCTTATACACTTTCTAGAAAATTTTAATTCCTATTAACACAAGTTTTTTTTGTTTTGCTTTATCTTACTTTTTTTTTTTTTTACCACTAACAACATAAATAACCCATGTTTCCATTTCCTGGACTTCATGTCTAGTATTTTGCATATTCAAGAGAGTTACACCTTTATTTCCTCCCCTGCTGCTATCCTCCTTTGGTTATTTAACTTTTAACTATGTAAAACTTCCCATGATCTTCATGCCAAAACTATTTCTGAGAAGTTTTTATTCAGAATCTAGTCTCTATTATTCCCTAGCCCTCCCTCCCCTAATAGGTAACTTTCTTAAAAATGGTGTTATTGCCAGGCACCAGTGGCTCACGCCTGTAATCCTAGCTACTCAGGAGGCTGAGAGCTGAGGATCACAGTTCAAAGCCAGCCCAGGCAGGAAAGTCTGTGAGACTCTTATCTCCAAGTAGCCACCAGAAAACCGGAAGTGTCGCTGTGGTTCAAGTGGCAGAGTGCTAGCCTTGAGCTGCAGAGCTGAGGGACAGACCCCAGGCCCAGAGTTCAAGCCCCACGACCAACAAAAAATAAATAAATAAATGGTGTTATTGGTTTATCCCGAGCTGGCATGCAGCTGTGCAATAAGAGGAGGGCTGGTATGTGGTATGAGCCAGGCTTCCCCTCAGTAAGAGAGAGACACCCCTGAGTGAGGGGAGCATCCACGCTCTTGGTTATATTGGATTGCTGCGTAAAGACACGACCGGAGAGCGACAGAGTGTATGTTGCAGAAATAGCAAGGTTTCTTGAAGTTGCAGAGAGTAATGTGAAAACCAAACCAAACGCTAAAAATCTATAATTATTTAATAATACTTATTATTTTCTTATTAACCTACACTAATCTTGATTATTTAATCTATATTATTTAATTATTATAATGTAATTATAGTATTACTTAACTAAGAGAGGGCATGAAGGGCTTCAGATGTCTCCAAACAAAATCAAGAGCACCCTCTGTTGGCCTCTGTGAGGCTGCACATCACCTAGTACCTAGGCTTGAAAGTTTCTGGTGTCTAGTGCTGTGCTAGGTGGACTTGAGCAAAATCTGTGCCTGACATCATATGGCAGACCAGTGAGGCCCACAGGAAATTTACTTTCTTCTTCCTGAGCATTCAAACTCTTTTTAAAAAATTTACTTCTCTCCAGGTGCCGGTGGCTCACATCTGTAACCCTAGCTACTCAGGAGGCTGAGATCTGAGGATCATAGTTCAAAGCCAGCCCGGGCAGGAAAAGCTATGAAACTCTTATCTCCAATAAACCATCAGAAAACCAGAAGTGGTGCTATAGCTCAAGTGGTAGAGTGCTCACTTGAGCTAAAGAGCTGAAGGACAGTGCTCAGGCCCAGAGTTCAAGCCCCATGACTGACAAAAAAAAAAATTACCCTTTGTCTCTCTGTCTCTCTCCCTGTCTCTCTGTCTCTCTGTCTGTCTCTGCTCTGTCTCTGTCTGTCTGTCTGTCTGTCTCTCTCTCTCTCTCTCTCTGGCCTGAGATCAGGACTTGAACACGGTATCTGACGTTTTCACTCATTGGCCAGCGCTCTACCACTTGAGCCACTCTTCCAACTCCATAGAACATTCAAATCCTGTCACTCTGGGACATATGCCGACTCTAAATATCTATGTTGCCACATCTTGGGGAGAGAGAAAGATCTTTATCCTCTTTCTGTCATAGCGAAGCAAAAGGCATACTTTTACTTTGTCAGAGCTGTAGCAGGAATGACACATCCCTAACTCAGTTTGCCCACTTAGATAATACCAGTGTGGGGAGCAGCTTGCAGCAGTGAACAGTAGGCACACTCTGGCTTCTACTATGTAAGGTTTCTTAACCTCTCTGAGCCTCAGTTTTCTTCTATGAAAAAATAACAATAGTGGAGCTGGGAAGGTGGCTCAGTGGTAGAGCGCTTGCCTTGCATGCATGAGGCCCTGGGTTCGATTCCTCAGCACCACATAAGCAAAAAGCCGGAAGTGGCGCTGTGGCTCAAGTGGTAGAGCATTAGCCTTGAGCTGAAGAGCTGAGGGACAGCGCCCAGGCCCAGAGTTCAGGCCCCACGACCGGACCCAAAAAAAAAAAAATAACAATAGTATCCATTCACAGGGCTTTTTTAAAGATGTGGAGGAATAGTGACTGTAAAATTCCTGATACCTGGTACCAGCACTACATAATGGAACCCAATAAACAATAGCTATTATCAGTAGTATGACCTGACTGTTTCCTTTGTGTTTCCCAGGAAATTTGTGAGAACCCCCGATTTATCATTGGTGGAGCCAATAGGACTGACATCTGTCAAGGAGATCTAGGTAGGAAAGCCCTCCTAACTATCCCCTGCCATATGACCCAAGGGTGGCGGAAAGGTGTGGGCCCTTTCCGGGAGGTAAAGAGATGACAAATGCATGTTTAGTGTATTTGGGAAGCTTTTCCTAGCAGTACCTTGGTGCTCACTGGCCTAGGTGATGGAGAGGGCTTTGTTTCCGCTCCCACATGCTACTGCCTCCTTTGAGACTCAAGGACAGCAACACATACAGCGCAGCATGACAAATCCCTGCTTCTAACGGCCCCCCTCTTCCTTAGAAGACAGCTCTGAGGCTGGCTGCGTGGAGAATCTATATCCACACACAAGCTGCAATACTAAAAAGGGAAAGAACCCTTTGTAACATGCTGTGGTCTCCGTTGCCCGGTGACAGCTCCCTTGGAGAGCCTTTCCACAAAGGTGACATTTGCCACACGGAGGAGCATCCAAGTTTCTGTTTGCTTGTTCTCTCGGCTGTTCTACCAGACCTTCCTGTCTCTCAGCCTCTCCCCTTGGTGCCGACAGTACATGAGCTCTGCAGAGTACAGTTGGAGACACAAGCAACAGACACGATTTAAAGCTTGAGGGGAAAGGTCTTTTGCCCAACACCAACTGAAAAACCTTTGGCTTGCTTGACTCCAGGGGAGGATAAGAAGGTGTTGGATGTCCAGGTTCTTGTACTAGAGGGAAGGCTCCCCACAGACCCTGCTCCCTCTAACCAATACACAGCTTCCAAGGAGAGACTGGCTGCTCCAGAGAAAGGAGCAGGAGTGGCCTTGGGCATCGCTCAGCCTCCCTTCTACACATTTACTAAGCAGTTAACTTGTCCCTTAAAGCATGAGTAAGTGTACACAAGTGTCTAGGTATATTCTCTAAGTGTTTGTACACACACATGCACACACATGCATCTGTGCACATATACAATGTTCATACCTTCACTATATACACTACTCTGACAGAAGAGAGATGCAGGGAATAAGAAGGTGTCCCCGTTGCATTCCATTGCCAGCAATGTCCTGTCTTAGTATCTCCACATAGACTGGTTCCAGGGCAGCTGCCTAAACTTCCTTCAGATACAAATCTGCCTAGCCAGTGGTTCTCTTTAACATTCAGTCTTCCCTGAGGTCAGGAAGGCAAGAAAGACAAGTCAGTTTGCCTCACCCATCACTCTGTCTCTGTGGAGGCCTAAGGAAAGGAGAACTTGTCCCAGGGCTTTAGAAGATGTCCAGTTCTAGCTGGGCACCCATGGCTCACACCTGTAATCCTAGCTACTCAGGAGGCTGAGATCTGAGGATCACAGTTCAAAGCCAGCTCGGGCAAGAAAGTCCGTGAGACTCTCATCTCTAACCACCAGAAAACCAGAAGTGGTGCTGTGGCTCAAGTGGTGGAGCACTAGCCTTGAGCTGAAGAGCTGAGGGACAGCGCCCAGGCCCAGAGTTCAAGCCCCATGACAGACAAAAAGAAAAGAAAAAAGAAAATGTCCAGTCCTGAGGGAATGGGGTGCTCTGTCAATCCCTGCCTGGGCCTACATCGTCAGATCAGGCTGGACTCAGGACACTGAGGACCAAACGAATCCCCTCTCCAGAGACAGAGCAGCTAGCTGGGGTTGGGTCTTCTCTTCCCCTCAACCCTGACCCGTGTGTTTGCCTGCAGGGGACTGCTGGTTTCTTGCAGCCATTGCCTGCCTAACCCTGAATGAGCACCTGCTTTTCCGAGTTATACCCCATGATCAAAGCTTCACTGAAAACTACGCAGGGATCTTCCACTTCCAGGTGAGGTACTGACAGAGCAGACAAGAGAGTCAGCTGCAGACCATCCACCACTTTGACCTTCCAGAATCACCCGCCCACCCACTGTGGGCAGCAGTCGTTTACCTCTGCCCTCCTAACCCCACGCACCATCCACTGCGCCCTTGGAAAGCAGGAGGACATCCATCTGGTTTGCTCGACTGCAGGTTATTTCTGCCTTCCGACTGGCTATGCAATTGCTCGTTGCCTTCCTATGACATTGTTGTCATAGGAGGAGGTTCATTGTTGTCCCTATGACATTAACTCTGGGAAGCCAGAGGGCCCTTAGGGTTATACTGGAGCTCTGGTCCATAGACCTTGGCTCCTTTTATGTTTTGCCCTTTAAGGAAGGCCTACAAGTCTATCATTCATTCACCTCTTCTAGGTGCAGCAAGAATATTCCGGTAATTATGGGCGTCAAGCTTGTGTATTGGCCCAGAATTAAATCTCTTAATTCTAGAATCAGAATTACAAAGTTTCTAGGCCAAAAATTATCTTGGTATAGCCCAAATCCTGGTTACTGGACTAGAGCTAAAGACAATTCTGCATGTGGGAATCTGGTACTTTGTGGGGCTCTGGGGAGTCTGTCTGTCTCCAGTTCCTAATGTCCAGTCATGACGCATTTCATACCTACTGGTCTCATGTCTCAGCAGGCTGAGACCCAAAGGGCCCTGATTTGTGTCTCTTTCCTACGACAACACACTGCTAGTTTCCTTCTGATATTTAAAGGTCTTATACCTAAAGAGCCACAGATACAAAGACCAGACAAGTGTCTGGCACATGGAAGGGAGATTAAAGTGTATTTGACCTTCAGTTTAAACTGATCTGTTCAGAAAAGAACATCCAGAAATGAAATAGTTGGACAGTATTCTCATCTCATGAAAGCAAGAGTATATTGTGGCTAATATATTCTTTCCTCTTTCATTTCAATCCTGCTTTAGTTTGTCATCAAGAAATATGTAAGTCAACAAACAGCTTCCCTTACACAGGAGTTCTCAATCCTGGTGGCACATTACAATCTCCTTGGACCGCTGAAAATGCCTATATTTAGGTCCCACTCCTGACCTCAGGAGCAGGGCAATGTAAATCTAAAATCTTAAGATTTAGCCGGGACTGGGCTGAACTCTACAGAAGAGATCAAATGGTTCATAACTCACTTCATCTCCTCAAGAAGCTGCCAGTCCACTTAGAAATAGATTCATGAACCAAACTCAAAATGGGATGAACAGATAGCAGGCAGGATGCAGGGCCTTGGAAATGGTATTCTTTTTTGGGGGGGAGGGGTTCCGGTCATGGGCCTGAATTCTGGGCCTGGGCGCTGTCCCTCAGCTCTCCAGCTCAGGGCTAGCGCTCTACCACTTGAACCACAGCGCCACTTCCGGCTTTTTCCTTTTTGCTTATGTGGTGCTGAGTAATCGAACCCAGGGCCTCATGCATGCAAGGCAAGTGCTCTACCACTGAGCCACCTTCCCAGCCCGGAAATGGTACTCTTGCATCACAGCCTCCAGAGGAAGGCAGGAGTAAGAATGTGTTTCCTAATGACAATCCAAGAAAGCAATTGTGCTTCTTACTTCTTGCAGTTCTGGCGCTATGGAGACTGGGTGGATGTGGTTATCGATGATTGTCTGCCAACGTACAACAACCAACTGGTTTTCACTAAATCCAACCACCGCAATGAGTTCTGGAGTGCTCTGCTGGAAAAGGCCTATGCTAAGTAAGACAACCCTTCAGAATCCAAGGCAGAACTAGGGGTAGGAAAGTGGATGGCAAAGGCATAATGGGTATGTGTGCGTGTGTGTGTGTATGTGTGTGTGTGTGTGTGTGTGTACCTCTGATCTTAGGATCTTGCTTGATTCAAACTCAAGAGCTTGGAGCATATTCCTAAAGCCAGGATATCTGTCAATTTAGAAGCTCCTACCCCAGCGGCTAATGGTTTTAACACAGTCCTATCCTCAGGGCTCCCCATATGGAGGAAAAGAGAGTATAAGGAAATGGGATTAGCTGGGTTCCAATGCCACTGTCTCTGGCTATCTATGGCCTTGGGAAAGTCTGTCTATATTATTGTAAAGAAAGAGAATCATAGCAGCCATCTCATTAGCTTACAGGGTTGACGGGGAGTTGATGAGAGAACATCACGGATAGAGTGTTAGGGGAAGCGGTACCTGGTCAAGTTTCCTGGAACTCTGACTGCATAGTTAGTTGTTGTTCTTTTTCTCTCTCCAAGGCTCCATGGTTCCTATGAAGCCCTGAAAGGTGGGAATACCACAGAGGCCATGGAGGACTTCACAGGAGGGGTAACAGAGTTTTTTGAGATCAAGGAGGCTCCCAGAGACATGTACAAGATCATGAGGAAAGCCATTGAGAGAGGCTCCCTCATGGGCTGCTCCATTGATGTAAGTCGGGGCGGGGGGTGGAGCTCAGGGCAGGGCTCTCTTTACTTAGTTACTGACAGCATAGAACCATTTTCCTGGGACAACTTTCTTCTGTTCTGAGAAGTAGGAACTGCCTGTAATCTTATTATTTGGGAGTCTGGGTCAGAGGACTGAATTCAAGGTCAGCAATATTCAAGAGAGAAAAGAAAAAGGATGGAGGGAAGGGGAGAGGTGGGTAAGAAGGGAGGGAGAGATGAAGTAGAAAAAAAGGAAGAAATGCTTGACTTTGAAAATTAGCAGTTAGCAATTTTTCAAGATTTTCCTGTTGACTTCAAAAAGATGGAAGGAAAGGAAGAGAGAGTGGAAGCAGGTGTGGGGAGAGATTGGACCAGTATTATTCTAAACCTCGGAAACTGGATGGAACTAGTCCAGAGCCCCGTGTCAGTGGAGTCCTCCCGTGGGTTGGCTGTGCAGTCCAAGCATGCCCTCGTCAGCTCATCGCATACTTGCTTATGGACCCGAGTCTGCACCACTTCCCTAAGAAAGCCTCACAGTTCCTAGACTGGGAATCACATCTCCTGCTTGATTCATGGGCTCTGTGTCATCTGGAAGAGCAGCCAGTAGTTAAACTGGTGATATGAACTGAGCCAGGAGCCAAGATGCCTGTCCATGGCAAGATTTTAGGAGATGCTTACTTGGATGACCTTTTAACTGTCTCGTAGCCTTGGTAACTTCTGTTTGAGTAATTCCCAGCTTTCTCTCCCAGCACCTTCCAGGGGTAGAAAAACTGAAAGGGTTTATTATAAAGCACCATGAGTGAATGTTTTCTTTCTGTATCCCTTTTCTTCAGCTGTTCTCCGAGGGTGCTCTGTTAATCTCTCCTCTTTTCCTTTGTCTGTCCCCTCCCACTTTCTGTCTCCTTGTCCCTCCCTTCTTTGTTTGCTCTCCTCCCTCTCCCGGGTTGACCCCTCCCCTCCCTGACGGGCCTCAGGATGGCACCAACATGACCTATGGAACCTCTCCTTCCGGTTTGAACATGGGGGAATTGATTGCCCGGATGGTGAGGAATATGGATAACTCGCTGCTCAGGGATTCAGACCTTGACCCCAGAGGCTCAGATGACAGACCTTCCCGGGTGTGTACACCTCTAACCGTCCACCCTCTTCATGACGCTGCGCGGCCAGTGCCAGACTCCCTCACACCGCTCTCACTTTGAACACCAGGGACAGCGGAGGGAGCAAAGTCTCCCCCCCAACCCGCATTCTATACAGAACTCAGAGGAAAATTCAACCTCTATTTCCCCATCTTAAAAAAAAACAAAACCATTCAACATTTGATATACTTAACATTTTTCCATGTATACATTTAATCTGCATGTTTATTTTTTAAAAATCTTGTATTTACCTGTTTGCAGCATGCTTTCTTCAGTTATATATTCTTTTGTTGTTGTTGTTGTTTTGGTCGGTCATGGGGCTTGAACTCTGGACTTTGGCGCTGTCCCTTAGCTCTTTAGCTCAAGGCCAGCACTCTACCACTTGAGCTACAATGCCACTTCCAGTTTTCTAGTGGTTTATTGGAGATAAGAGTCTCACACACTTTTCTGCCCGGGCTGGCTTTGACCCAAAATCCTCAGATCTCAGCCTCCTGAGTAGCTAGGATTACAGGCGTGAGCCACTGGCACCTGGCTGTATATTCTTAATATATCACTAAGTACTTTACAATACTCTTTAGTAGCTGTACAATATTCCAGTGTGCAGATGTGTTATAACTTAGTAACTATATATCCTATTACTAGGAAGTTGGAAGGGTTTTTTTTGGCTATTTTTTTTTAATGCTACAATACCTATCTCAGTAGATACATCTATGATATTACCCTAGGACAGATTCCCAGTAGTGGAACTACTAAGTCATAGCAGTGGTATTCTTGGGTAATGTGACAAAAGTCTTATTTCAGGTACGTAGACATGAGGATGAGGGGATCTCCCTGACCACCCATTCTTGGTCTGGATCATATGAAGACTGAGATCTGGGAGACTCTGAGATGTCAAAAGTCCCTGGTTTGACCTGTATCCCAGAAGAGGTTTCAGGAATTCCCTGGCCCCATATGGCTCTGGGAAGCTCCCCTGCAGTTGTGTTAGCAGACCTGCTAATGCCTGTAATCTAGTTCTCACTGGGCTTTGGTGATCTTACCTGTCTTCCAAGGACCCCCGTGTCTACAACTTGGACATTTCTGCAAATGGAGCAGCTACCCCTTACACTTTTAGGCACAGTCAGGTCTGAGCAGGGAGCTGCCACCTCACAATTCCCTCCCTGGGCACTGTGACTGTGGTTTCTTGAATATCACGTCCTTGACAGATATGAAGAAGATGAGGGGTGTAAAAAGTATACATCTGTATTCAACCCTTTTCTCAATCACTTAGTCCACTCTGGAGAGGCTCATAGGAAGGGGGACTCAAAATCCAGGACAGGCTGGGAAGGTGGCTCAGAGGTAGAGTGCTTGCCTTGCATGCATAAGGCCCTGGGTTCCATTCCTCAGCACCACATAAGCAGAAAAAGCCGGAAGTGGTGCTGTGGCTCAAGTGGTAGAGTGCTCACCTTGAGCTGAAGAACTGAGGGACAGCGCCCAGGCCCAGAGTTCAAGCCCCACGACGGACCAAAACAAAAATCCAGGACAGCTCCCATCTCTTCTCCTCCTCCTCATTTATTGTGGTCCAGAAAGCAGAGGTAGAAGCAGAAACACACTCACTCAGTTGATGCCTCTGGTGGTCAAGACAAAGCCTTAGCAGCCCCTGGTCTGGGGCTGTGTCTTCTTGACGCTCTTGAAGGGCTCCTTGTCATGAAGTATACTTTCAGAGGGTACAGTAGTCCTTATCCTCCAGAACCCAGAAAGGAAATATGGCCTTTGTCTTCAAGCAGTAGAACCTCTCCCCAGCTCCTGATGAGCCATCTGGTTATTGTCCCACAGACAATTGTTCCAGTTCAGTATGAAACAAGAATGGCCTGTGGGCTAGTCAAAGGACATGCCTACTCCGTCACTGGACTAGAGGAGGTGAGCTTGGTGGGGCTTGGAAGGGGATGGGAACCTGCTTAAGTTGACCTCCTGAAGCCATAACTCAGCCCCTTTTGGGGCTCCTTCAACCACAGAGTTTGCCTGCTGTCAGGGAGCCAAGAGCCTGGGGATGGAGGATTTGTGAGAATGGTAGAAGTGAGCCTTGTAACAAACTACTCGGTTTGTCTTCATTCTCAGTGCTGGCAGTGGCTCTTTCTCCGATGTTTCAGAGGGACAATTAGAAATACTACCTTTGGGGCTGGGAAGGTGGCTCAGTGGTAAAGCGCTTGCCTTGCATGCATGAGGCCCTGGGTTCGATTCCTCAGCACCACATAAGTAGAAAAAACCAGAAGTGGTGCTGTGATTCAAGTGGTAGAGCGCTAGCCTTGAGCTGAAGAGCTGAGGGACCACGCCCAGGCCCAGAGTTCAGGCCCCATGACCTGCAAAAAGAAAGAAATACTACCTTTGTCCTAGAGAATTGGATTAGTGTGTTACCATAGGCCCTGCTCTCTCATGTTCAGTTACTGTATAATGTTTTGTTTTTCTGGAACTTTTGGGCTTTCCTGGGTCATGTCAGAAACAGGAATGTAGTACACAGTGGGGAAGTTGTACCCAAAGAAAGAGAAGGACAAAGAGGCTATTGTCTGTTACGCCCACTGCAGCAGATTGGAGGAAGGTGCACCTCTGTCCTGAGTTTCCCAGCTGCCTAAGTTTGTTCATTTGATTAGAGTATGATTCTGGTAAAATTATGAATCTGGGACTGGGAAGGTGGCTCAGTGGTAGAGCTCTTGCCTTGCATGCATGAGGCCCTGGGTTCCATTCCTCAGCACCACAGAAGCAGAAAAAGCCAGAAGTGGCGCTGTGGCTCAAGTGGTAGAGCGCTAGCCTTGCGCTGAAGAGCTGAAGGACAGCACCCAGGCCCAGAGTTCAAGCCCCATGACCTACCAAAAAAAATTCACACAAGGCCTGAGGGCATGGTTCAAGTGGCAGAGTGCTTACCTAGAAAGTACAGGCTGGAAGTTCAAAACCCAGTGTTGCCAAAAAAAAAAAAAAAAAGTAAGCAAATGAAAATTCACACAAAGGCACCTAGTCTATTTTCATCCTCCACTAAAGCTCAACGGTAACTAGGATATTCTTCTGGGAAACTGGTTCTTAGAAGATAATGAAGCCAAGGCCAGGCCCTAATCCAGTTTTCTTTCCTATTTCCTTGTGCTGCCAAAGATTGCTTGCTAGGAAAGTTCTCTACCAGTAAGCTATACCCAAGGTCCCCTAACTCCTGACTAGGCTCTCACCCCAACATTCAGCAGCTTCTTGGCCAAGGCCAGGCAGGACAGCCCCATCACTGGCTCTTTCCATCCCTACCCTGCCCCCTGCACAAGACAGACGCTCCCCTTGCCACACGGTCTCCAGAGTCTGAGTGGTTTTTCTCTTTGCCCAAGGCCACATTCAAAGATGAGAAGGTGAAGCTGGTACGGCTGCGGAACCCCTGGGGCCAGGTGGAGTGGAATGGCTCCTGGAGTGACGGGTAGGTGATGGGTTGGGTACTGCACCGTGCGAGCGCATGAGGGGACAAGATCGCCCTCACAATCAAAGACCTGTTGAGGATGGGGCGCAGTGACAGTGATTGGCTCACAGGCGCACAGCCCTGGGAGTAAAATTCCCCAGCACTGCAGAAAGACAAACAGAAGGACATGACCTGTGGAGGAGAAGGTGCCGGTGTGGGCAGAGAAAGGGGGGCGGGGGAGGGTGCCTGGGAGCCAGGCATCCAGAAAGGTTTCTGCGGGTCCTCTCTAAAAGGATGGATTTCAGAAAGCTTAGATAAGCTCAGGCAGGCACAGAGCCTTAATTAATGACAGGCAATTTCCATTTCTGATGTCTCTGTGTCTTATCTGTAAAATAGTGACAATATTAACACCTCGAAGGCAATTATGAGGAGTAAATGTGACCATTTTTTTTGGAAAGAACTGAGATTGACTGTGATTTTTCTCCCTCTCCTGCTCTCCATACAAAGACACAATTGGCCCCTGAAAGAACTCAACTGCTTATCACTGAAAGCAATAGACCGCCAGGCATGGTGGAACACAGTAGCAATCCCAGTGCACGGAAGGCTCAGGTGGTAGGGTTGCAAGTTTGAGTCCAGCCTAGGCTACATAGTGAGGATCAGTCTCAAGAAAAGGAGTAGGAATTAGACTTGGGGCAACAAAAAGAACAAATGTGAAGAGCTTCTGCAGGCTCTGAACCTTGTAATGCTCTACTGCGTTCAACTCACTGGCTGGTTCTAGGTTGCCTCTACTGGAACCTTCCAGGTGGCAGCTGCCTGAGTTCCTCCTTTATTCATTCCCCAGAGGGGACAGACCGCAGGACTTGGTAGTGAGCGTAAAAGGCAAGATCTGCATTTTTTTTTGGGGGGGTTCCAGTCTTGGGGCCTGAACTCTGGGCCTGGACGCTGTCCCTCAGCTCTTCAGCTCAAGGCTAGCGCTCTACCACTTGAGCCTCAGCCCCACTTCTGGCTTTCTCTGCTTATGTGGTGCTGAGGAATCGAACCCAGGGCCTCAGGCATGCAAGGCAAGCGCTCTACCACTGAGCCACCTTCCCAGCCCCAAGATCTGCATTTTGATGGCTCACTCTGGCTGCAGTTTTCTCAGATGTCTTCTGTCGCAACTCACATCAGGCCTGCCCCTTCTTCCTCCTCCTGTAATCTCTGTGTTTTCCCACCAGCTGGAAAGACTGGAGCTTTGTGGACAAAGAGGAGAAGGCCCGTCTACAGCACCAGGTCACTGAGGACGGAGAGTTCTGGTGAGTCCTGGACCCCAGGAAGTGTCCAAGAGGAAGGGATGAAGCAGAGAGTTTGACCCCAGTCCCTGGGCATACACTGTCAGGTTCCTGCTCTGGGAGATCTGGGCCTTGCTTTCTCCTTCAGCCAGAAGCCCAGCAGGGACTGCCAGTCATAGGAATGACCGGAGCTCAGAACCAGGCCCTGGTAACGTGGCTCCTGTTCTAGCCACATTTGCCCCCTGGTACAAGCCTGGCTTTCTTGTGAACCTAGGAAGCTCTGCTCACCTGATCACTCTCATCGCTTCATCTGTGCTCAGTCTTCAAAGGACACTTCCCCAGAACTCCTTCGGGTCTCCCAGGAGGCAGACTCATTTTCTTGTGATGTTCACCACCTTTCAAGTTGCTTGCTTCATTTTCCTCTCCCAAATGGTATCTTCTTCTGATGAAGACACCTGAGCTTCACTCCTGGAAGACCTGACTGGTAGTTTGGAGATGATACATCAGAACTGACAGTATTGTCTCTAAAAAGAAAAGCCGGCATTAGTTCCTGGGAACTAATGTATTATACGGGAACTAATGTATTAGACTGCATTAGTCCCAGAACCAACCATCCCTTCCCTGGCCTCTGCCACAGGCTTCTTGTCTTTCAACCTCTCAGGATGTCCTATGATGACTTCATCTACCATTTCACAAAGCTGGAGATCTGCAACCTCACAGCTGATGCCCTGGAGTCTGATAAGCTTCAGACCTGGACCGTGTCCGTGAACGAGGGCCGCTGGGTGAGGGGCTGCTCTGCTGGAGGCTGCCGCAACTTCCCAGGTGGGAGCGCCCTTGATGGGGGAGGGGTCCGGGCAGAACAAATTCCAGAGCAGCATTAACCACACGCCCAACCTTCAGTAAGGTCCAGTCGTCTGCTATCTTATTAAATCCTTCCCATTCCACAGAGATTTTGAGAGTTGGTAGCACTGTTGAAGCAGGAAGCCATAGAGTCATATTGTGTCAGACCATTTGACGGTAGTTCTGGAAGACTGCAGGATTTCACATCAGGGATCTGGAGACTGCAAGTCCACAGGCCTCAGAACCTGGGAAGCTGATAATATAATTTTCAGTCCAAGGCCAAAACCTGAGAACTTGTCTATTGGTATAAATCCTGGAGATAAAGACCAGAAAGCCAGCCGGGCGCGGGTGGCTCACGCCTGTAATCCTAGCTACTCAGGAGGCTGAGATCTGAGGATCGCGGTTCAAAGCCAGCCCAGGCAGGAAAGAGTGTGAGACTCCTATCTTCAACAAACCACCAGAAAACTGGAAGTGGCGCTGTGGCTCAAGTGGTAGAGCGCTCGCCTTGAGCTGAAGAGTTGAGGGACAGCGCCCAGGCCCAGAGTTCAAGCCCCATGACTGACAAAAAAAAAAAAAGAAAGAAAAGACCAGAAAGCCTGATGTTGTAATGTCTGAGGGCAGAGAAAGGCAATTCTCTTTCCAGGAGAGAAAGCGAATCCTTCTCTGTCCTTTTTGGTCTATCCGGGAGCCCCCAGTGGATTAGATGGTACTTGTTGACATCAAAGGTGAATCTTTCCCACTCAGTCCTCAGACTCACAGGTCCATCTCCTTTGGAAACAGCCCCACAAGATACACTAGAAATAATGGCTTACCAGCTCTCTGTCTAGTCGACACTTAAATGAACCATTTACCTAAGGGATAGAGAACAAGTTCCCTCTGTCTCATTTTCCTTCCTGCCCTTTATCTGTGCAGCGGATCTGAATGTGCATTTCCTTTCTGGGGGAAACAGATACTTTCTGGACCAACCCACAGTACCGTCTAAAGCTCCTGGAGGAAGATGATGACCCCGACGACTCCGAGGTGATCTGCAGCTTCCTGGTGGCCCTGATGCAGAAGAACCGTCGCAAGGACCGGAAGCTGGGGGCCAACCTCTTCACCATTGGCTTTGCCATCTACGAGGTACGCAGCGCCCGGAGACACACACCCTCCCAGCAAGGAGAACTCCCAGAGCTCCTGCTGTCTGGCCGGCAGTGTTTGTAATGAGCAGAGGATAGTAGAAGGTGCAGTGGAGTGGGGTTGGGGGCAGGCAGGGTGGTACATGGCTTGTCAGAGTGCGCAGCTTTTGGCAGCCTTGTCCGCCAGCTTTACACCTTCAGATCCTCAGATCTGAGGCAATTTTTTTTTCCCCCATCTGTTTCTTCCCAGGTTCCCAAAGAGGTACAGCAGTGGCCAGCAGCACTTCCTGGGGGTCTGAGTGCATCTGTGGCTCACCAAGAAGCTGACTGGTGGGGTCTGAGGGCGAGGCTGTGGTAGGAGAGGATCCTGCCCACGTGATTGCAACTGCAGAACAGGGGGTCAGGTGCTACACGCTCGGGATGGACACTCTCCCTCTCTACACTGCTCACACCTCCATACACACGCACTTTTGCACGTGCAGGCAGTTGTACGCTCACAATCACACACACACACACACACGTTTTGAGAGTGGCTGTGCTCCGGGATGGAGGAAACAGCTCTTCTCAGAATCCAGCCAAGGCCCCTCTGCTCCTTTGGGGTCCTTCCCAGGGTTCAGAGCAGGTGAGCACCAGTCCTGGTGAGTGGCTTTGTGTGGCAGAATGAGAGACTCCGCCTTACTTCTGAATCACAGCAAAAAAAAAAAAAGAAAAAAGTAAGATGATATAAGGTGGGGATCCCCAGTGATGTTGAGCTTATTTGAGGGTTAGGATGTGAAGGCGGGGACCAGGGACTTGGGAATAAACTCCTAGAAGGGACTGGACAGGACAGGGCGCCCTCCCCCGGGCACTCAGGTCCCACGGGCTGCTCTGTGTCCTAGATGCATGGGAACAAGCAGCACTTGCAGAAGGACTTCTTCCTGTACAACGCCTCCAAGGCCAGGAGCAAAACCTACATCAACATGCGGGAGGTGTCCCAGCGCTTCCGCCTGCCTCCCAGCGAGTACGTCATCGTGCCCTCCACCTACGAGCCCCACCAGGAGGGGGAGTTCATCCTCCGCGTCTTCTCAGAGAAGAGAAACCTCTCCGAGTGAGTACCAGCCTGGCTCTAGCCACCCATCCCTAAAAGCCCCGGGGGGCCCTTTCCAGAGATCAGAGACAGGACCAGACGGCCAGGCCAGTCTTCTTCAGGGCTCCCGGGGTGTGCCCACCAGCTTCTGCCTCTTCTCCACTCCTGAGCCATGGCCCGAGCTCCCTAATCCACTCATTCATTCTTGCACTTATTTACTGAACACCTATTATATCCCAGGTGTTCTAGGTAACAGTAGATAGAAGCAGCATCTCTGCTGGGTTTTGAGATGATGATATACTCATAGAATAGGGAGGAGGAGTAAGAAGCATGGTGGGTGATTGAAGTGTCAGGATAGGGTGGCAAGACAGACAGCAAAGCCATATCCTGTCCTTGGCCCTCATGGGTATGTGCATAGGCTCTGCCACCCTGATCTCTGTCCCCTGAAGAAATGTGAGGCCTGAGGATGGATAGCTGGGTCATAGCTTTGGGGACCTGGGGGAGGGGGGGGGATATCAGTGTGGCGGGCCTTGGCTGCTGGCAATGATGCCTACCGGTGGCTGGCTCCTGGGTGGATGTTTAATCCCAAGGGATCTCTTAAATCAGTCCCAGTTTGTCCACCCAAGCAGCCATGTGGCCTGATCCTTCATGCTGTTCCTAGTGACACCGAGACACCCGCATGTTTGTGTTTTTCACAGGGAAGTTGAAAATACAATCTCTGTGGATCGGCCAGTGGTGAGTGGTTGATTGATACGAGGAGGTGCAGAGGGCTGCTTTTCCTGGGCCAGGCAGGGTAACCGGGAGAGTGAGGACTAGCAGAGGGCCGTGTGCAGTGACCACACCATGTCACTGCAGCTTCTGCTGGGCATGGACGGAAGACATGGGTGTCAGGGGTTTGGCTGGGAAGAATGGAGGACGAATGAGTAGAAGAAAGGAGCAAGGCCAGGGGAAGGGCTGCCGGGAAGACAGCTAACATGGATGTGGTTGGACAAGGGGAATTCCCAGGTAGCGAAAAGGAAGTATACCTGCTCTGAACCCGCCATCAAAACCAGAACTTCACTCACCACCCAAGTGGCCCGGACAAGTCATATAGCCCCTCTGACTCGGTTTCTCAGTCTGCAAAGTGGGAGGGATAATAAGATGTCTGGCGATGCTTTTGTGGGTTTATTTAACTCAGAGGTTAGTGTGGCACCTCCCCCCAGCACGGACAGAGTTTGTAATCCACAGGTTTTACACACTTCAAGGTATTTTTCACATGTGTTATCTCGTTTGATGCTTGCAAGTCTTCTGAGAGGTAGATGGCGTTATCAGCCCTACCTTTCAGGCAAGACAGCCGGGCTACCTGACTTCCTTGCATTCATGGAGCTGGTAAGTGGCAGGCAGGACTGGAACTCAAGATTCAGATTCTGACTCAACATAGGTTTCCGACCACCTCGTCCAGGCCAGCCCCCAGGGCCGAGAACCCCTACATTAGAAACAGTGTATGCTTCAGATTGAGGAGTCTTAGGGCTGTGAGCACTGGTTAGTAAACAGTCTCGTGCTCAGTGGGTGTCACCTGAAGCAGCAGGATGAGTGCTCCACTGAATATCTTCCTGGTAGTGTCAGCACAGTCACAACCTCCCTCATCCTGTGCCAGTGCCAGATCTCCAAGGGCTCCAAGCTGCTGCAGATGTTGGCTGTCAGCGCTTCGTGCATTTGGTTCTGGATTCTGGCAATCACTGTATAGAATCACCAGGGGCTACGCACTCACACACTGCAACCACACAGAAAGAGCAGCAGGTGTAGGGCCTGGTGTCCCTATACGGGCTCTCAAATGACACTTGGCTTCAGTATTGGTGGGTGCAGAGGGCAGCTGCCCAGCAGAGCGCTGCGGCCCAGGATGCTGCCAGCCTACCCGCCAAACCTCATAGTACAAAAGGAGTCCCAAGCCTGGATCCCCACATTAAATCTCCTGACGTGAAATGTTTGCTCAGAAAAATTGTTTTTAACTATTCCTTAAGTCATATTCATTTTCAGGATAGTTTGAATGAGCCGTATGTTCAATGTTTTAGCAAACAATTACATTAAAAAAAAAAAACAGCCAGAAGGTCTGTTTCCTCACGTATTTTGTAACAGTGAGTTATTAAAACAAAGCCACAGCCAGTCACTGGTGGCTCACACCTGTCATCCTAGCTACTCAGAAGGCTGAGATCCGAGGATCATGGTTCAAAGTCAGTCCGAGCAGGAAATTTCGTGAGACTCTTATCTCCAATAAACCACCAGAAAACAGGAAGTGGCGATGTAGCTCAAGAGGTAGAGCGCTCGCCTTGAGCTGAAGAGCTGAGGGACAGTGCTCAGGCCCAGAGTTAAAGCCCCACAACCAACAACGAAAAACAACAAAAGCCACAGCAGCTACCAGTCTCTGATAGGAACGGGGGAAGAATTCTTTTTCCACCCTTCACCCTTCTTGCTGGAGCCAGTTAACGCAGCTATGTGGACCCGAGACCTATACCCCAAGCTTCAGATCAGTTCTAAACGTTTTCACTCATTGTCCATTTACTGTTTCCATTTCTTACACAGAAAAAGAAAAAAACTAAGGTGGGTGTAATGGGTGAGTGAGTAGAGCACTGTGCATGTGTGTGCGTGTGTGTGCATGCATGTATCCAACTTGCCTCTCCCCTGCCTGCCTTCCCTGAGTCCCCGGTGGGCTGAGTGTGACGGCGATGGCTGAGGGAAGGCTGTGTGCAGAGACTCGTCTAGCTGCTTTTCCTAGGAGACAAATCCCATTTTAAGAGGGGAAGAAAAGGTACAAACTAACCTGCTCAAGGCGGTCCCTCTCCAGAGATCTGTGCCCTGAGCCACTGGGGGCCATCAGACAAGCTTTGTGGCTAATGTTCATGGTGGTACCTAGAATGCATCACCCAGGTTCTCCAGGTATGGGGCCTAGTGCAGAGCAGGCCCAGCTTCCCCCCCCCCCCACTTACCACAGTATCTAAAGGGAGGCCCCGTTATTACTCCTGAGGGCACAGATGCAGAGAAGTGACTTGGTCTAGGACACAGCTGCCGAGTGGGACAACTGGACAGGGAAGCCTTACATGTCTACTCCACCTCCAGCACCTGTGTTCCTTGGCTACCCTCCCAGTGCCCAGCCTCTTCCACTCCAAAGCCTGGGTGATCCCGACCTGCACCTGGGTCTGCACACATGTGCCTGGCTCCAGGGGTGCTCCACGGCTATGCCGTGCCCATTGGCACACGTTCCCCTCACACAGGGGCCTCTGCTTGCTCTGGGGTCCCTGCAAGCTTCAGCTGCTTGTGCAAACCCCTCGGTGACTGCTGGGTTCCAAGGCCGTTTTCTTGTCTGCTTACTCCAGCTACCCCAGACCAGCAGCATGGGAAGACAGTGGGCCTCCCCAGCCAGGCGGCTTGTTCCGCTTTGAGACTCTGCTTACTTACCCCATTCTTCTCTGAGCTGCATCCCCAAGGTCTGCGGCTTCCTCTGGCTTTCCATATGGGGTGCATGCACAGCCCCCACCTCTTTCCATAACCTCTTCGCTTGCATGAGCATAGCTTCCAACCGTCTCTTGAAATCTTCCCTGTGCTTTCAGTACAGGTTTGCATCCAGTTTTCTCATCTAATCCCCACAGGGCCAGGGAGGGAAAGGCAGGTTTGGCCATCGCCATTAAGAGCTGAGTAAACCGAGGTCAGGACAGGTATTTGTTATGAGAGGGGTAGGGCTGTCTGTGTTCTGAGCAGGCCAATGACCAGCCTTTTTCCAGTCTGTACTCTGCAGATTCAACCAAGGCTCCTCACTGGCCGCCGTGATTTCAATAATAAGGGTTAGGGGCTCTGCCTGCCTTTTAACCTAAAGTTGTTTTGAGATGGTCCATGTTGCCTAGGCTGGTCTTAAACTTGTTATTCTGCTGCCTCAGCCTCCCCAGTAGTTCGGATTATAGGCACGTACCCAACCATGCCTGGGGTAGAAGCTGTTTCTATTGGTTTTATTTATATGTGGATTCTGGGGAAATCTAAAGTATTTCTACTGGGGGAAAAAATTCAAAAGTATTTGAAAACCACTGTCCTGGATCATGCTGCTCTTAACGCTCTTCACACGTCACACCTCATTGTGCCAGGCTTACTGCGCCCTGAGGGGAGACCGACTGCCGCACACTCTCAACCTGTAATCCTTGCTTCCTTCCCGCCCTTGTCCGCTTCCCTCCTCTCCCCAGCCCATCATCTTCGTTTCAGACCGAGCAAACAGCAACAAGGAGCTGGGTGTGGACCAGGTGTCAGAGGAGGGCAAAGACAAAACAAGCCCTGAGAAGCAAGAGAAATGCCCACAGGTTTCTGTGCATGTGGCATGAACGGGGTGGCTCGTGCACAACAGGGGGCCTCCTGTGCTCCCATGGGGGCGTGTCTTCACCGGCTAGAGCGAGCTCCTCCAAGCTCCTCCAAGCTCTGGGATGCTGCCCGGCAGATGACTTACTGGCGGCCCTACCAAAGCGGCCACAGGAGTGCAGTGCGGGCTGGGCCTCCCGACTGGGGCAAACCCCGCGGGCACGCGGACAGAGGGACTGGCAAGGGCCGGAGACCTGCTTGGGAGAAGAACGCCTGTCTTTAGTCTTTGAGCTCTTGACAAAAGGGCCTAAGTACCAAAAGCAGGGGGGCTGCTGATGGCAATGGGAGTCCTCTAGAGCGGAGGAGAGGTCACAGAAGCTTCGTGGACGTGGGGCTAAGGGTGAAAAGTTGTGTGCAAGTCTATGTCCTTTGTTGTGGAGGACACATGCAGTGGGGTGGAGAACTGAGCCTCAGTGACGGAGGCCGATGGAGGAACTGGAATGGCCGGCCTCCTGACCATTTGGTTGGAACTGTCAGGTTCAGGACCCAGGAGAAGGCTGGGGGGGGGGGGGGGGGAAGGGCGGGAGCGGTCTGCTTGCTGGCACAGTAAATGTATCTGAGCGGACGAGGTTCAAAGAGCCACTGAGGCCTAGATGGTTCTCACTCCTGCTCGCCAGATTGGAGTAAGAAACCCCCATGCCAGCGCCTGCTGCCACCTGGGCTGTTTGCCTGGAGGAGCTTTCCTCCCGGTCTGTCTGGCCCGATTCCCACAAGTCCCCCATTGTATTTCCACAGCCCCGGCCTGGCAACCCAGACCAGGAGAGCGAGGAGCAGCAGCAGTTCCGCAACATTTTCAAACAGATAGCAGGGGATGTGAGTATCTCCAAGCCAGGGCCTGACTGCCCTTCTAGGTTAGCTGCCAGTGACTGGCTGTTTCATTACTGCCCAGAAGAGGGGGTTTGCCCTGTATGTGTGCAACACAGATGCCCACAAGCCCTTGGGTTTTAGAGGGACATCATGCACTGGCTCAGAGCCCTCTGGTATGAGCTGCCCACACAATGTGGACAGCTGAGGGTATAGTACTGGGCACTGTCTCCCCCCTAGAGAACCCTCAGCTCCCCATGACAGAGCAGCACCAACTGGGACTACACAAATGTGGACAGCTGGGATTGGTTTTGCAAAGCCTCGGCCCCACCAGCGGCGCTACCCTTGAACCATAACGAATCCCCTCCCTCCCTCTCTCCCTCCCTCCATCCCCAGGACATGGAGATCTGTGCAGATGAGCTCAAGAACGTCCTTAACACAGTTGTGAACAAACGTGAGCAACTCAGAGCAGATGAAGGGGATGGGCAGGGAGTCCAGCTGTCTGAAAGCAGCTCCTCACTCTTCTCCATCCCCCCAGACAAGGAGCTGAAGACGCAAGGCTTCACGCTGGAGTCCTGCCGCAGCATGATTGCGCTCATGGACGTATCCTTCCACCTGCGCTCACCTGCCCACAGGGGACAGGGGGAAAAAAGAAAATGTCCCGTCAGAGAGCCTAAACTATGCCCCCCAAAAGACCTGAGACCCTGACTCAGAATATCCTGGTTGCTGTTTGAAAGGGGCGGTAGCTAACCCCACCCTCAGGCCTGAAATCCTGCCGGGGATTCTGCCCCCATAGATGATAAAGCTGGGAGGGGGGGGTGAGTGTGGAGAGGAGAGGAAGGCTACACAGCTCGCCGGGTAGCGGGTGAGCAGCCTCCCGGACTCCCCGTCGTCAGTCCCTCCCAGTGCGGGGGGATTTCACTGTGAGCCCTTGGCCCTGACCTTCCGCCTTCAGACAGATGGCTCAGGGAGGCTGAACCTGCAGGAGTTCCACCACCTGTGGAAGAAGATCAAGGCCTGGCAGGTGGGCGAGGGAGGAGGCGCTGGGGTGGAGGGGCTGATGGAGGGATTCAGTGTGACCTCGTCTTCAAATTTGTTTTCAGAAAATCTTCAAACGCTACGATACAGACCATTCGGGCACCATCAACAGCTACGAGATGCGAAACGCAGTCAACGACGCAGGTATCATGGAGGGGTGGCCGGCAAGAGGAAGCTCACCTGAGGGGGGCAGGAATGGAGGGGAAGTGAGGCTACAAGGACCGTTAGAAGGGAGGATTCTCACCCTCCTTCCTGAGGCCAGCGGGCAGGGGGCAGGGAGATGAGCTCAGTTCCTCCTCTACGCAGGCTTCCACCTCAACAGCCAGCTCTACGATATCATCACCATGCGCTATGCAGACAAACACATGAACATCGACTTTGACAGCTTCATCTGCTGCTTTGTCAGACTGGAGGGCATGTTCAGTAAGTGGGGGGGGGGGACCATTCAGCACTCTCCAGCTTTCCCGGCCCCTCCCTCCCCCAATAGGGACATGTGGGAACCTCGGCCAGATAATCTAGTGTCCGGCTGAACAAAGACCAAGGCCGCTCTTGGTCCAGGAAAGGATGGCAAGGAGAGGGTCTCTAGCCATGTCACCTGTAGCTATTTGTGCTGAAGGACAACACGGCACACATTTCCTTCAGACATGTTATAGCAGGGGACGTGGAACAAGTCTGTAACTGGCCTGTGCATTCTTTCTTACACAGGAGCTTTTAATGCATTTGACAAGGATGGAGATGGTATCATCAAACTCAATGTTCTCGAGGTAAAAAGACCTTGCACATTCTTCCTGCACCATAAAGCCCATGACAGTGCAAGACACAATGTTCCTTACTTCTAGAGAGTGGCGGAGGGATGGGTAGGAAGGGAAGATGAAGCAGAGAAACTCAGCAGGGAATGTGGCTCATGGAGATCATGTAATAGCAAAAAGCTCCAGAAAGGCCTCAACCCCTAAAATTACCTGACACTAGAAAACATGTACCTCTGGAGACCACCTGGGGAAAAAGGACACGGCAAACAGGCTCCTCCTTTGAAAATCTTGCTGGTATCTATTCCCTCCCCTCCCCCCCAGCTGTAAGATGCTTAGGGCTGGGCTGCTCTGTCCTTGTCTACGTTCTGATCCTGGGACTTCCTCTTTCAGTGGCTGCAGCTCACCATGTATGCATGAACCAGGCTGCCCTTGTCCAAGGCCACGCAGGATCACTCAGGATTTCCACTGTATCTAATATCGCTAGAGGCCCTGGCCTCCAGGCGCTTCCCCGGTCGGTTCTCCTCCAGGTCCCTCTATCTTGTCTTGATGAGTAGCCTGACTCTTGGAGCACACCTCTGTCCCTCTGCAAGTGTCTGCCTCTGCTAGGTGCAGCGTAGTGCAGAGGTCTGCTGATTCTGAAGCAAACGCTCTCCTGTAGCTTGTACCAGGCTGACTGCAGAGCCGCCGCTAGAAGCCCATCACCTGTATGCTTTCCCACTCATGGGACAAAAGCCAAACCTGAACTTGGTTCTGTCTGACTGTTTTAGGATGGGCCTGGCTCTGGGGTAAACAAATCCAGTGGAACAGGGTTGGATACTTTTGAGTTGTCTGACTCCTAAGTTTAGCTGCATTCAGAGAGAAGTTGATCTAAATAAAGGCATGTGTACAGCTGGTTCCACTGTGTTTTGTATCCCCACGTTTATCAGCCAGAGCAGGACTGAATACCTTCCAGTAATAAACTCACCTGCACAAAGCCCCAGGCTGAATTCTACAGCCATGCCCTGAATGTACCTAGAAGCCAAGGCAGGCAGGGCCCGCTTAGTACTTGATGGCAGAAAGCCCTAGTTTCCAAATAGAACACCAGCACACAAAAACCTCAGCCTTGAGCCCCATTTCAGTCACACCTATATTGCTTGACTAGTCACTCAGGTAAGGAAGGGGGAATATATTTAGCTATATTGGGTAAAATAATTGTTGGTGTATAGAACACAAGAAAGTGTAAACTTTTGTGGGTGACTGGAGGGAGGGGCAATGTAGTTTTTTGTTTGTTTGTTTTGCCAGTCTGGGCCTGGGCACTGTCCCTGAGTTTCTTTTGCTCAAAGCTAGCACTCTACTACTTGAGTCACAGCACCATTTCTGGCTTTTTTGAGTAGTTTCTTGCAGATAAGAGTCTCATGGAGTTTCCTGCCCGGGCTGGCTTTGAACTGTGATCCTCAGATCTCAGCCTCTTGAGAAGCTAGGATTACAGGTGTGAGCCACAGGTGCCTGGATCAAAGATAGTTTTTTGAGTTTAGTTCCAGTTACTTGCTCTAAGATACCAGACAACTCCCAAGTGTAGCTGGTGTATCCATTTTACCTGGGCTGTAGCCTGTGGCACATCTATAGGCAACACATCTCTAAACATCTTGTGTTTTCTACCACTGTTCTCATGCTTTATGTCAACGTGCAGAAAAAGACGTTTGACTATGAAGATGCAAACAAGGTAATGAAAGTAAACAGTCAATTAGTAAAAGTACTTTATTCTCCTCTTGTATTTGCTCTATACCTTGCTTTACAAAGTTATGAAGTTCACAGCTTTATACCAAAATGTAAGAAGACTAGGCTTATTTGTTTATAAACATTTTTGCAGTCAGGTGTTATCTGACTTCTTCCTTCAAATCCATACTCAATACTGAAGAAAAAAAAATCAGAAACCAAGGGTACTGGAGTAGCTCTTGGGGACAGGATTTCTCTTAATAGGAGAAAGGTCTTCAACAGCTTTTCCTCCTTCGACCCCATTTTGCCTCCAGTTCAGCTGCATTACAACCTTGAATTCAGAGCAAATCTGGGAAACCCTATTTGCCATTCGGCTGAGCAGGGCCACACACTTAGGGCAGTAGGTGAAGTCAGCTACTGTGTGGGAAGCAGGGGTTTGGTTTAGAGGAGGGTCGCACATCCACTTTCACATGGAACTTGGCGGGGCTCAAAGCACTTCCACACTTGCTCAGTTGTGTCCATCCACGCTTCTCTCAACCCCACGGTCTTAAATGACTCCGGCTGGGCTAAAACCACCATTTTACCAATGTGGCAAGCATGGTCTTCATAATAATGCTAAGAGCTCTCCTTTAGGTAACAAGAACTAAATTTAAAAGTATGCACTTACAAGCTGCAATATTTGAGCAAACCAGAATATGTGTGCTATTCAAATTTCACTTCGCAATATACTTCAATCTCCTCTCCACTGGATTCTCTTCCACAAAACACACCACACCATTCATTGCTCTAGTTGCACGCCTACACCCATGCCCAGCAGCTAGCCACATGCCTAGTCACAAGCTGTCCACTCTATCATCTACCAGGAAAAACGACAAAAGAAAACCTTGGTTAGGCAAACAGTCACTTCAACAGCAAGGGCACTGCCTATAAATCACATGTAGGTCATGAATGAAACACTCACTTGCTCGCTATTCTGGGGGAGAAAAAAAACCTCCCCACAAAAGCAGGAGTGTGGTAGTGAATCACTTCTCAATTCAAGTAACATCAGGTCAAGTTAAGTTGCTATTTTTGTTTGCATTGTTTAGAACCGAGCAGAGGAGCATACCAAAATATATTCTGAACCTGATTAACAACTTTTACAGAAAACAAAGTGACTGATACTTTTATCAGTGTAAACTGATGTATAAAGAATGAGCATATGAAAAGATTTATTCTGTGGTTTCCTTGGCTTGGTGTTGTCAAGAATTCTAAAGATGGCTTCCAACTACTGGAAAGTGCCAGTTTCTGTTGGGTTAGTGGACAGTTAGATCCTTTCCTTCGTGAACTACTGAGCTGTATGTAGTCAACACGGACCTGAGCCACCGCCCTGGGAGCACAAGCAGAGGCTGAGATCTGACGTTCCCTCAGCCCAGCTCTGCACAACTTTCAAAACACACAGATCACAACGCAACCAAACAAAAGGGGCCAAGACCCCCTGGCTCCTTCCTTTCTCAAGAGGGCTGGAATGGGTCATTCTCCATCACTCATAAAGAATTTCACGTTTTTGAAAAGAACACATTACTGCTGCTGCTTCAAAGAAAACTTTTGTGACATGAGAAACAATACAATCCAGGTGCCCACCTGGACTCATGTATGCAAGAAGCACACCGATGCACACACCCAGACAGATGTGCGCCTGTAACTCTACTGAGTGAAGTCCCGAGTGCCTGGCCCTCCGCGCCCTGCTGCCCGCTGGAAACGTGTCACCCCTCTCCCTGCTCCACAGGCCCTTGGCCGACAGCACTGGAAGCTTCCTTAGCACCTCACCCTGCCAGCATGCAAACGCTGCCTCACTGCGGCCCAGGGAAAAGTGCAAGCTTTGGCAGTAAATCCAGATGGAGTCCTGGGAGGCCACTACCCTCAGACCCACACAACAGTGTGACTGCTCTGGTCACGGTTCTAGGAATGGGGGGTAAGAGGTGGGAAGAGCGGCTTTAATCTCCCACAGAATCAGCATTAATCCACCTGATCCACACGATCTCTTCAACATCAGACAAATCTAAGCCATGTGACTAACGGAAGTTTTTGTACTCTCAAGGGAAGAGAGTGAATGGCTTGTGGGGCCGTCTGTTACCTAGCAACAGCTCTAGACTAGCTCTCAACGTTTTCTGGACTAGTAAGAAACACAGGAGCTTTTTCCTAGAGAAAAGAACACGTACTTAAGTCTTCCATTATAAATACCCAGGGCTCACAGACCCTGCCCCACCCCAAAGCCAGAGGGAGAAGTGTGCACAGCTGCACTCCTGCTGCGGGGTGAGAACACCCTGAAGGTGCACTGCCCGCAGACAGGGCCACACCCTCAGGCCACCTAGCGGCATGGGGCTCCCCCACTCATCTCGCTCTCTCTCAACAATCTTGAGTTTTAGATTCCAGAAACAAGAGCAGAAAGTGACACTTAGTGTACTTTTACTGATCAACAGTCCAGAGAAAAATCCCCAAGTCCCACAATGAAAGTGAGGCTCTGTTGACCTGGGTGCTTCGGTTGTCCCAGATTCCTCAGCCAGCAGGTGGGTAAAGACCAAGATACTAGCTTCCAAAAGTCTCCAGAAGGCCGGCTTCAGTCCCTAAAGACTGTATCCAGATGCTTTAGTCTTAACTCCCTGACCTGGGGTGCTGTGGGTGGGTGGAAAATGCCCTGTGAGCCCAGAGGACTGACGGCTGCCATTGCTCTAGGCACAGTTAAAGGGCAGGAGAGGTGCAGGGACACAGGGTACGCCTCCAGCCCAAACAGCCGAAGGCACCTGTGGCAAGGAGCTCCCGGGCCTAACAGCAGAACAGAAAAGGAGACACTGGCCTGGCTGCTGCCTCACAGCGGGCGCTCTGCCAGACCTGCACACAAGTTCTCCAGGAAAGGCTTCCACAAGGACTCATCTCAATGGGACTGGGTCCTGAATCCTCCAACTCAAGCTGGTTAGCAATCATCTCCCATGTGTCCTATTGCACTGCAAGCCAGCTCTGTCCATTTACTAAGGAAGTGAATATCTGAAACACACTACAAATAATGGTTAAGAAAGGTAAGTACACACCCAGTCTTTACAACTGGGTCCTGAAAATGTAGCATCTCAACAAAGCTGTACTGAAAGCTTGACTATCAAAGGCAGAAAGCATCGTAAGAAACATAAACTAGAAACTGCAAGCTCAAAGTGACAAAAATATGATTAGGGCCAAAGTAGGTAACCAATTAAGATCTGGAGTTTTAATAAACATGGAAAGAATGCTAGTCGCATGAATCACTCTATGTCCCAGAGGAGTATAGGTATCCTTAAAAAAAAATCTGTTTCAATGTCATTGCACCCTCCTGCACAAACTTGAAATGTAACCTCTGACCTCACAGAGCTGCACAGGCTTTTGCTAGTTGGTAAGCCTGGCTTTCTACTTCCCCGCTTCCGGGGGGGGGGGAAGAAGAGGGAGTGGTCTGTGTGAAGAGGCCACAATGAAATAGTTCTACTAGTGACTTCCCAACATGGGAGGCAACAAACTTCATGAATCAATTCTGCTGTCATCGTCAGCATGTCGTTCGATGTGTCCAGCAGCATCCTAAGGAGAAGGGGAGAGGGACCGTAAGACACAAATTGGCTGGAAGACAGGAGCAAGTCAAAGCCGAGGAAAGCCACCCCAGATAATTCACTTATGCACTCAGCTGTAAGTTCTCCTCTTACCAAAGAGCACTGGAATAAATCTGTAGGTTCAATTACTGAGTTTGAGAAACATCTAAAAATAATCTCTAAGCTCTTCATGAAAATCTGCCATGTTCTTCCTCCCAAGTCTCAGAATAACAAAGAAGAAATATGCCCACAATATTCTTACGAGAGCCAAAACCCTCTGCCCGCCCCTGCGAAAGCGGGGTCCACGGGCGCACCTGCTTGGATCCTTTCCGAGCGGTGAAAAATGCGTCGCAATTCTTCCAGCGGCATTTCAGAGTCTGGAAGTTGGGATTCGTGTGGTCAGTCAGCAGGTGTTGTTTTAAGTGATCTACGACCCCAAATATCAGAGAGCAGCCATGCCACTGCAAGACAGACAGCAAGGGGCCAGGTGAGGAGGAAAGTGGAACAGAACCACCAACAGCACACTGCAGAGCCAACTGCAAAGTATCCTCCCCTGCTTTTGTCCCCAGGTACCTTGGAAGAGAAAAGCCCGTCACACTTCAACTTATTCTTAGCTACAAAGTATAGCAATACGAGTGGCTATCATATTAATTACCAGTATAATAAGGAGCCATGAAAAGAAAGACCAGAAAGTCTTTTGGCTCTTTGGCATTCTGAAAAGGTAGACATTATATTGTATTTTTAGACAAGGTCATGTTATGTGGCTCAGTAAGGCTGACCTCACGTTGGTGATCTTCCTGCCTCACCTTCCAAGTTCTGGAATTATAGGTATGCACTACCATGCCCATCTAACAATTACATCTTGTTAGATAAATATGGAAAAGTTTAGCAAATGTTTAAAGATGAAAGCAGAAATTTAGTTTAAACTACATTCTTGTTCATCTTGCCATCACAAAACTAAATTTTAGTCCATTTAGTTCAAAAGGCAAAAAATGTCCTAAAATACAGTAAAAAATATATTTAACCATTCTAAGAACTTCTGACCTATAGACTTGGAAATAAAAATGTCTGAACGAGAAACGCATCTGTGGAAATACACTAAGATGACTGTACTTGCTAAAGAATCTGCCCTTTAAAATTCATTGCTGCTACCATTCCAATCACAATCTTTCGTTTCCTTAAAAAAATCCTGACTTATGTGGTTGGATTTCATGATTAGTCAGAAAGCACAATGGCTTTGTTTTAGCTCTTTCCAACACTTGTTTATGGTAAACCTTGAGACTATAATACTAAACATATTTATTCTAAAACCTAATACATATCTAAGGCTTTTCTCTGTCAAAGTATTCCATGCCTGTACCTTTAAAAACACAAAATATGCTGGGTGTCAATGGCTCACGCCTGTAATCCTAGCTACTCAGGAGGCTGAGATCTGCAGATTGCAGTTTGAAGCCAAACCTGCCAGGAAGGTCTGTCAGACCCTTGCCTTCAACTAACCACCCAAAAGCCAGAAGTGGTAGAGCTCTAACCTTGAACAAAAAAGCTCAAGGACAGTACCCAGGCCCTGATTTCAAGCCCCAGGACTGGCACCAAAGGAAAAAAAAAGGAAAGAAGAATAGAAAATATGTTCCCTATTTCCCTAGATGCGTTTTCTATTTGTATATCCTGGCTTTTGTGCTAGATTTTGCTTGCCTTTACTCAGAAGACTAAAAAAGCAAAGACAGTAATATAAACAAACTGGAAACAATTAGGTTTTGGATAAGCTTAAAATCCAGTTTAAAAATAAAGAGTGATAAATTTATTCCATGAGTAATGAGGAGATTAGGGCTTGGGGAAAAAGAAATTCAGTACCAAAAACTTCTCTTTGGTCATGAGCAATATAAGAATGGATTTTAAAGAAGACTTACAAGAAGTAGTACTGAATTTTTTAATTTTTTTTTTGGTCGGTCATGGGGCTTGAACTCTGGGCCTGGGTGCTTGCTATCCCTGAGCTCTTCAGCTCAATGTGAGCGCTCTACCACTTGAGCCACAGTGCCACTTCTGGTTTTCTGGTGGTTAATTGGAGATAAGTGTCCCACGGCCAGGTACCAGTGGCTCACGCCTGTAGTCATAGCTACTCAGGAGGCTGAGATCTGAGGATCACAGTTCAAAGCCAGCCCAGGCAGGAAAGTCTGTGAGACTGAAAGTGGTAGAGTGCTAGCCTTGAGCAAAAAAGCTGTTCAGGGACAGTGCCCAGGCCCTGCGTTCAGGCCCTATGACCAAAAAAAAAAAAAAAAAAAAGTATAGCTTGGTATGGTGGCATATGCCAATAATCTAAACATTTGTGAGGTTGAAGTAGGACAATGGTGAATTTGAAGCCAATCTACAATACATAATGAGGCTATCTCAAAAAGATGTAAAATAAAAATCACAAAAATATTTTATTTGTGATTCTAAGCTTCCTTGTCCTATAGTAAAGTCATACAGCTTAAATACATACACTCAAATACAAAACACTAAGCCGATAATGACAAAGAGCTATAAACTAGCCTAGAGCTGAGTGTCTCTCCCCTTGGTGACAAGAACAGTGTCATTGCTTACCCAACAGCGGTAATTCTGCATCAGATTTAGCCTCACAGCCTGAATACTACCATCATAACAGCCAGTATAAATCTGGAGAAAGAAGTTAACAGGATTAGGCCAACATAGACACAGCCACAAAACATCCTCAAAATAAAAGAAACATAAGCCTAAAGCAAAACCACCTCCCAAGTACTAGAATGGGAGTGTAACTTCTAGATCTACTGGTCAGAACACTTTGAATGTGTGTTCTTTAGAGAGCCGATGAAGAGCTCTTGGGGCATGTGACTCCAAATGCAACCGGCAGGACTTGGAGACAGTCATTTATTCTTTAACTGGGGTAGCTTTGGCTTCTAACTGGTGTTGTCTATCAAGAATCTGAATTTCAAGATGGGTGCCGGTGGCTCATGCCTGTAATCCTAGCTACTCAGGAGGCTGAGATCTGAGGATCTCAATTCAAAGCCAGCCCGGGCAGGAAACTCTGTGAAACTCTTATCTCCAATAAACCATCAGAAAACCAGAAGTGGCACTGTAGCTCAAGTGGTAGAGCGCTATCCTTGAGCTGAGGGACAGTGCTCAGGCCCAGAGTTCAAGCCCCATGACCTACCAAAAAAAAAAAAAAGAATCTGAATTTCATTTTTTTTTTTTGTCGGTCGTGGGGCTTGAACTCTGGGCCTGAGTGCTGTCCCTCAGCTCTTCAGCTCAAGGTGAGCACTCTACCACTTGAGCTACAGCACCACTTCCGGTTTTCTGGTGATTTATTGGAGATAAGAGTTTCACGGACTTTCCTGCCCGGGCTGGCTTTGAACTGCAATCCTCAGATCTCAGCCTCCTGAGTAGCTAGGATTACAGGTGTGAGCCACCAGCGCCCGGCATTCTGAATTTCATTCTAAGAGAGGGTTCTACTACTAAAAACTTGAGAAGATCCATTCTGACTCAATGACCTAATTTTAAAATAAATCGAGGCTCAGCAGAGAAGTGAGTTAGCTTCTACTTTTAGGCCTGTTCTAACTGTGCAACAATGGCCAAGTCTCCTGACTCTAATTCTACCCTTCTCTTTGGATCATGATTCTAGAAAAAGTACCACTGTATTTTCTTTTAAACATCTTAAATATATCTTCTAACTAACGATGGCACTGCACTACATTTTTATGGTACTTATATTAGTTATGAGTAGAAATAGCATATTCAACTTATGCTGCTGGGTTGCTCTGTTAGGACAAGGCACAAAGGCAGTTGGCAATGAGCACACTGGGAAGAGGCGGGCGGTAGCGTCATCTGTGGGCAGAATTGTAGGCAAACACGTTTAGAAGCTCACGTCTCACATGCAATCATGACTCACCATGCTCTTATGGATGGTCATACACATAATCATGTCTTTGTGTCCTCCATAGACTTGCAGTCGATCATGGGACTGCAGAAGGAAGAAAAGGAAAAAGAATTAAGGGTTTATTTCCTTTGTGTTTTGTTTTTGAAATCTGGGCCTGGGTACTGTCTCTGAGCCCTTCAGCTCAAGGCAAGTGCTCCACCACTTCCCCAGCACCACATCCGGTTTTCTGGTGATTATTTGGAGAAAAGAATCTCATGGACTTTCCTGCCCAGGCTGGTTTTGAACCGCGATCCTCAGATCTCAGCCTCCTTAGTAGCTCGAATTACAGGCGTGAGCCTCCTGTGCCCAGCCCCTTGTGTTTATTAACTCTAGTACTTCAGGGACTTGGTGGTTTAAATTATTCCTGTGGCATTACACTGAACCACCAGTTTTGCATTAATAGAGACAGAGGAATGGAGTCTTCTTAGTAAATCCCTTGCAAGGTGAGGAGTTGGGAACTAGGAATATTACAACCAAAATTGCACAGAGGGAGAAGTGGTCAAAGTGAAGTCCCTGAGGGTTCTCTCTAGAAACTTAAGCTTAGAAATTCAGATTTTGGTTCACAGGAGCCGGCTGCTTCATCATTATCCAGTATGTTTGTGAACACAGACCACTTGGGCTCCACCCAAGCCTTGCTGTATCAGAAATCCACACCAGCCAGGTGCCAGTGGCTCATGCCTGTAATCCTAGCTACTCAGGAGGCTGAGATCTGAGGATCACGGTTCAAAGCCAGCCCGGGCAGGAAAGTACACAAGACTCTTACCTCCAATTAACCACTCAGAAAACTGGAAGTGGTGCTGTGGCTCAAGTGGTAGAGGGTTAGCCTTGAGCTGAAGAGCACAGGGACAGCGCCCAGGCCCAGAGTTCAAGCCCCACAACCGACCAAAAAGAAAAAAAAAAAAACCCAGGCAGGCTCTCTTTCCCCACAGCGAAATGCTGGGTGCAAATTCTACCTGCAGTTCATAGACTCGAACAAACTTGTCCAGGCAGGCTGTCACCATCACCTTCCCCAGGATGTTGACCACGGTGACGGCATGGTTGTGGCCTTTATAGATGCGCACGAGTTCCCCGGTCTGCACAGAGAGGAACAGTCACTAGGTGAACGGAAAGTCACCCTTACCACTCATTAATTCTAAGAAGCCACATGCAAACATATGTAGCTGTTCTAACAGCTGAAGAACTCTCACTGCATTTGCTACCTACAGGAAATTTCGCACTGTTGGAAACACAGTGTGAGCATTCCTAATCTAAAAACCTGAAGCCCAAAATACTCCAAAATCAAAAACTTCTTGAGCACAAATACAGGTGTCACAAATGGAAAACAAGCAAACAAACAAACCCACAACTCACCTCGTGTGACAGATTGGCCAAAGTATAGGAACAGTAAAAATTCTAAAATTACTGTAGGCTATATGTCTGTGAGATGTACATAAATGTGCTTAGACTTGGGTCTCCTCCCGAATACATCCCATTGTATCTATGTAAATATTGTAAAATATCAAACCTTGGGTAATGGCTGCTGGGCCTCTCCCTCCCGGCCACCATTGCTCTCACACAGACAGTCTGTCATGGGACTGCATGTGTATGGGGCTCAGGAACTCAGCCTCAGCAAGTGTGTCCTCAGTCCAGCCTCGCAGCTGTTTTTATTGTTCTATTTTAATCTACAAATCATAGACACTTGCCTAGAGTCTCAGCTGCTTGACTTAAAAGTCAAAAAGAGGCACTCAAATAAGACCTTCGATAAACTTTGAATCTGTCCTGGATTAAAAATTTCAAAAAGGACAGAATTTCTAAAGGGCTCACTATATTTATCCAAGAGCATGTGCTTAGCAATTATTATTCTTCCTTTCAACAGATGAGGCCTGACTCAAGAGTAGTCTAAGGAAACCTTCAACTTTAATAGGCCTTTTTTCCCCCGGTGTGAATATGCCTGTCCTGGGGCTTGGACTCAGGTTCTGGAGCTATCCCTGAGTTTTTCTGCTCTACCACTTGAGCCACAACTCCACTTATGGCTTTTTTCGTGCTTAACTAGAGATAACAAGTCTCATGGACTTACTGTCCAGGCTGGCTATCCAGCTATATACTTGGATATCAGAATCCTGAGTAGCTATGATTACAGGAGTGAGCCACTAGCACAGGCTTGAATGGGCCTCTTTCGACAGATTTTCTACATCCCACCAACATGGCTTACATGGATGTTGTGAGCATGGACTGACTGGTCACTAGAGCCGCTGAACACGAGGTCATTCACCACCTGCAAGAGAATGACTCAATGACTCAATGCCAGCATCTCAGTTTCCTCTAACATGTAACACACACTGGGCAAATTGTAACTACCATCTGATTTTCAAAGGAACACAAAGGTATGAAATAACGTATTTAGCAAACCAGTTATGCCAACTGAATCTTTAGACCCTGGCACTAGGCACGTGATGAAGTGACCATGCGCTGGTACGTTTGTTAACTCTCTAGAAAGAGCAAACATAGCCAAGAAGGGCATCAGATCGTACCCTTGCCCCACACAACAACACACTTCACTGTTTCTCAGTGACTAGATTAAAAAGTACTTTATCACTCAGTGAACCAGGCATAAATAAAAGCTCTGCAAGCTCCTAGCTCTTCTCCAGTCCTAAATAATGTGCATGCCAAATGCCACTGAAAGCGCTTGTACTCGCCTTCATGCAGAGAATGGTTTTGCTGTGGCCCTCCAGAGTTCGGAGGAGCAACCCGTTGCGTGCGTCGCGTACGCTGATGGTGCAGTCGTAAGAGCCCACAACCAGCAGCTTCCGGGCCCCTTCCTGAGCTGTGGCTAGACAGCTGACCGCCCGAGGGCCGTGGCACTCAAAGATCTCCAGTCGCTTGTTGTTCTGCAAAAGCAACCACCACATAGAAAATCAAAGGAGCTCATGCTAGACCACTTCAAAATCAACCCAAACGCTACCAACCCTCAAGTCTGCGACTGGTGCTCAAATTCTTAGAGCCACTTGGAATCCTGACCTCCCCAGTCTGCCACACCCCTCCCAGGACCTCCTTCAGACCCCATCTAGTAGGCGCAAACTCTTACACGATCAATGACTTTAACTTCAACCCACACCATTCTGATCCTAAAAAAGAAATGGATTCTTCCTTATGTTCTTTTCACTTTCCTAAAATTAATGTAAATACAGGATCAACCTTTCTTCACATTCTAGTACCTTCTTCCATGCAACAGACCCAGGAACTCTTCCTTTTTTGGTGCCATCCTGTCATGCTGTCTCCAAAGAATCTCTATGGAGAACTACTTTATTAAACTTTTTTTTTTTTTTTTTTTGCTTATGTGGTACTGAGGAATCGAACCCAGGGCCTCATGCATGCAAGGCAAGCACTCTACCACTGAGCCACCTTCCCAGC